CAGAATACTGCGAGAAAATAAAAATTACCTAAGGGCTTCCAATTTTAAAATTCAGACCCCATCCCTGTCAAATCAAACCGAAACACTACAATACACGAAATTTCGACATCGGATCTCCGTTTTTAATCGTCGCAATTCGTTTTCTCGCATCAGTGGACGTCCATTTTTTTTGCGAGGGTAATTACGACGCGCATCCCCCTACGTAGCTACGCAACTACACAAAGCTCCCACGTAAACCCGAAACATTTTGACGGCAATTACCGATATCAAAACAACTTTCCCCACGGTAACGACCAATTAGAAGAACATCCCATTGTTACACGGGCGGATATGGAATATCATCCGCGTAACTGGAAAAAAATCGCGATTTACCTGCCAAAGTAGTCCCGGTAACAAGGGCTCTATTTACAAAAACCCCAAGTTTAATATTTCCTCTCAACGCATAAAAATGGATAATAAGGACCTTAAGCTGTGCGACGCTGATATATAGATCTCGTCTCAGATTTGGAAGTATGGTTCGTCAGAGGGATATTCGATGCATTCATTCGTTCGTTCCTTTCTTGCAATAAAAATTGGCCTGATACTTCTAGGAATGTTTAATTTACGCGTGTCCAGTGAATTTTCTTTACTTAGGGTAAATTTAAGTATGCCAGTCTTCAAATTTCTAAAATTTTAATAGGCAACATCTGGTATAATACAAGAATTCAAAATATACCGGATGTAAGAGATGCATTGTTAAAAGTGTTCGAGCACCACTTTCTTTTTTGAGATAGAGCGAAGAGCATTAAACAATAGGATTTAAATTTGTCTCGGCTTTAAATATCGTATCATAAATTAGGACACAATTTCTACCATTTTTTTAACAATGTTTCCTTTATACAGTAACTCATTCCCGTTACCCCTTACAAAGTTATACAAAAATAGTTTGCTCCACTCTACGACCGTTAGTTTTTGGGTCCATTTTTCCAAAACAACACGAATACATTCACTGACATGACTGTCAGAATTGACAAACGTCAAAATTCAAAGCGTGGGAATTATCTCGGAAAACATCCATTTGCTCCCAAATCCGTGCGGTAAAATCCCGGAAATGTCCGAAGTGGCTCGGATTTATGGGAAACGAAAATTACGTGTTAAAGTGACGCTTCCCGCACGCTAGATCGGTGGGTAATTAGGTATTTTACAGGCGGGAATAAAAAAAATTATTTAAAAAGTAAGCTGTTATATATACATGAAATATGTCTAAAATTTTGTCTTAAATTGACAATTGCAATGATATATATAATGTTCCATTTAAAATAGGCATATGAATAAAGGACGAAATTCTAGGTAGATTTTAAATTTTATGTTGAGCAATCATTTTACCGATCTTTGGTGTTTAGGTACTTATGAGGTGTATCTCCATTATACGAGCGGCTTTCACGGTGTGCTTGTTTTATTTGAAGACAAAGATGTCATATATAAAATAGAACAAATAACACTCATATCAGCACCTACACAGTTCTATCTATTAAATAAGCCGATATATATTTGTAAAATGAAAAAAAAATCTGTAAAACTTAGTAGTCTCTAAGAATAATATTGTAACTTTGGCGATTGTCAAGGGTTCCGAGAGTGGTAGGTAGACGGTGGACAGGGAGTTAACATACCTGTGCCTTAGTGTGTAAAATTGTTGCTGGCAAAGTTCGTTCTTGAAAATGACATAAAAATGACATAAGTAAAAGTGAAATAAATACAGTGTAAACAGAACAAGTGTATACGACATGTGATTGAAAGAGAAGAAATAATGTAGGAAGCTGATAGCCTGATAGCTGAACATAATGACTAAAATTTACAAATGAAGCTGTATTGTAAGTAGTAGGTTATATATACATTATATATAAAAACATTTATTAAAATTTATCTATTATCATATTATTCTTATTTTTATTTTAGAATAATTAACATCTTAATTAATAATGTGTATTTATTATTATTATTTTTATTATTCTAATAAACTGCCTGTAAAATAACGTCGCTGTCACATTACTTTCATTCAGTAAACTCTTCTTTCTATTAAATCCAAATTAAAGTAATAGTAACTTAACTCATTGTAAAGTTAGATTTTATTTGTCTCTTGCATTAAGAAACGAAATATAGTGACATCTATTCCACGGTGTATTTGGCAGCAATCAAAAACGAATCGGACATTTCGTAATAGATACGCCACGGACATTTACAAAAAACGCAAGGCGCCCCCCTAATACTACCAATTTCATTTTTATCCCACAAAGTAGATGCAGATCAAAGGAAACTCGAGATAAACCTCGTACGTTGAGGCTCACACACACACACATACTTGATTGAGTTTATCTTTTGAGGACGCTCACGTGTAACGTCTGTCGGTTGATGTGCAATATTTTGTTGTCCGGCGGAGCTTTGCCCCCCAGGGGGGTTTCGTGACTGACTTTCTGCCCCTAATTGGGCCTCTGATGAACCCTTACAATTTTTCGGGGATCAGATATGCCTCGTAAAAGTATCCGGTGCGTTATTATAGTAACAAAGGGAAAAGAGCTTAGAAATATGTATTGAGGCGCTGTCGGATTAAATTACGTCGTCACAATCAATATATTAAAAGCGGACGTAACTTAATAAGTTTATTTTCAGATGCGAATGTCGCCCGTTTGCCTCTACAGAATCTAACATCAGGAAAATTTCTCCCAACACAACTGAGCCAGAAAATAGTCAAGATGCTGTTCGGTCCCACCAAGGGAAATCCTTTTGAAGAGGGGCGCATTGACCTCAAACTATTGCAGCAGCTGTCCTTAGCCATCAATATTTAGGCGGTCCCATAAGAAGCCATACAGCAAGATGTTGATTATTTGAAATAATAGATTTATGAAAATCAAAACATATGACAAAAAAACTATGCCAAAGCTTCAACAATCTTCTAAATGGTGTAAAGGTTCATGCAAAGCAGTTCTTAACCTGGATTATACAGTCGTTGCTAATCGTCATACTGCTGTTCTCTACAGATATAAATTTGCCTATATTAGATCTCTGAGGCTGTATAAAGGGAAGCGAAAAGTGTGGATCTATGTTTAAGTTGGTGCAATGTGCTCTAATTGTCGATGTGGCATATTATTAAACAGTTAATTTCAATATATTTTTTTTATTATAACAGCTCCAACTCCTCCTCAAGGTGGTGGTATGGAAAATGATTCAAAATATAGGGTGGGCCGTTTATCTTGGTACACTTGGTACCTTATTTCAGAAACTATAGGGGATACAGCCAAAGCTTAAATAAAACAGTTAGTTGAGGTACTACAGACTTTTGATTTATTTTAATTTTGTTATACGTATTTGGGTGGTTAATTAATTAATAAGTCTTTTTTTTTTAATGGAAACTACTTATTTTTATAATCTTGTCATATTTTAGCATTAAATTAATTTTTTAATTAAAGCATTTAAATTAAATAGGGTTGTATATGCCTAAAGTTTTTACTTTTTGAACTATTTCCTATTAAATATTTGTCTATCACAAATAATCAGCAGTTGCCATATAAATTCAGCTAGCGTAAGATGGCTATGACGGCGGTTAAACAAAACAAATGCTAGAACATTGCCTCCTTGGATGAGTGTTTTGTTGTTGATTGCTGTCATAATTCAACTATTTTTTAACATATTATTGATTTATTTGAACTGAGGTGGCTTTTACTTGATGAAAATCCATTTATCACAATAAATAAGAACTAAAAGTTCAGATTTTCAGGAAATTATATATTTTGACATGACAATTGTTTCGACAACATCGTGTCCTTATCAAATGATTTGATTTGATAAAGACACGGTGTTGTCGAAACAATTGTCATGTCAAAATATATAATTTCGTGAAAATATGAACTTTTAGTTCTTATTTATATTGATTTATTTATTTATCGTTTGTAAATTTATTCACTTACTTGCCTATCATGTTTACCACATTATTTAGAACAGATGAGTAATATTTGTAGCCTCAACTAGAATTTTTAATAGGAAAAATACTCATTACTGGAGCAACAAGAATAATAAAACCATTTGGAAGTTGCAAAGGTAATTAGAACTTCTATCAAAGTATGGCTCGCCAGTTGGAGTTTCAAAATGTGACTAGTATTTTTTATCAGAATTTAAATTCCCAACGTTAGTTAGAGCTTTTAGATATTATCCATGCGTTTGTTGAAAATGAAGTGCCCAAAAGGGAACGAGGAAATTTAATTTGGCAGGAGGATGGCGCTCCTTATCACAGAAGTCAAGAAATTGTCACCTATTTTAAATGTACACCATAGAGCCCCGACTTAACTCCCCTAGATTTTTTTAAATAGAGTAGGCACATTTAAAGGTTTAGTTTACAAACACAAACCGTCAACTGACGAGGAATTTAAACGTAGGGTAAGAGAAGGAATCGGGTATTTAAATGGGACTGAATTTAGAAATGCCATTATATATTTGGAAACCGTTTATGCTACTTGTATTGCTCAAAGTGGAGGACTAATTGAGAAAATGTTACAATATTTATTATCTTTTGTGTATTGATCGTTCGTTAAAAAAATATACACCAACGTTATCGCGTATCCTTGGTCTTTTTGTGTATAAATAAAGCATGCATACATTTGCATAATCATAAGCAGATTGGCAAGATTATGGTCAACTATGAAATGGTAAATCATAGTGGCCACACTTTAGCTCTTGTTTTATTGAAACGCTGTCATAGCCACCTTATACTAATTGAACTTGTATGGCATCAGCATATTATTTGTGATTGACAAATGTTTAAAAGGAAATATTTCAAAAAGTAAAAATATTAGGCATATACAACCTATATAAAATTGCCTTCATTTTTATTGCTCAATATGACAAGATAATAAAAAAAGGTAGTTTCCATTAAAAAAAAGTTTTTTGGCAATTTTTTTAATTTCATTTTTAATCTTAGTTTTTTGTACTCTATATTATTATGTATCGAAATTTCTTATGAAATCCTTCATTCGAGGCCTTTGTCTTCAGCAAAACTTACTCAAGTGAGACAATATATGCTTCCGAATGAAGAAATTGGCGACTTGCAAATGTCATATTTCGCATAAAAAATGAAACACGTCAAAAACGGTTAGACTGAGGTATAGGACATTATACACAAAATTTGTCTAGAATTTTGTATAGACTTCAAAAATGAAATAATATACTAGGTGTTCTTAAATATTTTATTTTATGAGGGCTTCGCAGAGCACTACGAACTGCTATTTAATTTCGATTGTGTTCGTTTCTTGCTCATACTAATATTTTTTGTTTATTAACAATTTTATGCAAAACATAAAATGTCCTGTAAGATTTTGTAGTCGAAGTTGCTGTTACTGATTCCTATATTGGTGAAAGGTAAGGTCGGGGTTAAGGTTATCGGATTTTTTTTTGGTTGAAAAACAATGATGACATGATTGCGTTCGGCAACTGTTGATCAGTTTATTCTTTCCGCAGATGATGGAATGCTCCTGGTGAAAGTAGTACATCTGGTTTTAACCATAACATTTCTTAAGAACTTTTTATCATGTTCATCATGTTCTGGATGTACGGAAAGACCTCAGCAACTAGTTGCTTTCGGACTCTTTTCTTTTGGGAGGTTGTGGTGAAGGGTATATTGTGATGGAGCGCTTAATATCTCTCTCTAATGTAGAAATTGTTAGAGAGAAGAGCTTTAATTTTGGGTTCCTTGATTCAGTGATTCACAATTTGTTGACTGAATGTCAGCAAGAGCTCCTGAAGCGGATATCTGCTGAAATAATTTTGAATAAGGCACTCTAATTAGAAGATTCGCATAAAAGTTAGTATTATGAGGAAAATGCCCATTTTAAAATAGTTCTAGTTCAAGTAGAATATATTTTGAACACCACATTGTCTTACCAATAATAAAATTGCACATTCAATAGTGCACTCCTCTAAATGCAAAAGAAAATGCGGCATCACCGATCGCCATTTTGCTTTCCAAGCTCCATTAAAAAAGAGCGAGGAGCTTCAACGGTCGCCGAATTTTTATCCGGGCTTTAATCTTCGCATTTCACACCATGAAAATTTAATTAGAAAAATAGGATGAAAAAGTGCTAATGGATCGCCGCTACTAAAAGCCGTGCCATTCCAAACTTCGATGCCTAATCCTATTATGCATTAATAATAATTCTCGTTAAAAGCACTGCCGCTAGGAAAATCGGTTTAGTTGTATGCAGTATTTATGTCTGATAAGTCGAACGCTCAGCCTGTCTTTAAGATTAATAGGAGCGGCAATAAGAGATATTTACTACTTCTTCACTTTAGAGTCAATAACAATTTAAGAGAGACTATTGAAGATTTCGTGAAGTTGTTAGATGATATTATTGTGAAGCAAGATTCTCGTCATTACACGGGCAATAATGGAGACCAGCAGAAAGCAAACAAATAGATGAACTTGCTTGGGAATAATGTGCATCGAATTTAGTCTATACAACAGTTTATTACCCCAGAGTCGTTTCAAACTATCAAGTATAAAAAGTACTTTTTGTGAAAAAGGCGGCAAAAATATTTCCCTTAGTTGTTGAAATAAATTAAGCCCACTAGAGATTCGTTGAGAATGCTGCCAGTCAATAATTGTTGAGTTATGTCATATATAACTAAAAAAGAGGTTGGTCACTTAATGAAAGGCTGTATTAAAAGTATAAGGAAGTACCTGTGACTTCAAAACCGGTTAAAAAATTAAAATATGGCGAATTTTTAAATTCTTCTTATATTTATATTTTATTACATTTTTTAGCTATTACAACTGCTAATTTTCTGTAACGCCTGAAGATGCACTATTCGAGATTTTTGTATGCAAAATTTTCAATTTATTTAAGGATACTTTTGTAATGTTATGCTATAAAACTTCCATGTATTTAATAGAGCTGTGGATAGATCCGATCTATTGTCTTCTGCCTTTTTAAAGGTGTCGCAGGTAACGTACATGCTTTCCTACTTTTCGAGATTAAGCCATATACTCAAGGATTCAGTAAACAAATACGCTCTCACAAACAAATTATTTATTATTATAAATACACTCTGCATTTTCTATCTGTTTGCGGATTCAAATATTTTAATATCCAGCATCCTAAATTATTTGAATTTATTAATCTGCTCCATTCATTTATTGACAATATTGCCAAATTTTGTTTCTGTTAATTACTGAGCTACAGCAACGTCGCGTTATCTGTAAAAAGTAACCGAACGCTTAAATGATATTTTCAAAACTGCCAACGCAGTTTTCGAATATATTGAAGTCAAAAATGCCAACAGCAGTGTTGTCAGATTTACCACTGGTGGTAAATAGTATATTATGACAAACGTCATTGGACTCATGAGTTTATTTGACAGGAGCGGAGCCCAGCGGAGCGAGTTTTTAATATACGAGCGAGTTGAAAAGTTTACCGAACGTGTTGCATACTATAATTTTTCTACGACCGTTAGTTTTTGGTTACATTTTCGCAAAACAACACGGATACGTTCACTGACATGACCGTCAGAATTGACAAACGTCAAAATTCAAAGCGTGGGAAATATCTCCGAAAACATCCAATTGCTCCCAAATTCGTACGTTAAAATCCCGGAATTGTCTGAAGTGGCTCGAATGCGTGGGAAACGAGACTGACGTGGTAAAGTGACGCTTCCCGCACGCTAGATCGGTGGGTAATTAGGTATTTTACAGACGGGAGTAGAAAAAAGTTATTAACATCTTACAATGTTGGAAGTTTTTGAAAATAAAAAACTTTAGAAGAGTCTCAGTAAAGGTTACTAGAATTATGAATATCATCGCGAAATCTGATAATATTGGTGTTAGCATTTTTGAATTTTGCATGCTCATAAGCCTTCAGATACTGAATTTTATCGTTCCAGTTGACAATTTTGGAGATACTATTTAGGTTTCGGTACTTTTACTGAAAAAATTATGACGTGTAACGTAAAAGTGGAAGATCTGATAACCTTGCTGTTACCAATTTTGAATTCCGCATGTTCCAAAACAGCCAAGTTTGGAAATTGATAATTAAAGCTTTAGCAGTTTTGTAGATATTTAAGTGTTCATAAATACCCTGTATTGATGTTTGGGCCATTAGTTACGTTGATAGTCTCGGGCTAAGTAACTGCAAAGGAACATAAATGTTATTGTTATACATACATACTGATTTCCAAAAAGGAAATTAAAAAAAAAAATTCGGTTACAAAACCTTTATAAAATCTAGTTCTCATAACATTTCCGTTTGATATATTATATTTAACAAACAGACTTAAATTCCAACAATAGCCCATCCTCACAGTGAAGAGGGTAGAAATGGAGGAAAATCTAAACACGTATGACTGCACAATAGGTTTTTCTGGAGTACGATTTATTTCTCTTTCTTCTAAAGAGGCAAGCTTACTATTTATTCTTATTTGAGAGTGGAATTCACAATCGCAACTTCCTCGTCCAATGAAGGCATTAGGGTTTGATATGACAAGTAATTCGCAATGCCCATTCTAAAGTTTTTAAGGCATCCTCAAGGCCTGAGTGACGAGTATGAAATGAAAGTGGCAATATTTTCAGAAGAAAATTTTTCAATTGCATCTCGTAATATAAAACAACGCTAAGGAGTGTTTGTGTGAAGTTTGAAAGCAAGGAGTTGGTTAAAACTGCGTGTTTGCCCCCCCCCCCCCGCCAGTTGTGTTAAACTTGCCTTCAAATTTAACACTGTTAGCAAATTTGATTTATAAATAACCGACGTAGGAGGAATGCAGAAGACTACAGTGGTCTGTGCGATTTTGAAAAATCATGTTTACGGTTGAAGATACGTACCAACCAAAACGTAGAGATTCAATTCGATAAAGGGAAACGGAAATCCACAAATGTAGTTTTAGTGCTATAAAATTGGCAATTTGACATGCAGCAAGTAAAAATATTCTAACCTCAAACTGATACAGAAAATAATTTCTAAATGTTGTTTGCTAAGGCAAACGCTTTCCTCATTTGAAGAAAAAAAGAGTGGGGCGACGAGAGGGAACCAACCCTTCAGATTTCGACAGAACCTTTTATTTTATGCTCTCACAAACCAATGGAAATATCAAAACTGCGGTTGCCGCAGAGACTGAAGAATGTATCATTAAAAGTGAAATTTTGTCGCTCGACTTGACAAGACGATTCGAGGGGCCGATCCGTGTCGTCATATCTCTTACATTATATTATACATTATTGTCCTGTCGCAATTCGTTCGTTCCTCCCGCTCGTATAAGTCTTGATTTAATTGATCGTTTGTCTTGGCGTTTTATGGGACGTTCTGGCCGGTTGTAAAAATCCTGAGGCCCTAATAAAATTCCGGAAACGTTCCTTCTCCGTTCGTGATTTTGATGCCGCACGACATGGTGAACGCTTTTAATAACCGTCAAAATTTTCGAGCGACAATTGACGAGACGGGGAAACATTTTTATTGGTTGTTGTTTGTTTCACTCTATTGGGAGAAAGGGGATGATAATAACCGCGGTGTTTGCCCAATTTTTAAGATTTTTTTTTTTTGAATAGATATAAAATTACTTAAAATGCCTTTTATTGTGAAATGTATTATAAACAAGAGTATATTATACAAGTCTCCGGCGCAGTCTAGCTTAAAAAAATATTCTACTGTACCGGATGTTGACATGTTTAACCAACACATTTAACTTTAGACATTAAGCAAACAATTTAAGGTTTTTAAAGTCAGTACCTATAAAAAAATCCTAAAAAAACCTTAAAGACTTTTACAATATGAAAATGTTATTTTTTGCTTAAACCGAATTAACATATTTTTTTTATATAACATATTTTTTTATATAGACATACCGGAGACATGAGTTTTGAACTCTGTGTATTCGGGTTCGACTCTCACGATCCAAGCAAAAACCGTAGACAAAATCACAATAATTAAAGTTAGACAAGACAAGTGACTCAGATAAGTTTCTTTTGCGTAGTATATGCTTGTTATTATAAAGCATCTTTAGTGAGCAGTAGGTTTTTTTGAAAAATAGATTTTAAATGTTCCTTAAACCGAAGCTGAGTATTCAATACCACGACCAGATTATTTGCAGTAGTTACAAATTTTAATTTAGTGTCATTAACTATAATGTTAAGTCTGCGGACTAAAGGCGTAGTTTCGTTTTTACTTCCGAAAGTCATGACGCATGAATTTGTAGGGTTTAATTTGAAGTTGTGGCCACTATAAAAGTCGCTTATAATAGGTAAATCGCGATTTATATTAGACTACGCCTCATCGGCATCAAAACGGCAATAGAGCTGAATGTTATCGGCAAATGCCTTTACTGCACAGAACGGAGTTCACAACGTCAGCAGTATAAACTAAAAAGATCAATGGCCCTAGAATGGAGCCTTGTGGGACTCTAGAAAGCAAAGGAACCTGATCGGAATATGTATTATTAGAGAATATTCTTTGAAACCTGTGCTTAATGATGTCAGACGCCTTTGAAAAATCTAAGTACCAATATGTTGACCATATTTTTCTCACATGCCCTCAACAACATTAGTTAAGGGAACCGAAGTTACAAAATTTTCCTGAAACATCTCTGCACAGTGGGTATCAAATAATTGTTAATAAAATAACGGTATATCTGAGCATACAAAACTTTTTCAAATATTTTTGAAATTGCTGGTAGAATACTGATTATTCGTAGATCATTGAGAAGATTGTGATAACTTACCTTTGCCAGTGGTCTTCCTATTGATATTTTCCATAGATCTGCAGCAGTCTATAATATGAAAGAGTCACAATTTTTTACCATTAGTGATGAAACTTCGTCGACCACGGTTGCATTGGATTTCATTGAATTAAAATTTGATTTATCTCAGACACTTCGGCCATCCTAAAGGAGATCTTTATGTGATTGTTAAATTTGTGATTATTGTAGTTAGTTAACCTGCTAGTTACAGTTTAAAATATTCTGAAAAAATGTAGCCAAGTGCTTATTAATTAAATCCTTATTAGATAGTATTGCCGGTATTTTGACATTTCTTTGGGAACAAATGTTAAAATTTCTGACAACTGCCCATAGTTTACAAGAATAATTTTCTGCACATAAGCTAATAAAGTACTTTTTTTTCTGCGAACCTGACTAAAAGTAAAATTTCATTTAATGGCTACAAAAATGCGACTTCTCAACGAAGAAATTATATAAATGGCAGAAAAAAAATGCATGTAGAAAAATACATTTTACAAAGCATAGTCTTGATTTAGGGTTCATTTAATTGTACACAAGATCAATTGAAGTTTTAAATAAAAACTAGGAAGACTTATTTTCGAAATTTATTTCACTAGCATTTGTCACAGAAGCTAGATAAATATATTCTATGGATTTCCAGATCGTGGATCGTTTTATCTGGCACACGGTGGCACATATTTTTGTTGTTTTGGTAAATTTGTTATCAACAAAAAGGGCCAATGATTTATCCGATGTCATTTTTAAAGGAGCCGTGGTGCGAGCAGCGATGTTTTTTTTTACCTTACTCAACAACAAAGGACGCAGGAGGAATACAGAAGTTTTATAAATAAATTAAGGTTTAATTGGTAAAAAACCCGTCCATCATTTCGAAGCTACGGTGATTTATTCATTTAGGTACACATTGAAATATTTTCCAGCACTTCATTGCCACTTTGCTTTTTTTCCTAAAGTTCCACCATATGTAGTTTATAAGATAAGGTCGCTTACCCTTCTTAACGGAAAACCCTGTATATGTCTAAATATTACCCTAAACATTAATTCTGGCTTTATGTTAAATAAAAAAAATGTGTATAATACTTTTAATCCTTATCCTTATCATCATCATCCATTTTTATGACATCATAAAATCACTAAGCTACCGAATTTTACTTCCTATCTTACTAAACATTAATCCAATCATTATGACCAATCAAAATTTGTAAGTTTTACTCACTCCCCAGAAATGCAACCGCACACCCCCTATGGTTTAACCCCTAGTACCAGTAGTGCTAACGGTTTGATAGCCGTATCGATTAATAGGTAAAGGATAGACAAAAATCACATAAAAATGTATGCGGCAAATTACGACGTACAAAATTGTTACGTTGCAATTGTTACAAATGAATTTAATGGAAAACGATATTTTAACACCAATCCTCTTCAATCACAAAAGTTCTACTCTAATCTCATCAAATATAACTTTACAATACTAACTTCAGTATAATATTTGAAATATACTTTAATAACATTTATGGGACATACCTGAATGTTCAAATTATAAAAATTCGTTTAAAACAATCTTTCTCTGACACATTTTTTTTTTGGATTTGATACTATGTACATAGTTATCAAGTACATGTGCGTGCACAACATCCGACGGCAAATAATCGTTTCGTACAGGCGTTTGTTTGTATCAATGATCGGCGTCTCCTAGGCAACGGTTCGTTTGGTTTCCCTAGTTATCTGAATTAGTAACAACATAAGTTTAAATACATTCGACGCATCCAAATTTTGCGACTTTTACAGACATATAGTAGGTCAAAAAAGTCTCTGTACACATAGCATTTTTTCAGTTTTCTTTTAGTTTCTTTTTTCACTTGCATTTAATGAGAAATATATTTCAAGTAAATATGGGCAATCTCAATAAGAGTAATAAAAATTAAATAAAAATCATTTGAGACACTTTATTTGACGATAAAAAATAAGGCCGTTTTAGAAGCAAGAAACTAGTCAAATAAGCCATGCACTTTAATAAGTCACTATTCAGAACTGCAGGAAGAACAATATTTTATCATGTCAGCTCGTACCAAATTTCGCTTAAACAAATGAATTATACTTGCTTATTTTTGACGCTACTTTTAAGTTCGTTGGTTTTGAAGTTAAAGCAAAATGAGCGCGAAATTTCAATTGCGCTTCGAAAAATCATATAAGATTTATGGAAAGAGAAAAAATTCTTTAGAGATATTGGTAAAATAATTAAAAAATCACATTCAACTGTACAGTATGCAATAAATCAACACAAATCTTGCCACGCACCTCTTGGTCTAAACCATATATAAAATCAACGCGAAATACTCCTAAGAAAAGGAAAAAAAATAAAATAAAATAAAATAAAAAATAATAAGAAAGAGGAAAAAAAAGGGTAAATAAATGAATAGATAAAAAAAAAGATTGAATTTCTTGCAAAACTGGGTCGCTGGGTGCTTGCAAATTAGTTACCCGTAGTGCTCTGAGTTCCGGAGCGATGGGGGGGTCCACGAATAATAAAGAAAATATAGCACTATTTATCCTTAGGGCGCCAAGAAGTAGCAGACCTTCCAGTCTCTCAGATGGTGTTAGGAACCCGATGTTTTGCAAAAAATAAAATAAAAAAATAAAAAGAAAGAGAACATTAACGATGAAATCTACCATTAAATTTAAATTGGTACAATCGATAAAACATAGTCGTAAAAGTTAAGGGGACAAAAGAAAAGAGAGATAAAAAATGGTCTACGTTATTTATTACGCGTCGATAATGAGAAACTACAAATCCGCGACATACCGACCTAAACTCCCAAAATTCAATTGCTGTTCCCACAACAAGTTGACAGCCCGTTTAATACGAAATACTCAAAATAATAGAAATACACAAAGAAAAAAAGTCAAATTCCCTTAGGTGATCACCACAGGCTAACAGGGGCAATATAGGTAATTATTAAAAAAAAAACTCGACCACGATCATATTCAGAATTTAAAATGTAGGCGCGGAACTACCGGATCGTATTCCAGTAAAGTTACAATTCTGAAGTGTTACAATCTACTGGATCTTATAAAGTGCGGCCACGCTCTGGTCGTCCCAGGAAGTTAATTGCACGAGAAGAGTCTTCTGGCGTGAAAAAAATTAGAATTAATTCCAAATCAAGCGTTCCAAAACTTGAAGGGGAAATCAGGGAAGAGTTCTCAAACAATGTTAGCCGTCAAACGATTAGAAACTGCAGGTTATAAGGGCCGCGTTGTCAGAGGAGAAGATTAATTTCGGAAAAAAAATCGAAAGAAACGTTTGGAATTTGCCCGAGAACACATTAACAAAAGCAGCGAGTTTTGGGAAAACGTTATCTTTAGTCACGAAAGAAAAATTAATCTTTTTGGGTCAGATGGTCGGGATGGTCCTACTGTGGAGGAAATGCTTTATTGTGGGGCGTATGTCAGCTAATGGGGCAGGCAGTTTAGCTTTTATTGGCGGCTATTTGAACATCCTAAATAATAATTTAAACCAAAGTGTTGAAAAACTTAACCTTGAGAGGCGTTATATACTCCAACAGAATAACGACCTCAAACACCCTGCTAATGTCTTCCAACGACTTCATACACCACCATAATCTCCGGATGTTAACCCCACAGAGCACCTGTTACAAGTAAAGAAGACTTCAAAAATAGGATAAGAGAACATATCGCCGGAAGTTACAACAAAGCTTGTTTTAAGTCTTCCAAAAAGACTTAGTGCCATTATTAAAGCAAATGCCAATTGTACAAAATATTAGACTTTAAGAAACTTTCCAATTTATCATAAGAAATAATAGTGTTCAGAGACTTATTTGACATAATTTCTTGCTTCTAAATCTCCTTTATTTTTGAGCGTTTAGTGTTTCAAATGATTTTTGTTTTATTTTGATTACTCTTGTTTTATTTTTATACTCTTTTAATTACTTTAAATATGTTCCTCATTAAATGTAAGAAAGAAGAAACTAAAAGAAAACTGAAAAAATACTATGTGTACGGAGACTTTTTTGACCGACTGTATGTGCGTCTTTTCATGGCCGAATTTAACGCTGTCTAGGCGTTTATTCGGAAAGGCACGGACTAGTGGGAAGAGATCAGGAAATAATTAGTAGATATAATTTTTATGTCCGTTATAAAAAATGTGCGTTGCTAGCAATTATGCAGTTATTTTAAATAAAGAGAGAAAATTACCGAAGTTCTTTGTTTTTTCTAATCGCGTTTCCGGATATAAACAGGTGGTTTAGTAGTTGAACTTAACTTCCACGCCAACCTGCTTCGCGCGACATTTTTCCAAAAGGCTATTTCTACCCTCCAACCGAAAACACGACCCGCGTTTACCGGAGGAAATACTCGAGGGTCAAATTTTCGAATTATTCATCAAGACGCGAACATTTCGAGCAACGATTTAATCCTGAATGACGTTCACTAATTATTATTTAGCGAAATCCTCAAGTCTTACCGTTTTAGCCACAATTGAGATTTCGACGGCAACCCTCCGACCATTTTTTAATCACCTCTTAATAAAGACTAATGAGTCTCTATAATGCGGATCGGGAAATTCGTCGAAAACTTCCATTTCTTCTTGTTAACTGGAGAACCGGCGATAATTAAGATCTCTCACGGAGTTTGAGCTGTTGCAGCGGAGTTCGGCGAAAGTCTCCGTTATGTGAAAATTAGTGTGTGACGAATGTCGCTGATGGCTCCGGCCCACTTTCCTAATTGGGGATCGTGTTTTTGGCAGTTTCAAGGGTGACAACGGAAACCCCATTCGCGCGCAATCTCCTGCAGCTTCCTCGGAATAGATATTTCTGTTGTATTCGTAGCGATAAAACTTTTAATTGATCCCATTTTCGTGAACGAAGGGGAACGAGGCGCTTTCAGAAGTAAAAGAAATGTTTTGTCGAGATATAACCCAAACCATAAACCGTAAATATATCATCTCCAGCTAACGTAACAGAAGGAGATTGAAAAATCAATATTCCAATAATAATAATAATGATTATAATAATAAGAATAATAAGAATAATCATAAATAGTAATAATAATAATAATTGACAGAACAACTAGCCAGATGTTTACACCCCAACCCATCAACATCACGGCTTCATATCCCAAGAAAAGAAGGTAGCAGGCTTCTAAATGTAAGCAAAATTTGGAGAAACCAGGTCTCTAAAATTAGTGCGAAATTAATAGGATTCACAGACCATATCATCCAGTCTATAAGAAATACTGATAAAAACTTCACAACACTTAACTTAGGTATGCCAATAGTGACCGATACATCAACACTACATCAGGAAATACAAATTTGAAAGGAAAAAGCCCTTCATAGTAGATACCCTCTAACACATCGATAAAACAGCATCACTGCAGTGGCTTCATAAGGGCTATCTTTATCCTGAAACTGAGGGCTTTATGCTCGCAATACAAGACAAGGTAATTAGAACTAGGAATAATGAAAAACACATATTGAAACATATACAAAGAAAAACATTTTAATCAATAGAACGCATCATGGGTAGCGCACTAGCAGATAATGCGCTTATTTAGACAGGCACAGTGAAATGCCAAAAATTATTCATCAGCAACTGGGCTTGAAATGGAAAAGATACGCCTGCATTTTACAAATATGAACTAAAATCAATTCTCGAAAATAGGTCACATCTGCCATACTGGTATTAACAGATACAACGGTCGCTCACAATAGACCAGATATTCTCCTCATTAATAAGCAGGAAAAAAGAGACAGTCTTTGATATTGCCATACCGTTGACCGACAATTTGGGATCTACGGAAGCTGAGAAAGTTCGAAAATATAAAGCTAAAACAAATCTGGCGTCTTAACGAAGTAACCATATGCCCAATGGTTATTGGTTATGGAATTGTTACAAAAAATTTCAAGAAAAACCTGGATAAACTAGACATTCTGAATAATATCTTTAATGCATCACAAAAAGCTATAATACTCCAGACATGTTATATTGTTCGAACATTTTTGAGCTTAGGTGAAGTAGGATAGGAGGAAGCTCGTTTCTACCAATATCACATAATAATAATAATAATATTATATTACTTTACTTTTCTGTAATTCGACAAATATAATACAAACAAACCCACTAAATTAATGTTTATTTAAGGGCAGAAATTCAGACACAATGTTAAATGTATTGTTTGTATGTATTTGCCTTATAAAAGGATTATGGAGAAGTAAACTTGCCCATATGGGTGATAAAAAAAACTTACTTTTTTGACAAAATTATTATGGGGGAATGTTGCTAGTCTTTAAAAAAAATTGTAAATAGTATTACAGTAGTCTGCGGAAGTTTCAAATTTAACGATTAATGTAATTAACAACATGCATTTTTATTTTGTCAAATTCAGTAGAATGAATTACAGGATGGAAAAAAATATATATTTTAGTAACGGTTATCACTTAAAATAGATCTGCACATATTTGGATAAATTTGATATCAGATGTCTTATCCGCATTTTAAAACTTATAAACTTTTGAAAAATAAGAAAATTAAATTGATACCTCAGCACCTTGTAACATTAGATTTGTCAATTTTTGGATTAGGGTATGACTCAAATAACTATTTCGGTCTTTAGTTTCTATAATCCAAAGATTTCTCTGTGATTTAAAACATATTGAAACCACATACCACGTAAACACACCATTAAACTCCATAAAAATTATTGTTAAGATACACTGCCTGCACAATATATTGCGTCATTTTTTTTGCCTATCGGTATATAGAAAAATTTCAAGATACACAGCATCGGTCCCAAATGAGGTGTTAATTTTGCATACTTTTAATGAACCTATGGATATATATATATATATATATATATATATATATATATATATATATATATATATATATATATATATATATATATATATATATATATATATATATATATGTAATAATAAAATAAGAAAACAAAAACTAATGGGGAAAAACGAAAATTAATAATAATAATGAAAATAAAAAATGGAAAACTGACTATCATAGGAAAAATGAAAATAACAAGGATCAAATAAGATATTTAAATATAAGTTATAATCTTTTGTTCTTTAGTAGGAATATTCACTAAAATAAATAGAATTATGAAATAAAGTGAAATTGAACCATTAACTAATTAAATATAATCATCAAAAAAAAAGATAAAGTGCAAAATACATACCAAGATTTTGTTGGATAAAAGCAAACAAAAAGCTTCCTCGTTACTTGAAATACAATCGTAATACTTTTTGTAAAAATGTTTGTATATTCTCAAAAAAGAACAATGCAATTGCAGCTTAGGGTTCTTTTTTGCTGATTAAGTGAATGATGGTGTGAAGAGTGTTCCTTTTCACATTAGACTTACTAGAGGAAAAAGTCTGCGTTAATCTTAAGCTTCTGTTTCTGTATCAAATTTTTACTTTCAATTTTTTTTCGTACTGCTTTTATTGAATATAATTCCGTATTAAATTGATGATTACGTAATAATATAATAATAAGGATCAAATAAGGGGGAATTAATGTTAGAAAATAACTGCCTGCATTTGGGTCCAATTTCTCCATTAAAAATTACATTAGAATAAAAATCTTAAGCTCAAATACAGATCGGGAGTAACTTACAAGTCACGATGTATTGCGGTACTGCCTTCCCTGGTATTTTGTTATAGAAGAACCTTCAGCAATAGTAATCGTGGCCGGTGTAAAAACAAATTCTGCCAGCGTCATAAACTGTAAATAATTTAGCGCGACAACCCGCCACTGAAAAGTGTGACGCCCACAATCGATTATTCACTGTTTCTGTAACAGTTGTATTGAAACCTTACTCTTTGATTAGCCATGAGAAAATGTCCTCCGTCGCAATCCATAGGCGCGCCCGCCGCGTTTCGCTATTCTTGACGATCACTAATGAGAATAATTATTTCAAAAATTAAATTCAAAAGGATTTCATTTGCAGTTCCTCGCTTCTTTTGAACTTTTTAAAAAAATTATCAAATTAAGGATTTGACTTTTTTGGGTGTAAATTGTTTTAATTACCTTAAAAAGCCTTCGCTAATATCGCTGAAATTTGATTGAAGCTATATTTCGATACATAAGAATCCCCCATTTTTAACTCATAGGCTGAAGGTCCTAAATACCCAAATCTGAGCTCTTAAATACACATCACCTTACTCCATGCAGATATATTGCTGTGAGAGAAGTAGATATTTTACAGCTGCTGGCGTCTTTGCAACATACGGACAAATTGGATTTAGGCTCTGATTATTGCAGCACCACAGACAATTAACGTTTCAATTGTAAGGCGCCTACACTCCAAAATCAGTGCAGCGAGGTCAATTGAACGCCTTTGTTCAAAACCGAAAAGAAAGACAACAAACACTTTTTTTTTGCTTGTTATTTAAAAAACTATGTGTTCTTAATGTATATTAAGAAAGAATATTAAGTAAATCGTTCACTTCTCGTTTTGATCAGATTCTAACGCACACGCCTCTGGCGCGTCTGGAGTTTCCCCTCAACAACTAAAAGCGCCTCTTTGTTTTCAGGGAAAATTATGCACTATAAATGCGGTTGCCATTTGTCGCCTACGTGGACTAGTCGCCAACATGAAGCTGGGCGAACAATATTTTAGCTACATAAGACGGCTGATGACTGTCTTCGGCATTTGGGTCATAAAAGAAGAACTTTCTCAATCGAAAAAAAAACTTTACGCTGTATACCGTATAACAATACAGATGGTATGTGTTTCATCAATGATTTCTTATATTTTGGATGTGCCCGCATTACTCAAAAGTAACCAGACCGAAGGTAATAATTTGAAAAAAAAGATATTGGAAGGATTTAATTGATTAAAACATAATTATGAAATTCACATTGTAGCTTCTTTTCTATTAAATTGAATTCAGATTAAAAGAAACAGCTTGATTTGTGATAATTTCTTTAAAAAGTCTATTCCATTTTGATATTTTAAAATACCATAGACTAGATGTTGGGCATTGATAGTAGTAGTCGTTGTATTTGTAGCATTTAGTAACATCGGAGTGATAATATTCTTCGCTACCGTAATCATCAAAATGATAATGTGCCAATCGCAACCGATCGTCAAGTTACTCCGTATTGCGGTACAGCAAGACTTTCAAGCCGTTAAAGACATCAACGTGGAAGTAGAGGCCATATACAAAACAGAAACTAAAGTCAATAATTTCTTGATCACTATCGTTATGGGGTCTATGACGATTGTATCAGTTGGCTTTCTAGTGTTTGGTAAAAGCGGCTTTCGGTTGAACACCTATGTAGTATACGGATAACGTTTTAGGCGACTTCAACTGCTACAGGTATGTCAAGCAATACAGCAATGCAACGGATAAACCGATGCTTTTAAACTATTGGTATCCTTTCGATACCAATAAATACTACGCGTTAGTCCTCATAGACCAGAACATCAGACAAATTCTTAGCGCGCTTTGTACCGCTACGGTGAACGCGTTCGTAATCTCGATAATTATCTTCGCTCGGCTTCAGCTTAAGTTGCTGCAGTATAGTTTCAAGAACTTTCACAAGCTGACGAGAGATAAAAACAGTGCAGGAGGCGCAAACGTGTTAAAACAGTTATGCCAAAAACATTTGGATCTGATCAAGTATCATTGCCATCTAAATTCAACAACCTGGGATGTTTTACCAAGGCTCTGTTTCAGTTATATCGCAGATCTAAACCAAGCTTTTAACGTTATAATATTTATGGAGTACATGATATTATCGATTACGTTTGCGGCAGAGACTTTGCAAATCATCGACGGGGTAAATAATGTAATGCAATACTTCTACCTGGCAATAGTAATCGTTTGTACAGGGTGAAAAGGTCTTATTTGCTTGCGGAGTATTGTCAAATTCGATAATTCAACTGCTTATATTCTCTTGGAGTTCTGATGAGATTATCATTCAGGCAAGCAGTAATCTGTATCCGTAATTTTCATAGTTTGAGTGTATACCGTTTATTCAAGAGCAAAGAACTGGCCACAGCCCTCTTTGAAAGTAACTGGTACGACTATGATAAAGAAACCAAAGTGATGGTGCATATAATGATAATGAGATGCCAGAATCCGCTCAGCTTGACGATCGGCAGTTTCGGTGTAATGGATTTAGATGTCGGACTTTCGGTAAATAACCTTTTGGTAGTGAGTGTCGATGTTTTATATACAGCTGGAAAGATGCTCGGGATTAAAAATTAGAGTTGAGAGAAAATCGGTATCATACAACTTGAATGATTTTTATTTAGAAAACTTCACAACTGGTCGGTCGGTTACATTGGGAAAGTTTTAAAGAATTTTATGGGAAACTTAAATCTGCCAGCAAAATAATTCCAGCGTTGATCGTTTCTGAGAAATTCGAGAAAATATGAAAATTCCGATTTTCTATTCTTGTCTGTAAAGCTCAAAATAGACTTTAGAAATATGTGTTATCACAAATCTTTTTAATTGTATTATGATGACAAAGAAAACACAATTTTTCTCATTTATTTTTGGGATATGCCACAGATTTTTAAATTTAAATTGATAAATTAATATATAAATAGGTAGAGCATTATAAAATACTTTTAAATTAAATATCACATGATGCATTTTTCTTCACTCTTAGGGTCATATAAGCAAAATTTGATTTTTTTAATAGTGGGACATGATCGCTCTCAACAGGCAAATGGAAAAATGTTTAAGTTTTGGATTATGTCTAATTAGAAGGAAGATCTTTGAAAGACTAATTGCCAGCTTACTGACGCATGGCTTATTTCAAAAACCAGTGACTAAAAGAAATAAACAATGCAATTGAAGAAACTAAAAGTAATGTACTGTTAGCTATAATCGAAGCCCAAACATCGGTTAGAAACACAAGGAATTGGAACTCCAAATCTACAGCACATTAAAAAAAATTGCTTGAAATTAGTTACATTATTAATTTTTTTAATTTTGCCTAACCAATAAATTTACTAATATTATGCGCTTAATGGACTGGATATCTGTTGATGCATTGTGTGATACACCATTTATATAAATATATCAAGGCATTTTTAATTTGTCGGAACTTTCAATTTATATATCATACAAATTCCAGTCAAAGCAATTGTACAGTTACGTTATAGGATGACATCTTACTGGATGTCGTAAATTGAAATTGTTTGTGAGTTTTGAAATCCGTGTCAATAGAGATCGTTTCATTTTTTTCAAATAGAAACACCATATTTTTGTGATGATAATGAAATACATCATGAATGCGTCAAATTATATGAAGGATTAGCTCGTGTATTTAAATAGTCCAAATATAATTTCGTGTTCCTCACAACTTTTAAATGCTCTTGACTTAATATTTTTGGAACAAAATTAGTTTGTTGACATAATTAAAATAGAAACCGAAATCGCACCTTCATAGTCTGAGAAGGTCCTTTTATTTCAGTTTCCAAAGGCCTATAATCTATAAAAAACCATTTGGCGTTCTTAATTTTCTATTCTTATAAAATTGTCATTCCGGTTTAAATGGCCTAGTTTATTTAGTAGAATGAAGTTGAAATTGTAAATAAATAAATACAGATATGTTTGTACCTGGTACCGTTGTTCTCTCAGCGCTCACTTTGGTTTGTTGTATTTGTTAAACAAAGATTTTGCTAAAATTAAAAAGATATTTATTTTTTTCAAATACCGCAGCTCGTAACTGTTTTCATTTTAGCGACTCAAACTGGCCTATTCCTACACATCTGTTATGACAAATTGAGATTAATAAGAATATATGAGCACTTAGAGCAGGAAGTTCGGTTTATAATTCATAATGTTCTCCATGTTTGTAATTCAAAAATAATAAAGGTGATCAGCAACAAGGTGTCCGAAATAAAGCTCCCTATCCCCTTAACTCTGAAACTACTAACGCTAGAAAAAAAGTTAAATAGAAAATTTGTATATACCTAAAGTTTTAATGGGTGTTTTTTTTTCGATGTATAGAACTTTAAGTTGGCATTACTGTTCAAGATGGCGACCGATTTAACAGCTGTCAAATGATTTATTCTCAGTTTGGAACAACGCTTCCAAATAGTGCAATTTTATTTCGAAAATAATGGTTCTGTGCGGAATACGTATCGCGCACTAAGTCAATTGTATCGTCGACAAAATCTTCCATCAGAGCAGTGAATTCGATTAACCATGGAACCTTTTCGCACCATGTTTACTCTTATTGATAATTCGCATCCCCAGAGACGCCGTACGGAGCGTACAGAAGAAGCTATTGCTGCTGTAGAGCGTAGCATTGAGTAAGTCCCGAATGAGTGTCCATCCACTTTAAGGAAGATTTTGCGGAAGGATCTTGGTTTACGTGCTTACAAAATCCAACTCGTGCAAGAATGCAAGCCAAACGATCATCAAGTACGGCGTAGATTCGTCGAATGGGCCCAAAACGAGATTGCCGTTGTTCTCGATTTTCATAAGCGAATTTTGTTTAGCGATGAAGCGCACTTCTGGTTGAATACCTACGTCAACAAACAAAACTGCCGCATTTGGAGCGAAGCTAATCATCAAGTGTATGTCGAAACACCGTTACATCCAGAAAAACTGACTGTTTGATGCGTACTTCTTCAAAAACGATAATGGCCAGACCGTTACAGTCAATGGTGATCGGTATAGAGCTATGATTACTAACTCTTTCATTCCTGTCCAGGAGATGTGGTTTCAGCAAGACGGCGCAACATGTCACACAGCTCGTGCCACAATAGATTTATTGAAAGACACGTTTGGTGAGCGAGTAATTGCACGTTTTTGACCTGTGAATTGGCCTCCAGAGTCTTGTGATTTAACACCGCTAGACTACTTTCTGTGTGGTTATGTAAAGTCATTGGTCTATGCGGATAAACCACAATACAACATTCGCCGTATTATTACCGATATACGGCCACAAATGTTGGAAAAAGTCATCGAAAATTGGACGTCCAAATTGGACTACATCCGCGCCAGCCGTGGTGGTCATATGCCAGAAATCATATTTAAAATGTAATGCCACAAGATTTTCTTTCGGATAAATAAAATTCATATCAATCGAATAATCCATCGTTGTTTTATTCCAGCTTAAAGTTCTATACATCGAAAAAAAAACACCCCTTATATACCTAAAGGACACATTACTTTGCCTTGGCGAACTTCGACATTCTAGAGAACATACATGCGATCCAGCCAGATTTGATTCGTTAGAAACGCAAAGAATACAGAAAATATGCTGGCCACAACGCCTTTATACCCAAAGAAGCGAACATGGTGGAAACATACTGAGAGACCTGAAATTACAAAAAATTAGTGGAAAACCCACAACGCATGGAACGAGTTGCAGTTACGGGTCCCATCCATAGTATAGTCTCACCGTTATCGACAAATCTTTAATTTTATGTCAAAAATTACATTTGCGAGTCATAAAATAATAATAATGACGTTAATATAAATAATAATAACATTGATAATATTACTTTTTACAAAGCTTCTGGATTCCTCCTACGTCGGTTTTTGCTGAGTCGGAATTGCTGACGTTTCGCCAATCATCCTGTTGGCTTCTTCAGAGCTTGACTGAAACTGGCTCGTATTTTACTCTGTATCTGAGTATATATTGTTTGAGAGGGTGGCGCTAATAAGTGGTATAAACACCGTCTCGGATGACTGATTCCCGAATTGGTGCCAGGAAGGGACCTCAGTCGCGGTTAAGATTGTTAGGTTGTTTATAGATTTCTATAGACTCTCGGATTTTTCGTTGGTAGAAGAACTGATTACTTGCAAGAAGTTTCTTTGAAAAATTAATAATACTAATTATCAAATATATTACTCATTAAATTACAAATACATTACATAAAAATATCAAACCAAACAAAAGGGAATCGGAGTTCAAAATGGAAAAGATACTAGATTCTAAACAGTAACTAAAGATTACACGCAAAAATCTTATAGAGAGTAAGGTTCCAAATCTGTTAGTAACATTTTTATAATGCACTTTGATTGTTAGATTTGCTCTTGCTTTTACACTGTTCGGCACTTTATTTATTCAGTTAATATTAAACTGTAAATTGTGATATGTGAGGAATTTGCATATAAGGTTCGGGTATTTTATCTGTAAAATATCTGCAACTCGAAGTCCTTTCTATTTTTAAAAAGGAATATCAATGCTTCAAAAACATATAAAGCGTATACACTCAAATTGTCTTCATCCCTCTACAACTCTCTCTAAATTCCATTATTTTAATTTTACGAAAAAGTCTCTTTTGAACCACGAAAATTTTCTGTAGTTGACCACCGCCCCCCACATCTCAAAAAAAAAAATTCCATACCCCATGCGTGAAAGTTTTCAAAATAGATAACTGCGACAACTCTAATTGCATAACGAACTGAATTTAATTTACTTAGCACATATTTATTATGTTCAAACCAATCAAGAAATTCGTTAATTTTTAAAGCTAAGAATTTAGTGCTCTTTACAATATTTACAATATTCGTATTTTCTTTGCCTATCCTTATGCTCAGTGGTATTTCATCTATGTATAATTTAGTTCTAAAAATAATTTTAGAACTAAGTTTATTTTTTACTTTGTTTAATATCAATTTATTTCGTAGAAACCACTCATAAGCCCTTGCAAAAATACCGTTACCTTTATCACTAACCTCGATGAGATTATCGCCATCTACAAGCAGATGGTTCTGACTTTGTTACAAAATACAACTCATTCACAAAAGTGATAACTAAAATTGGGCTTTGTGGCTATCCCCAGACTATTTTCTTTAATATCCAAAAGATAACTACTACCATTTTGTGTTATTTTGTTGTTTCGTTCCAAATAAGTACGATTCGTACAATTTTGGCACTTACGCCGTATATATCCAATTTTTTAAGAAACAAACACTTTAATAAAATATGAAACAGAAATTTTTATCATACTCGTTGGAATCCGTCTATTCCACTGCATACGTTTATTTCCAATTTGTTCAGCAAAATGGCAGATTTCATCTGGTGATATAGGTCTTAAAAACATCCACTGGGAATTTAGGGACATTTTATTAGAAAAAAGGTCTTTTTTTCCAAGTTTTTTAATAATTTTGGCACAGATATTCCAATGTCACCCTTCAAACTGCTACTATCCAAAATCTCATTGAATATTTACCACATGCAATTGGTCTTATTATCAGAAAGCCTTAGGCTAACATCATATGCCCGAGATCGTTTTGTTGTCCAAGAATCATCATATTTCCTCTTAACAATTCTTTATTCCCAGTTAATATCGAGCACTCTGCCTAGCCAAAAGTAACAAAATATTCAAGTTTTCGTTTACATTCTAATTTCTCACCGTTATCTTTAAATGATTCAATGAAATAATTAACAATGTTTCCAATAAGGGAACCTTAATCATTTAATATTGTATGCATTCCTTGTGAAAAACGGCCTATAGTCATATGGATATTTTGGATATAAATTAATAGACAATGAGCAAAAATGAAGTACAAAAATTAACCCATAAAAAAGTGAAAACGTAAAAACTCCATTTTTCAAATAGAAACCCCTACGTTCTAAATTTTATACGATATGGAATTAAAAATTAACTTTGCGTAAGGTTGTCCATTCCCGAAATATGTAGTTTAACATTGTCCTATTTTAATAATGCTATAATACAGCTGATACTCTTGGCCATGATACTGAAGCTCTAAAGAATTGAATTAGAAACAAAGTCGAATATCTAAATCGAAGCGGTGCTGTAGGGAACACAGTTAAAAAATTAGTACTAATATAGATAATTAGTATCTCTGATGATGGCGGTCATGTAGAACAATTTACTTACTTTGAGTTTTTGAATTTGAATTAGTTATTTATAAATTGGAATTGCAAATGTAATAGTTGAACATGTTATGTCATTATTCATAATACTTCTTCGGTCAGAGGATATTACCAATTTTATCCCTCTTCCTATACTTTAAAACTCCATGCTTCCTCAAATCACGTTCAATTCAATTCAATTCTCCTTTGTGGATATTTTCTCTGTTTTTCTCTTGTGATTAAAGCGACACTTTGTTGTTTTCAATATAACAATCAAATGGATCCAAAAGCAAACCAAAATTTCCGGAATAGACAACCTTGTACAATGTCACGTGTACTTGTTACGTATTATGTAATAAATACTTAGGGCTCCCTCATAGCTTAATTATTTTAGGATCTGCAAATGTAATTTTTGACATAAAATCCAAGATTTGTCAAAAACGGTAAGATTTAAGTAAAAAAGTAAAAATTAAAAAATCTAATTGGAACGATGCAACTTATAGTATATTATGCAATAAGTGTGGTAAACAGCATGATTTTATTTGGCACTACCGAAGCGGAGCCAGTGACTTAAAAACATTGCCAAACAACATGAATACATTCTCTAGCATGATAGTCAGAATTGACAAACGTCAAAATTCAAGCCGTGCGGTAAATTCTCCCAAAATATCCGATTGCTCCCAAACTCCGTAATATCCCGTAAATGTCCAAAGTAGCTCGGATTCGTGGGACAAGAAACTCACGTTTTCCCCGAGTCACTTCGGACATTCCCGGGATATTACCGCACGGGTTTGGGAGGAAACGGATGTTTTCGGAGATATTTCCCACGCTTTGAATTTTGATGTTTGTCATTCCTGACGGTCATGTCAGTGAATGTATTGGTCTTGTTTTACGAAAATGTACCCAAAAACTAACTGTCGTAGAAAAAGTATAGTATGCAACACGTTTGGAATTTTTTTTAAGTCACTCATTTATTAAACACTCGCTGCACTGGACTCCGCTCACGCCAAATAAATTCGTGACTCAAATACTGTTTACCACACTTGCATAATATACTATTACGCTGTTTACTCTATCATCATACAGCTATTTTGTACTTCGCCTATTATCTCTAAAGATCTAAAAGTACCTGCTTTACTTAAAACCGACTAGGCTGCAGATGGCAATAAAATGTCATTGGGATCCACAAAAATTCAAGAAAAACAGAAATATTGTGAAAAAATGCTATACGTTCCTTCTTTAGCACAATGTTGAAAAATTGCATAAAATCATAGATATATTTCAAAAATATAATTAATTATACTGGGCATTTCGTAAAAGCGTTACAATACATTTAATGAAACCCTGGAGAAATGTTATATAACACCAAAAATGAATTTCAATTTCATTGCAACGTCGCCAACTCAACCAACCAACCAGCAGAAAAAATTTAAAATATTAAAAAAAAATATGCTTTTCCGTTATTTCCCATATTCCTACATCCGCAACCTTCGTAATATCAAAAACGGAACTTAAGATAGTCAAATAGTTTAGTAAAGTGGCGATTTTTGAACTGATTTTTCCTTACAACTATCTATTCAAGTTTTTCGATAATATTCGTGTTTGTTTATCATATAGAAATACATATTTTAAGTATTCAACTTTATTAATATAAAATTTAATTTTTGCGTTGCACATTTTTAAAAAAATCTAATTTTACCTGTGCCGTCTATTGCTATTTATGCAATGTGTATTTTTGTGTTTAACGATGGCAACCATCTTTTAAAAAACAATTCGTTTCATCGTTATAATACAAGAAACTAAAACCATTTTTTAATTGCAAAAAATCGGGCCAATATATCAAAAACTTTTTTGATATATTGATAAGCTACCATTAGAAATTCAAAACATTAAAACAATTAATGAATTCAAGAAAACATTGGAACGGTTTTAGATTAGACTTACACATTTGTGAGTTGTTTGAGTTGTTAAAAGGTGGCAAAGCAAGTTTTTTGATATATTTTCTATTTTTTTCAAATATGTAATATCAATAATGTATATAAACATTTCTCGGAGAAATGCAAAAATATATAGGCGGTTCTATTTTGAAATTATATAATTGAAAACATTTTTAACACATATGAATTTCGATTTTGTGCAATCCTCATTAACACATTGTTACGTATGTATCGGAAACCAATCATAATTAACTCCAGTTATTTTCTGATGATAAAGTCAAAATTTAAACTAGCTAGGCTTCTGGAAGTAGAATTTGTCATGCATTAGTTTTTGCATCGACAAACCCTGTAATTCTAGCAGTTCGTAATATCAGTATCCCTATCAATAAAACGCTTATGTTCCAATCATGATCTGTCATCGATCTCCTTCGGACTACTTCTGCAGTCAAAATTTCATTTCATTTCATTTCAAGTACATAGAAGAGATATACGAATTTTACAGGAAACTTAACAACTACTTTATAGCACTTGTGGATGCGTGTGTGTGTTTGGTAAGACTGACATTCAAATTAAGACCCATTTGTGATGATTATATTTCAGGCAGCGTCTAGTTCTGCAAATACTTCAAAGCAGCATTTGTCAACGAAACGGAGAAATATGTCGTTTTATATTACTGTTAAGCATTATATGATTGTCTTGGTAGACTAACTTTAGCGGGACTTTACTGGGCGATAGTAAACGCTTTTATAAACTCCATTATAATTTTCGTAAGTCTCCTATTAAAAATACTGCACTACAGTTTAAAAAATTTCGGCCAATTAGAAACAGACACTGAGCCTTAAATATCAGGAACTGATTCGGTAAAATAAATACTTACATAAATATCTAAATTTCAATTAAATAAAAATCGTAATTAGAAAACAGTGACAAATTTTGTGAACCATTCGAACTAGAGTACAGCAATTTTTGTTTGTCTACATCGGCATATAATTTCCTACACTCCGACGAAATTTTCATTAACACATTTCTCTATTCAAAGCTGCTCCATGCAAAGACATGATGTCTCTACGAAATGTGCAAGTAATTCCACCCCAAAACATCATCGAGCTTCCTCTTTGGTAGTCGAATTGCTGTAGAGACTAAATCCGACTTCATCATGAACACAACTATTTCACTTCACAACATTCAATTACAAAAATCAATCATGAATAGTCGTCATCTAGCGGCGACGGTTGTGCTAAATTGAGGAATGAGAAACATTGAGTCTGATACCTAAAGTTCGGTACACACATTCATCTTCACTTTAAATGATGCCAACAATTGCAGCAATTAGATAATATACTGGCCCTACTGTGGGAAAAATTGATGCGCCGCAATTTGCATTGACATTTCTCCCACTAACCTGCACTTGGTGCCATTTTCTTTCTAAACAGCGACGTTCACCCACTTAACCTTTTTTTCCCAGACATTTGGATTTTACGTGATTGTAGAAAAATAAAAGAAACAAAAAACAACCGTATTAATGAAAATTGAATTGGAATGGAAAATTCAAAATGAAATGAAAAAAACAAGGTCACAAAAATATGGTTTTGAGAAGATCAGCACAAAGTTCGTAGATCATATGACAAAAATACAATTTTCATTTCTTAATGTATGATTTAGCTGAGTTAAAGAGTGCCAAGGTTCTGTTTGTTTTTTTTTTATTTTATTTTAGTAAATGAACTAACTTTCTTAATGTTTTTCCTAACCGATATATTGTGCAGTTGCTCAAATAAGAGCAAGCAAAAAGTTTTCTCTTTACTTGAAATACAATAGCGAAATTTTTAAATAAGTTCTCAAGAAAATTTCCTGAATTAGACATGAAAGCCCGACCATATATTTTTGTATGGGATTTATATGCTTATTTATTAAATTTTTATTAAACTTTTAGACGAAAAACATTTTAAATATAAAATAAAAAAATTTCTTCTGAGTAAGGGCTATTATAGCATTGGTTTTTGGTTGGTTTTTTGAAGAAAACGTCGGAAATGACGTGTTGCGGGGCGCTGTGAATTGATTGTATTTTAATGATTGTTTTGAGCTATATACATATAAAAATAAAATAAAGAAAAAGTTTAGTATATTATGACGTTATATACAATTTTATGTTAGCATATACTTACATATATTAAATTATTTTTTTTTTATTTGTATGACTTGCTAAAAACAATGATATTGTGAAGCAGTCAATAATCCATCTATCTGTCTATCTATCTATCTATCTATCTATCTATCTATCTATCTATCTATCTATCTATCTATGTCGATTAACCTTTAAATCCTGTTGGCTTGAGTTAACACCCAAAAAAGAACAATGAAACTCCATTGAACATTGCAGCTTGGAGTTCTTTCTCCGGAAGACTGTAAGGGGGAGAGATTTTTTTTTCTCAAGTTGTATTCTTTTCGTTTCCTTTCACATTGGACTTTTTGGAGTAAAAAGTCTGCGTTGATCTGGAGCATTTCTTGTACCCAACTTGTACAGTCAATTTTTTATTCCTATAATTTAATTTAATTCTGTTTTAAATTTTACATTGTTAATGTAGTGTAACTTTAATAATAAAATAATATTTAATTTGAAGAAACAGAGCCGATCAATGTTAAAAACTAACTTAAATTAAGCTAAGTGTTCCGGTGCCTGCAATTGTACATCAAAAGTTACTTTAGAGGATAAATTTTAACCTGTTCTATAGATTAGAAGTTACTTACCAGTCACGCTATTTTGCGGTACTTTTTTTTTCTATTATTTTGTTATGTTATGTGCAGGGATAGTAGCCCCGCCCGGTGTATGCACGAATTCCGCCAGCATTGCCAACTCTAAATAATGCAGAACTGACAAACCGCCAGTGGAAAGTGTGACGCCCACTATCGATTATTAATGCGTCTTGTAACAGCTTTTTTGAAACTGTACTCTTTCATTAGCAATAAGAAAATTTCCTCAGTCGCAATCCATAGGCGCGCCGGTCGCGTTTTCCTATTCTTGACGACCACGAATGAGAATAATTATTTCCAACGGCGACTAAAATAAAAACGATTTCATTTGCACTTCCTCCGTTTTTTTACATCATTTCTAAAAATCATTAAACCAGAGCTTTTAGTTTTTTGTATATAAACATTTTTGTAAGGCCGATATGAAAGGGCCTTCTCTTATACTGCTTAAATTTCATTGTGAAAAGTAGATAATTATTACGCAGCTCGTGAGTTTGTAAAAGTTTTTGAAAACCCAGCTTCTAAATATCCGAAAAAATTTCAAATTTTTTAATTAAAACAAATAGAAGCATTATTTTCGTGAACTGTTGACTCCAAACAGAACTAGGTTGGTCGTCTCCCAACTCTAACAACACGATGATATCGATGCAAAGGAAAATCTGAGCTTTTGAATCATTTTACTGCATTCTTCTATGATCCAATTGATGTCTTCTTTTGCAAAACATTTCATTAACATTTCTAGCACGACACGGACAAGGTTGTGTCAAAACCAAATGAAGACAGGTCTGATAAGAATTTTTATTTGTTATTCATAAAAACTCTACGTGTCTTTTCTTAATGTACATGATATAAAGTTAATGATTCTTTTCTCGTTTTCATCAGATTAGAAGGCGCGCCTCTGGCGCGTCTCACGAGTTTACATTTAAAACTAAAAGCACCCCTTTATGTTTAGGGAAAATTATATACTATAAATGCGGTTGTTATTTGTCGCGTACGTCGACTAGTCGCCAACATGAAGCTGAGTGAACAATATTTTAGCTATATAAGACGGCTGATGATTGTCGCCGGAATTTGGAACATAGAAAGGAAATCAAAGAAAAAATTTTACACAGTATATTCTATAATAATGCAGACGGTGTATGCTTCACAAATTATTTCTTATTCTTTGGATGTGCCTTCATTACTCAAAAGTAACCAGACGGAAGGTAATCTTCTAGCGACTATCTTTGTTGAATTTTCATAGAAAAATAACAGCCTGATTTGTTATGATTTCTATAAAATGACCCTTCCATTTTGGTATTTTTAGTTGAAATAAGTATTTGCTATGATCCCAAAAATAATAAAAAACCATTTGTAGCTTTTAGTAACATCGGAGTTATAATATTCTTCGCTATCATAATCACCAAAATGTTAATGTGCCAATCGCAACCGATCGTCAAGTTACTCCGTATTGCCATAAAACCCGACTTTCCAGCCGTTAAAGACCTCAACGTGGAAGTAAAGGCTATATACAAAAAACAAACGAAGCTTAATAATTTCTTGATCACAATCGTAATAGGGTCTATGACGATTGTAACAGTCAGTTTCGCAGTGTTTGGTAAAAGCTTTTTTCAGTTGAACACCAAGTAGTATACGGATAACCTTTTAGGCGACTTTAACTGCTACAAGTATTTCAAGCAATACAGTAATGCAACGGATAAACCCATCCTTCTAAACTATTGGTATCCTTTCGATACCAATAAATACTATGCGGTTGTCCTCGTAGACCAGCATATCAGACTAACTCTGGGCGCGTTTGGTATTGCCACAGTGAACGCCTTCGTAATCTGCATAATTATCTTCGTGAGGCTCCAGCTTCAGTTGCTGCAGTATGGTTTCAGGAACTTCGACAAGCTGACGCGACATAAAAACAATGCAGAAGGCGCAAGCGTGCTAAAACAGTTATGCCAAAAACATTTGGATCTGATCGGGTACGATTACCACCTAAATTCAAGGAACTGGAATGTTTGATCAAGGCTCTGTTTCAGCTTTATCGCAGACCTAAACCAATCCTTTAGTGTTATAGTATTTATAGAGTACATGATATCATCGATTACGTTTGCGGCACAGATTTTGCAAATCATCGACGGGGTAAATAATGCTGCAATACATCCACCTCCCACTAGCAATTGTTTGTACAGGGTGAAAAGCTTTTATTTGCTTGCGGAACATTGTTCTACACGATTATGCAACTACTTATATTCTCTTGGAGTTCTAATGAGATTATCGTTCAAGTAAGCATTTTTTTCCAAAATTCTCATCGTTCGAGTGTAAACCATTTATTCAAGAGCAAAGAATTGGCTACAGCCCTTTTTGAAAGTAACTGGTACGACTATGACAAAGCAATCAAAGTGATGGCGCATATAATGATAATGAGATGCCAGAAACCGCTAAGCTTGACGATCGGTAGATTCGGTGTTATGAATTTGGACGTCGGAGTTTCGGTAAGTAGCCTGTATTTAAGTAGTTTTCTACTTTTTTATTCTATTCTATTCTTGGACAGTTACCCAGGATTAAAAATTAGAGTATAATGAAAATCGCCTTGTAGCATTCGGTCATCTTTTGACAATACTAATAAACTGAATGATATTGATATTTTTAATATTTGACAACTGACAATTATGAAATAGAAACATTAGAAACACTAAATTAGAAAAAGCGAACCAGTTAGATATAGTGTCCGTTAAATTAGGAAAGTTTTAAGAATTTTGCATGAAACGTAAATCTCCGAGCAAAATTATTCCAGAAATGGCTCAAGCTGGAATAATTTTGCTCTGAGGAATTCGTGAAAATTTATTTGATTGATTGATGATTTTCTATTATTGTCTGCAAATCTTTTTAAAATTAATATGATGATTTAAAGGAAAACACATTTTTTTTTTGTTTTTGAGATACGCCATAGATTTTTAAGTTTTGTTGTAGACGTCTATTGTGTCTAAAGTGTCTTTAAACAACGTTAATGAGATGTATTAAATGTGTTTTTCCACTCCCGTTTGTAAAATACCTAATTACACACCGATCTATCGTGCGGGAAGCGTCACTTTATCACGTCAATTTCGAGCCACTTCGAACATTTCCGTTATTTTAACGCACGAATTTGGGAGCAATCGGATGTTTTCGGAGATATTTCCCATGCATTGAATTTTGACTTTTTTCTATTCTGATGGTCATGTCACTGAATGCATTCGTGTCGTTTTTCGAAAATGTTCCCAAAAACTAACGGTCGTAGAAAAAGTATAGAATGCAACACGTTCAGTAAACTTTTTAAGTCACTCGCTCCGCTTGTGCCAAATAAACTCGCGAGTCAAATGCCGTTTACCGCACTTGTTACATAATATAATAGAGCATCACATGATAAATTTATTATTGCGTTCATCAAACAAAATTAAACTAAAAGTTTTAAGAGTTCAATCATTGCTATAAACATGGTAGGCTCTCAATATTTTTGCAAAAGAAAATAAGAAAGAAGTAAAAATCTATGGTGTATGTCGAAAACAAATGAATACAATCTGTTTTCATATTTCTAATGTCATCACATCACGTTCACATTGTAACTTCAGTTACAGTACAAAAGGTAACAAGGTTTATTTATTTTATTTATTTAAATGCGCAACACGAAAGGTTGCAGTCAAATAAGAAGACTTTTGCAAGACTGGTTGTCAACTTATTGGCTAATGGCTTATTATAAAAACCATTACTAAAAGAAATAAACCATACAATGAACAAATTGTACTGTTAGTGAAGACCCTACAACATCGGTCCGAAACATAGAACAATGAAGTGGAAAGCCGAAAGCTGCAGCAGCATATTTTAAAGAAATATTTGAAAGTAATGAACTTTTCAATTTTGAATAAACGATAAATTTAATACAAATCCAATGTATGCGCTCAATGGACTGTTTTTCGAAATAAAATTTTCATAGATCATGTGATATTTTCGTAGAGAAGGTAAGCTATTTCTTCACAATTAACTCGTTTTGCAGAACATTTAACGAGAACTAGGCATATTTTCCGAAAATACTGGCATAAAAACGCCGCATCCAAACTTATCGACGATCTTTCAACGGCCATGTTGGTTGTTGAATACCGCACGCTTGCAAAATTTTAAATCTCGCGCGTTGCATTGTTTTTAGCATTTTTTTTCAGATATTATCGACAATTCTCTAATAACTATACATCATTAAAAATAATTTTGCTTAAGAAAATAACATAGAAGTAAAAGAAATAAGAAAAGGTCATCACATTGTTTTGGTTAGTTTTGTGGCTTTTCAGACAAAAATTGAAAATCCAACGTGTGTGACATTGCCGGGTCCAAATACATCTATCTATTTCCAAAAGTCTTAATTTTATATTTCAGAACGATTTTCTTTTAGAACGGGATCTATTTGAGTTGTTCAAGTTAATATTTTAAATCAAAATCTAACGTCAAAAATGTAAATGGGAAACCTCGTCATTTTTTTCAAATAGAAGCGCTCACTTTTCGTGATGTTGTTTTTACTTATGACAATAAAGTACTTTATGAAAGTATAAAATTATATGAAGGATTAGCTTGTGTGTTTAAATAACAATTTGTAAATCTTTTAGTATATTGTTTCAGACCTTTTGACTTAATGTTCGGACAATAAAATTAGTTTCGTCATCCGATAAGGTATCCAATGCGTATCTTATCGATTTTCTATAATTTGATTCCCTTGATGTCCCATTTTGATAATTTTATCTCCAAAGTTTTAAAACTAAAATATATTTTTGTACCTGGTATGGTTGTTTGTTACTGGTACTATTGTTTGTTGGATTTGTTCAACAACATTTTGCTAAAATTCAAGAGATACTTTTTTCAAATGACAATAGCCCTTAACTGTTTTCATTTTAGCGACTGAAATTGGCCTATTCCTACACATCTGTTATGACAAGCGGACATTAGTAAGAATAAGAATAAACACGCAGTTAGAGATAAGCAGGAAGCTCGGTTTATTATTTGTAATGATTTATATGTTTCTAATTTAACAATAATAAAAACTATGAGTACATCCAAGGTGTCCGAAATAACATTCCTTACCCCCTTAACTCAGAAACTACAAATGATAGACACAAAATCAAATAGAGAACTTGTATAGCTTCATCTAGAAATTCGAGGTATATTTCATGTATGTATGCAAGTCCTATACCTAAGTCACAAATCTTGAATATTATGTCAAAAATTATACTTACAGGCCCTAAAATAATTAATAATTTTCTCAATTTTGTCGAGTGTTTAAAAAACGAGTGACTTCAAAAGTTTTTCAAACGTATTGAACGCTACACCAATACATTCAGCGACATGACCGTCAGAATTGACAACAAAATTCAAGCCGTGCGGTAAAATCTCCGAAAATATCCGACTGCTCGCAAACCCGTGCTGTAATATCCCGTAAATGTCCGAAGGGGCTCTGATCCGTGGGTACAAGAAACTCACGTGGTGTATAATTGACTATTTTACAAAAGGGAGCAGAAAAAACAATTAATTATATCTATTATGTAACTGTTACTTTTACCAAAGTCTTGTTATTTTAAGGTTCATTTTTAATGTCATTTATAGGAGGTTCTATTTATAAATTATATAATTGAAAACATTTTTAATATTTATGTATTTCGGTTTTATGAAATCCTCGTTAACACATTATCATGTATGTATCCCTATGTTAGATAAATTAGTTTTTATATCGACAAAGGCTGTATTTCAGCAGTTGGTTTCTAGCAGCAGGTATCACAGTACTCTTCGGGACAATAATTGCTAAAAGTTAATGTGCCAATTGAAACCTGTCCTCGATCTTCTTCGAACAGCATTGCAGTCAAAATTTCAAGTAGTTACCACCACCGATGCCAAAGCACAAACGATATACGAATTTCATCCGAAACTTAATAACTACGTTATAACACTTGTGGTTGCGTGTGTATTGTTCATGAGAATATCCGTTGCTACGATTAGTAAGACTGACATACAAATTGGGATCCATTTATCATGATTATGCTTTAGGCGCCGTCGAGTCCTGCATGTCCTATAAGAAGAAACCTTTTCTTTTGATTTTTTTTACAAAGTTTATAACACTACTTCGATTTTACATTAAATTTGGACACATTACTGATTCCCGTCGAATTCATGTTTGATTGGTTAGTTACACAAGTATTCATTAAAAAATTTGGATCAATTTGAAAATTAATTTAATTGTAGCCTAAATCATCAGAAACAATGTTATCAACAGTTTTCTCCAATATCAAGAAAATGGCTCTGACGAAATTTCCATCCACACGTTTCTCTATTCAAAGCTTCTGCTGCATCAAAAGTTATTTGTTTTTGTGCAAGATGTCTCCTTACAGTTGACACTCGCACTTCACAGCATTCAAATACAAAAATATATCATGAATCGCCTTTATCTAGCCGCGAAGGTTGTGAAATATTGACGAATGAGAAACATACAGTCTCATACCTACAGTTCGGTACACACATTCAGCAATTAGATAATGTACTGGTCCTCCTACGGTAAAATTGATTGAAAATCTTTTTGACAGAACATTAAAATTTTACATGATTGTAGAAAAATTAAAGAAGAAGCAAAAAACAAATGTATCAATGAAAATTGAATTGGAATGGAATATTGAAATCGAAATGAAAATAACAAGGTCACCAAAATATTATTTTGCTTATAAATAGAACTTTAAAAACCGTAAATTGAAAGAGACAATTTAACTCAGTAGTTCTATACAATTTTTGAAAAACTAAATAGAAAAAAATATATTCACGAAAGATCAACATAAAGGATCATATAACAAAACTACAATTTGTTCAAACAATTTTTTCATTTTAATGTATGATTTAAGTACCAAGTAAGTACCAAGGTTTATTTTAGTAAATGTAATTTTTTGATGTTTTTTTCTAACCGAAATATGGGAGCTTTAAATAACCCTATTTTTACTGACAGATTAGTTAATTGGTCAAACAAGAGCAAGCAAAAAGTTTTTTGTTTACCTGAAATACATTCGTAAGACTTCTAAATAAGTTCTCAAGAATTTTTTCCTGAATTAGACATGAACGTCCGACCATACATTTTTGTATGCTATTTATATGCTCATTGCTGTCAACCTTTAAATCCTGTTTGTTTGCGTTAGCATCCAAAAAAGAACAATGAAACTGCAATGAATATTTACAAAATTCTTCAGCGTGGGGCTCTTTTGATTGAGTGGAATGGAAAGAGTGGGAGGAAAAGAGAGATTTTTTCTCACATGTATTCTTTTCCTGCGTTTATCTTAGTCCTCACTTTCTGTACCCAACTTCTACATTCAATTTTTTATTCGTGCTCCTATAATTCAATTCTATTCTGTATGTAATGTAATCTAATTATAATTATAAAAAAGTATTTTATTTAAAAAAACTGGGCGGATCAATTTAGGAACCTAACCAAAACTAACCTAAGTGTTTAAGTGCCTGCAAAGTTACATTAGATGATTAATTTTACCCTCCTCTGTAGACTAGGAGTTACTTACCAATCACGTTGTATTGCGGTACTGTTTTTTCTAGTAATTTGTTATGGAAAAAAATTCTGGGATAGTAATCCCATCCGTTGTAAACACAAATTCCGTCGGCGTCACAAACTCTAAATAATGCAGAACTGACAAACCGCAGCTGAAAAGTGTAACGCCCAGCATCGATTATTTACGCATTTTGTAACAGCTTTATTTAAACCCTACTCTTTCATTAGCCATAAGAAAATTTCCTCTGTCGCTTTCCATAGGCGCGCCCACCGCGTATTCCTGTTCTTGACGACCACGAATGAGAATAATTATTTTCAACGGCAACTAAATTAAAAAAGATTTCATTTGCAACTCCTCCATTCTTTTAGGCCTTTTCTAAAAATCATTAAACCAGAGTTTTTATTTTTTTGTATATAAATATGTTTTAATGCCGATATGTAGGAGCTTTAGCTCATATTGCTTAAATAAAAATTATCGATAGTGAATAATTATCTGGTAACTCGTAAGGTGAAGGTTTGTAAGTTTGTACAAGTTTTTTCAAACTCATCGTCCTAAATATACAAGTAATTTAAAACTTAATGTGTAGATTTTTTTATTAAAAAAAATTAAAGCATGATTTTCGTGAACTGTGCACAATTGATGTTTCCTTTTGCAAACAAACTAGTTATAGGACATTCATCATCATTAGTTGCTGAATGTTCTTAATGCTATGCAAGAAGTCGACATTTTCTAGCTGTAGGCGTCCTTGCGCGAGACGGACAAGGTTGCCTTTGAGATCTACTCTACACCTTTGTGTCAAAATCAAAAATTAAAACAAGGCAAACTATATGTGACTTTTCAAAATCTGCAAATGAAATTATATTAAACTAATGGGTCATTTTTCGCTGTCATTAAATTAGAAGGCGCGCCTCTGGCGCGTCTCACGTGTTTACATTTAAAACTAAAAGCACCTCTTTATTTTCAGAGAAAATTATGCACTATAAATGCGGTTGTCATTTGCAGCCTTCGTGGAGTAGTCGCAAATATGACGCTGAGCGAAAAATATTTTAGCTATATAAGACGGCTGATGATTGTCGTCGGCATTTGGAACATAGAAAAAGAAATTTCTCAATCGAAGAAAAAATTTTACGCTGTATATTCTATAATAATGCAGACGGTATGTGCTTCTCCGATTGTTTCTTATACTTTGGATGTTCCTTCATTACTAAAAAGTAACCAGACTGAAGGTAATAATTCTACTAGCTGCTGAATTTTCCTAGAATGATAAAATAAAATTTAAAAAATTGGCCTTATAGCTTGTTTTCTGTCAAATTGTATACAATATTATTGAGTTTCAGAATAACAGCCTGATTTGCGATAATTTCTTTAAAATGACGCTCCCATTTTGGTATTTTAAAATCCCATGGACTCCATGTTGAGTATTGATAATCATTTGAAATAAGCATTCGCTATGATTCCAAAAATACCAAAACACCATTTGTAGCTTTTAGTATCATCGGAGTGATAATATTCTTCGCTATCATAATCACCAAAATGTTAATGTGCCAATCGCAATCGATCGTCAACTTAATCCGTATTGCGGTACAGCCCAACTTTCAAGCCGTTAAAGACCTCAACGTGGAAGTAGAGGCCATATATAAAAAACAAACGAGGCTTAATAATTACTTGATCACAATCGTTATCGGGTCAATGACGATTCTAGTAGTTAGCGTCTCAGTGTTTGGTAAACGTTTTTTTTTTTGATTGAACGCCAAGTAGTATGCAGATAACCTTTTAGGCGACTTTACCTGCTACATGTATTTCAAGCAATACAGTAATGCAACGGATAAACCGATGCTTCAAAACTATTGGTATCCTTTCGATACCAATAAATACTATGCGTTAGTCCTCGTAGAACAGCATATCAGAGTAACTCTGAGCGCGTTTTGTATTGCCACAGTGAATGCCTTCGTAATCTGCATAATTATCTTCGCGAGGCTTCAGCTTAAGTTGCTGCAGTATGGTTTTAGGAACTTCGACAAGCTGACGCGACATAAAAACAGTGCAGAAGGCGCAAGCGTGCTGAAACAGTTATACCAAAAACACTTGGATCTTATCGGGTACCATTACCTCCTAAATTCAAGGAACTGGAATGTTTTACCATGGCTCTGTTTCAGCTTTATCGCAGACCTCAACCAATCCTTTAGTTTTATAATATTTATAGAGTACATGATATCATCGATCACGTTTGCGGCACAGATTTTGCAAATCATCGACGGGGTAAATAATGCTGCAATACATCCACCTCGCACTAGCAATTGTTTTACAGGGTGAAAAGCTTTTATTTGCTTGCGGGGCGTTGTTCTACACGATTATACAACTACTTATATTCTCTTGGAGTTCTAATGAGATTATCATTCAAGTAAGCATTTTTTTCCACAATTCTCAACGTTCGAGTGTATACCGTTCATTCAAGAGCAAAGAATTGGCTACAGCCCTTTTTGAAAGTAACTGGTACGACTATGACAAAGAAATCAAAGTGATGGCGCATATAATGATAATGAGATGCCAGAAACCGCTAAGCTTGACGATCGGTAGATTCGGTGTTATGGATTTAGATGTCGGTGTTTCCGTAAGTAGCTTTTCGGTAGTTTTCTGTTTTTCTTTTCAACTGGAAAGTTACCCAGGGCTAAAAATTAGAGTTGAATGAAAATCGGTATCATAGGCTTGTAACATTCCGTCATCTTCTGCCAAGACGAATAACTTGAATGATATTTACATTTTTAATATTTGACAACTAACAATTATAAAATAGAAAAATTAAAAACAGTAAATTAAAAAAAGCGAACCATTTATATATGGTGTAGGTTAAATTAAGAAAGTTTTAAGAATTTCAGCCATAACTGAAGCTGGAATAATTTTGATCTGAGAAATTAGAGAAAATTTATTTCATTGATTGATGATTTTCTATTCTTGTCTGCAAATCTTTTTAAGATTAATATGGTTATTTAAAGCAAAACGCATTTTTTTTAATTCATTTTTGAGATACGCCATAGATTTTAAAATTTTGTAATAGACGCCTATTGTGTCTAAAGTGTCTTTAAGTGAGTTAATGAGATGTGTTAAACGTGTATAAATGTTGCGTCACATGATGAATTTATTATTGCTGAGCAGATGTATTAAATGGGTACCCTGAAAGGTTACAGTCAAATAAGAAGGCCTTTGGAAGACTGATTGCCAACTTATTGGCTAATGACTTATTCCAAAAACCAATACTAAAAAAAAAATAAAACATACAATGAAAAAATTGTACTGTTAGCGAAGACCCTACAATAATGGTTCGAAACAGAACAATGAAGTGGAAAGTCAAAAGCTGCAGCAAAACATTTTAAAGAAATTCTGGTTGAAATAATTTTCGTTATTGTCTTTTCAAGTTTGATTAAACAATAAGTTTAATACTAGCCCATCGTATACGCTTAATGGACTATTTTTAGAATGTTTGCAGAGAGGATCATGGCCTTCGATAAAACAAAATAAAATTTTGGTTTTGGGGCGATTACAATGTTAATCAATGTTTTATGTGATACATCCATATAGCTATCAGATAATATAGTGGTCCTAGTGATACGCCGCAAGCGGCATTGATATTTTCGTAGGGAATGTAAGCAATTTCTCTACAATTGACTCGTTCTCAACTTATCCATGATCTCTCAATGGACATGTTGGTTGTTGAATACCGCACTGTCGCGAAATTTTAAATATTGCGCGTTCTTACCATTTTTTTTTTTCATATATTGTCGGCATATCTCTACTAGCTATATGGAGACATCATTTAAAAGCATTTTGCAAAAAAAAAATTGGAAAGAAGTATGGTGCTTATATAAAAAAATTTAAAAATGTTTTTATTATATTTTTAATGTCATCGCATTGTTTTTAAACAAGTCTTTTAATAATGTACCAATTTCAAAATTATCTTTGGCGTATTTTGGGAATTTCAGACAAAAATGGAAAATCCAACTTTTGTGACATTGCCGGGTCCAAATATCTATCGATTTCCAAAAGTATTAATTTTATATTTAAGCTTAATTTTTTTAAAGAGCGGGATCTATTTTAGTTGTTTAAGTTGATATATTTGTTTAATTTTGTATGATGTAATTTTTGTGATATTGTTTTTACTTACTAAATATTCATGACAATATATATTAAGATATAAATATGCTTTCCCAATGAAACGGAATGTTGAATTTTTATAACAATGAACCACTTCATAAAAGCTTAAAATTATATGAAGAATTATCTTGTGTGTTTAAATAACAACAAACAATTTGTAAATCCTTAGTAGATTGTGATAGACCTTTTGACCTAATATTAGGGGAATAAAATTAGTTTTTGTTATAATTAAAATAGAAACCGAAATGTCAGCTTCGAGATCTGATAAGCTATCCAATGCGTATGGAGCTTGTCAAGTGTCACAATTTAATCTATAAAAAAAGATTTTCTATACGTTGCTTCTCTTGATCTCCCATTTTGAAAATTTCATCTTCAAGGTTTAGGAATTAGATTATATCCTTGAACCCCTTGAACTTACTATTGTTTGTTGGATTTGTTCAACAAATCTTCCTAAGATTTTGTTAAAATTCAAGAGATATTTTTTTCAAATTGCAATAGCCCTTAACTGTTTTCATTTTAGCGACTGAAACTGGCCTATTCCTACACATCTGTTATGACAAGCGGAGATTAGTAAGAATAAAACCACGCAGTTAGAGATAATCAGGAAGTTTAGTTTATTTTTTGTAATGTTTTATATGTTTGTAATTTAACAATAATAAAAACTATGAGTACGTCCAAAGTGTCCGAAATAAAATTCCTTCCCCCTTAACTGGAAACTACGAACGATAGACAAAAAATTAAATTGATAGGTATATTTCACAAATCTCGAATATTATGTCAAAAATAATATTTGCAGGCCCTAAAATAAGTAATAGTTTTCTCAATTTTCTCGAGTGTTTAATAAACGAGTGACTTCAAAAGTTTTCCAAACATGACTATACTTTTTCTACGACCGTTAATGTTTGAGTACATTTTTGCAATACAACACGAATACATTCACTTTTTAATTTCATAGAAGGTGCGGGAGGATAGACATGGGAGATAATGGCAAGGAAGTTTTTTACTATATTTTCTATTTTTCTCAAATATTGCTGTCATATAAACATTTTTTGGAGAAATCATAATATACAAAAATATATAGGAAGTTCTATTTATAAATTACATAAATGAAAACATTTTTAACATGAATTCATTTAGATTTTATGCAATCCTCGTTAGCACATTATCATGTATATACCAGGATGTTAGCTGAATTAGTTTTAACATAGACAAAGGCCGTATCTCTAGCATTTGGTAATATAGTTACCACAGTATCCTTCGGGAATCTAATCACTAAAAGTTAATGTGCCAATCGTTTTCTCCAACATTAAGCAAATGCTCTCTACGAAATGTTGCCTCTTCCTTTGTAGTCGAATTACTGTAGAGACTAAACCTCATTTCATTATAAACACAACTCGTTCCCAATCTTGTCTGGCAAATTATTTGTTTTTCTGCAACATGTCTCCTTACAGTTGACACTCGCACTTCATAGCATTCAAATACAAAAATATATCGTGAATAGCCTTTATCTAGCGGAGAAGCTTGTGCAATAGTGACGAATAAGAAACACTCAGTCTCATATCTACAGGCTGATACACACAATATACCGGCCCTCCTACGGTCAAAATTGATGCGCCACTTTCACTTGGTGTCATTTTCTTTCTAAGCAGCGTTATTCACACAATTAACTTTTTTTCCAGAACATTTAGATTTTACATGAATGTAGAGAAATCAAAAAAAGCAAAAAATAACTGTAATAATAAAAATTGAATTGGAATGGAAATTTGAAAACGAAATGAAAATAACAAGGTCACCAAAATATTATTTTGCTTACAAATAAAACTTTAAAAACAGTAAAGTGAAAGAAAAAATTTAACACATTAGTTCTAAATAGTTCTTGAAAAATTAAATAGAAAAAAATATATTCACAAAAGATCAACACAAAGTGCACGGATCATATAGCAAAATTTTTTAACAACAATTTTTATTTCTTAATGCATGATTTAATTAAGGTTCTGCTTGATTTTGGATGGTTTATTTTAATAAATGTCCTTTCTTGATCTTTTTGTCATTGTCATTAGTTAATTGCTCAGAAGGTTTTTTGTTTCCCTGAAATACGTTCGTTTTCAAGAAACTTTTCCTAAATTAGACATGAGCGTCCGACCATACATTTTTGTATGCGATTTATATGCTCATGTCTGTGGACCTTTAAATCCTGTCTGCTTGAGTTAGCATCCAAAAAAAAGAACAATGAAATTGCAATGAACATTTGCAAGATTCTTTAGCTTGTATTTTTTTGATTGAGTGGAATGGAAGGAGTGGGAGGATGAGAGAATTTTTCTCTCATGTATTCTTTTGCTGCGTTTATCTTAGGCCTCTCTTTCTGTACTCAACTTCTACGCTCAATTTTTTATTCGTGCTCCTATAATTCAATTCTATTCTGTATGTAATGTAATGCAATTTTAATTATAAAAGAGTATTTTATTAACAAAAAAAAACAAGGCGGATCAATTTAAGAACCTAACCAAAACTAAAGTGTTTAAGTGAATGCAAAGTTACATTACAGGATTAATTTTAACCTCCTCTATAGACTAGGAGTTACTTACCAATCACGTTGTATTGCGGTACTGTTTTTTCTAGTAATTTGTTATGGAAAAAAATTCTGGTATAGTAATCCCGTCCGGTGTAAACACAAATTCCGCCAGCGTCACAAACTCTAAATAATGCAGAACTGACAAACCGCAGCTGAAAAGTGTAACGCCCACCATCGATTATTTACGCATTTTGTAACAGCTTTATTGAAACCTTACTCTTTCATTAGCCATAAGAAAATTTCCTCTGTCGCTTTCCATAGGCGCGCCCACCGCGTATTCCTATTCTTGACGACCACGAATGAGAATAATTATTTTCAACGGCAACTAAATTAAAAAAGATTTCATTTGCAACTCCTCCATTCTTTTAGGCCTTTTCTAAAAATCATTAAACCAGAATTTTTACTTTTTTGTATATAAATATGTTTCAATGCTGATATGTAGGAGGTTTAGCTCATATTGCTTAAATAAAAATTATCGATAGTGAATAATTATCTCGTAACTCGTAAGGTGAAAGTTTGTAAGTTTGTACAAGTTTTTTCAAACTCATCGTCCTAAATACACAAGTAATTTAAAACTTAATGTGTAGATTTTTTAATAAAAAAAATTAAAGCATGATTTTCGTGAACTGTGCACAATTGATGTTTCCTTTTGCAAACAAACTAGTTATAGGACATTCATCATCATTAGTTGCTGAATGTTCTTAATGCTATGCAAGAAATCGACATTTTCTAGCTGTAGGCGTCCTTGCGCGAGACGGACAAGGTTGCCTTTGAGATCTACTCTACACCTTTGTGTCAAAACCAAAAATTAAAACAAGGCAAACTATATGTGACTTTTCAAAATGTGCAAATGAAATTATATTAAACTAATGGGTCATTTTTCGCTGTCATTAAATTAGAAGGCGCGCCTCTGGCGCGTCTCACGTGTTTACATTTAAAACTCAAAGCACCTCTTTATTTTCAGAGAAAATTATGCACTATAAATGCGGTTGTCATTTGCACCTTCGTGGAGTAGTCGCAAATATGACGCTGAGCGAACAATATTTTAGCTATATAAGACGTCTGATGATCGTCGTCGGCATTTGGAACATAGAAACAGAAATTTCTCAATCGAAGAAAAAATTTTACACTGTATATTCTGTAATAATGCAGACGGTATGTGCTTCTCCGATTGTTTCTTATACTTTGGATGTTCATTACTAAAAAGTAACCAGACTGAAGGTAATAATTCTACTAGCTGCTGAATTTTCCTAGAATGATAAAATAAAATTTAAAAAATTGGCCTTATAGCTTGTTTTCTGTCAAATTTTATACAATATTATTGAGTTTCAGAATAACAGCCTGATTTGCGATAATTTCTTTAAAATGACGCTCCCATTTTGGTATTTTAAAATCCCATGGATTCCATGTTGAGCATTGATAGTCACTTGAAATAAGCATTCGCTATGATTCCAAAAATACCAAAACACGATTTGTAGCTTTTAGTAACATCGGAGTGATAATATTCTTCGCTATCATAATCACCAAAATGTTAATGTGCCAATCGCAATCGATCGTCAACTTAATCCGTATTGCGGTACAGCCCAACTTTCAAGCCGTTAAACACATCGATATGGAAGTTGAGTCCATATATAAAAAACAAACTAAACTAAATAATTACTTGATCACAATCGTTATCGGGTCCATGACGGTTGTAACAATTAGTTTCGCAGTGTTTGGTAAAAGAGGTTTCCGGTTGCACACCTAAATAGTATACGGATAAAATTTTAGGCGACTTCAACTGCTACAGGCACTTCAAGCAATACAGCAATGGAACGAATAAACCGATGCTTGTAAACTATTGGTACCCTTTCGATACCAATCAATACTACGCGTTAGTCCTCATAGACCAGAATATCAGAGTAACCCTGAGCGCGTTTTGTACTGCCACAGTAAACGCCTTCGTAATCTGCATAATTATCTTCGTGAGGCTCCAGCTTAAATTGCTGCAGTATAGTTTCAGGAACTTTCACAAGCTGACGAGAGATAAAAACAGTGCAGAAGGCGCAAGCGTGCTGAAACAGTTATGCCAAAAACACTTGGATCTGATCGGGTACCATTACCTCCTAAATTCAAAAATCTAGAATATTTTACCAAGGCTGTGTTTCAGCTATATCGCAGACCTAAACCAGTCCTTCAATGTTATAGTATTTATGGAGTACATGATATCATCGATTACGTTTGCGGCACAGATTTTGCAAATTATCGACGGGGTAAATAATGCTGCAATACATCCACCGTGCCCTAGCAATTGTTTGTACAGGGTGAAAAGCTTTTATTTGCTTGCGGAGTATTGTCCTACACGATTATGCAACTACTTATCTTCTCTTGGAGTTCAAATGAGATTATCATTCAAGTAAGCATTTTTTTTTACAATTCTCATCGTTCGAGTGTATACCATTTGTTCAAGAGCAAAGAATTGGCTACCGCCGTTTTTGAAAGTAACTGGTACGACTATGACAAAGAAATCAAAGTGATGGCGCATATAATGATAATGAGATGCCAGAAACCGCTAAGCTTGACGATCGGTAGATTCGGTGTTATGGATTTAGACGTCGGAGTTTCGGTAAATAGAATGTATTTCGGTAGTAAGCGATGTTTTATATTCAATTGGAAAGTTGGAAAATTATAGTTGAGTGAAAATCGGTATTGTACCATTCGGTCATCTGGCACTACCAGTAAGTCAACTTGAATGATATTGATATTTATAACATTTGACAACTGACAATTATAAAATTGGAAAATTAAAAACAGTAAATTAGAAAAAACGAACCCAACCGGTTAAATTAGGAAAATGTTATGAGAAACTTAAATCTGCCAGCGAAATGATTCCAGCGTCGGAGTCGTTTCTGAGAAATTCTAGAAAATAGGTTTGATTTTGATATTCTATTTTTGTCTGTAAATCTTTTTAAGATCTATATGATGATTTAAAGGAAAACACATTTTTTTTTCATTTGGGATTGACGTACGCCATGGATTGTTAAATTTTCTTATGGTCGCCTATTGATTTGATTGATTGAGTTTCATGATTAATTTATTATTGCTTTCGTCACCCTTAGGATCACGAAAACAAAATTAAACTAAAAGTTGTGAGAGTCCAATTATTGTCATAAGTAGTATTTAAAAAAATAATTTTCCTTACTAACAAATTCACAGTTTAACTTCAGTTATAATACAAAAATTAATAAGCGTAATTTATTTAAGAAGGTAAAGAAATCTTTCTATTAAGTTTTAAATTTTTTGCTATTGTAATATCCAAGTACTTAAAGCCTGAAAGATTACAGTCAAATAAAAAGACTTGGGAAGACTGGTTGCCAACTTATTGGCGAATTGCTAATTTCAAAAACCAGTTACCAAAAGAAATTAACCATGCAATGAGCAAATAGTACTCTTAGCAAAGACACTACAACATCGATTCGAAACATAGAACAAGTAAGTGCAAAGCCAAAAACTGCACCAATAAATTTTAAAGAAATTCTACTTGAAATAATTTACGTCATTGACTTTTCAATTTCGAATAAACAATAAATTTAATACTACTCCAGTGTATGCCTTCAATGGACTGCCAAAACTTTTGTTATTTCGAATGTCTGTTGAGAGCGATCATACTATAAAACAAAATAAAATTCGCTTTTGCGCGATGCTAAGTCATTGTTATCCGGACTGTCTATGCTACGCTTAAGCAATTTTTAAATACTGAAGTTATGTGAAGCGTATTTTTCACTTTATTTCACTCTAGAATGCAATATGGGGTCACCATATGAGATGGATCTAGTTATGCAGAGAGAGTTTCGTCTTATAAAAAAGCTCTCCGAATTCTCCTTGGTTTGGACAATAGAGAATTCTGTAGAACACATTTTCCCAGCATTCATATTATTTTGCCATCTAATTTCATATACAATAGGATATTTGAGATTCACTCTAATAAATATAGTTTTTTTGTTCGGTCTGCCAGTCATTTCTGCGCAACGCGTATGACCAATCGTTAATGAAGCTATCCCGTGTTCGTGGCAAAATAGTTCAATGTGAATTAGTTAACAAAGTAAAATAAAAAAAATGTCCTCACTCGCTTTTCGACAGGTACGTCACTTCCTCGTCAATTATATCGATACACTCTTTCAATCACCCGTAGTTACGTCCAAAGTACTAATATTTTTCACAACGCATAATGCACATCAGTTAAGGAATATCCGATACCGTCTTAATAAACAGATCACAGATTCTTTAAACCTGAACTGTTACAAAAAATTCCTTCGCAAGAATTCTTTTGACAGAGTGACAATAAACTATTTGTACAGTGCTAATGAGTGCCTAAATTTCAAATTTTAAACATGTGTAACCTGTCACCTTTTAAAAATTTCGTTTGTTTTGTACTTTTATTCATATATTGTTTTATTATTCTTATATGTATTTGTTTATTTTGTTTTGACTTGCTACACATACATTTTGTATACTATGATTAAATAAATAAACATATTATCGTGGTCCTGTCACGGTGAGAACTATGCCGCAGGCATATTTTCAGAAGATACTGCCGCAAAAATCGATGATCTCTCAAAGCCATGTTGGTTGTTGAATGCCGCAAAGTTATTAGTTAAAAACGAAATTTTAAATCTTGAGCATGCGCATGTTGAGTGGACCTTCTGAGCATTTTTTTCTATACATTATCGGCATATCCCCAATAGATATGAATACATAATTTAAAAGTATTTTGTATGCTTGACCAAATATATTTATCGATTTATCCTATTAATATATATTGGAAGTTGAAATTAAATGGGAAAGTTTGTAATTTTTTCGAAAAGAATCTCCCAATTTTTGCGATTTTTTACTTAATAAATAGTCATGACAATATATATTAAGATATAAATATACTTTACCTATGAAACGGAATGTACAATTTTTATGACAATAAAGTGCTTTATGCAAGCTTACAATTATATGAGTTCCTCACAATTTGTAAATTCTCAAGTAGATTGTTTCAGAACTTTTGACCAAATACTCGGAGAGCAAAATTAGTTACGCGATCTGATAAGGTGTCCAATGCGTATGAAGCTTGTCAAGTGTCTGAAACTTATCGATGTTCTATAATTTGCTTCTCTTGATCTTCCGTTTTTATTATTTTATAATTAAGGTTTAGAAATTAAAACATATTCTTGTACCTGGTACCGTTGTTCGCTCAACTTACTGTTGTGTATTGCATTTGTTCAACAAATCTTCCGAAGGTTTTGCCAAAATTCAAGAGAATTTTTTTTCAAATGACCACATCCCTTAACTGTTTTCATTTTAGCGACTCAAACTGGCCTATTCCTACACATCTGTTATGACAAGTGGAGATTAATAATAATATAAACGCTGTTACAGATAAGCAGATGGTTCGGTTTATTATTTATAATGTTTTATATGTTGGTAATTTAACAATAATAAAGACGATGAGTATGCCCAACTCAGAAACTACTAACGGTAGACAAAAAATTAAATAGAATGGTTGCATAGTTTGATCTAGAAATTCTAGGTATAATTCATGAATTTTATGTCAGAAATGACATTTGTGGACTCTAAAATAATTAACAATTCTCCCAATAAGGGAGCCTTAAAGGGCCTATTGTCATTGTTTTGGGCATAAATTTATAGACGATGAGCACAAACGAAGTACAAAAATTGACATATAGAAAACATAAAAGGTCCATGTCACATGTACTTGTATTACGTATTAAATAAATTCCCTTATAGGATAATTTGTTAATTATTTTAGGGCCCGCAAACGTAACTTTGGCATAAAATGCGAGATTTATCAAAGACGGTTAGATTAAGGTATAAGATAATACATTAAATATAACTAGAATTTTCGAGGGAATTTAAAATGAGAACGCTGGTATTTACCGGAACATCCTCTAAATATAAAAAATTAAGAAATCTAGACGAAACAATAAAACGTTTTTATTTAACTTTTTTTGTATCGTTCTTAGTTAAGAGGATAGTGGATCTTATTTCGTACATCCTGTGCAGCCTTTAACTCTTCATTAAGAAAATGAACTGATACAGATTAATTGAGAAGTAAGGATTTGTAAGTTTATTTTTTCCATTAATGTCTGATTTGATTTTTAATTAATTAATATTGTAGTTAGTTGACCTTTAATATTTCTAACAAAATACTTATAAAATAAATATTAGCACCATCACACTCCAACGTACCAATAAAAACTTAAAGAAGGCCCTTCCGTTGAGTAAGAAAATATCCTTTGACAATTCCCGTCGTAAATAATTGAGCATTAAGAAGGCGTCGCTAAAAATTCTCAAACCCTTTATGGATTATGTATATCGTCTCTGTAATAAGCAGGTATGTGTTGCTGTTCTACTCTTTCATTAGCTTTGGAATGGAATCCATAGCGCTGCCCGCCTCAAATCCATTGGCGTTGCGAACCGCCAGTTTTTGCAATCGTCTAGTTTCTTTTTTTATAGAGGTTATATTTTAGTAGTGAACCCTACAGGGTGACTTACAATAAACTGAAAACACGGCGTTAATACGAAAGTTTTATGTTTTTTCGGGTACCCCACAAAGAACCTTTGTACTCATTTTCTTGTTGATTTAATAAAAATGATATCATGCAGAAATATAAGATTATTAATTATATTATAAATTCTATTTTAGGCCACCTATTAAAAGGCGGGTTCGATTTAAATACTTAATTCGCCATTTAAATCGGATTTAAAAGATGCACGCCACTGAATCTACCGCCTATTTCTTTGAAATCATGAAATATTTCGTATAAAGCTGCTGTTGTAAAAAATATGTAAATTATATAAACCAAAAGTGACTGTTTGCTTGGAAGTAGTTTTAATGATGAATTCGAGCCAAATGTACTTTCGCCACATAAGATGGTTGATGGTCGCCGCCGGAATGTGGAAAATAGACGACGACTTTTCGGTATCAACGAAAAGATTTTACGCTGTTTATTCCGTCATGATACAACTATTTTGTACTTCGCCCATTATCTCCAAAGGTCTAGAAGTACCCGTTTTACTGAAAACCGACCCCGCTGCAGGTAACAATAGAACGTCACGTGAGAGGTTGACGTGCAACGGCTTTTCTTTACTTATTTTTATTTATTGGATAATTTTATCGATGAATCATATTGGGCACCACAAAAATTCAAGAAATACAGAAATATTGTGACAAAACACGTCTCTTCTTTAGCACAAACTATTGGGCATTATTTTGGGCGTTTCGCATTCCAGTACATTTTTTTTAAATCAATCCCTCTAGAAATGATCAGACCATAATTGCTTTTGAACTTAAAAAAAAACATTACCCTTAGTAATATTGAAAATATACCTTAGGATAGTCGTACAGTTCATAATAAAGTGACGATTTTAAACTGATTTTTCTCTAATTTTTGAAAACCACCACAACTTTTGTGTGGTTTCCCTATGGCTATTCGTTTCTGTTCATCATTTACAAAAGCACATTTTAGGTATTAACTTTCATTAATGGAATTAATATCACGCTTACTTAAAGATACGGTTTTGTAATTATGCTTATGTACTATAAATGTTACGTTTTGTGTGGTATATTTTAAAATATATCGATTTTTAACTGCGCCATCTACTGTCATTTTTGTGTTTAATAGCGATCATCTTTTAAAAAACAATTCGTTTCATCACTATAATACAAGAAACCAAAACCAATTTTAAATTAACAAAAATCGGGCAATCGGAAACCAATCATAATTAATTCTAGTTATTTTCCTATGCTAAAAACAAAATTTAAACTAGCTAGGCTTCTGGAACTTCACTTTGTAATGTTTCACTCTGAAATTATTAGTTATCTAAATTAATTTTGTATCAACAATGGCTGTATTTCTAGCAGTTGGTAATATCGGTATCACCATATTCTTCGGGACCCTAATCACTAAAACGTTAATGTGCCAGTCTAAACCTGTCGTCGATCTCATTCGGACTGCTTTGTAGTCAAAATTTCATCTAGTTACCAGCACCGATGCAAAAGTAAAAGCGATATACGAATTCCACACGAAACTTAACAACTACATTATAACACTTGTGATTGCGTATGTGTTATTTATGGGAATATCCGTTACTGCGGTTGGTAAGACTCACATTGAAGTTAATTTCAATTTGTGATAGTTATGTTTTAGGCGACGTCGAGGCCTACAAGTACTTCAAAAAATTTGTCAACGAAACGGAGAAACCTGAATTTTTACATTACTGGTATCCTTTCGATAAAAATTAGCATTACGTGATTGTCTTGGTCGATCAGAATATCCGACCATTTTTGGCAGTCCTTTACTTGGCTATAGTAAACGCCTTTATAATCTCCATTATAATTTTCGTGAGACTCCAACTAAAAATACTGCAGTATAGTTTCAGAAATTTCGACCGATTAGAACCGGACGGTGTCAAAAATTCAAGAATTTTGAAGACACTGTCCCACAAACATCAGGAACTGATTCGGTATAATAAATACTTACATAAATATCGAAATTGCAATCAAATAAAAATCGTAATTAGAAAACATGGGCTGATAAATTTTATTTTATTGGAGTTGTGACAAACAAATTTTTTTATTGCAGATATTTTTTAATTGTAGCCTAAATCGCCAGAAACGATGTTTTGAATACCTTTTTCGTTAAAATTTAAGTTTTCGGCAGATAAGTCTCTAAAGCAGAATCATTTTTTTGTTAAGGTCTGGACTAGATGCCTCGTTTAAATAATTTTGTATTAATCTTAGAGCCTGGCATTATCTTGTGTCAGTATAAAGTTTTCTCCAATATCCAGCAATGGGCTCTGACGAAATTTCCATACGCACCTTTCTCTATATAAAGTTGTTCCAAGCCAAAACACGATGTTAAGATGAAATGTAGTCAAATTGCTGTAGATACTAAACCTCATTTTATCATGAACAAAAGTCGTTCTCAATCTTTATTAAGATCACTTGTTATCTGGCAAATGGTTTGTTTAGTGCTGCTGCTGACATTCTGAAACTCAAATTCCTTCCTGCAAGATATCTCCTTACTTATTACTATTACTTATTACTTAATTACTTAATCTATCACGAATAGCCGTTATGAGCCGAGTTATTCCAAAACGGCGAGGTTTGGGCAATATTGATGAATGAGAAACATTGACCTTGGTCACACATTCATTTTCACTTTAAATTAGATAATATAGTGGCACTAGTACGGTAAAAGTTGATGCGCAATGCGTTTCGTAGAGAAAGTTCTACATTTCTGCCACAAAATTTTAGTTGGTGCCAATTTCTTTCTAAAGAGGGATTTTCACACACTTAACTTGGTTTCCCAGAACATTTAACGACATCTAAGCTAATTTTGAAAAAAATCTGCCGTAAAATTGCCGCATCCAAACTTATTGACGGATCTGTTAGCTCCCATATTGGTTCTCGAATGCCGCAAAAGATTTTTAATCTTGCATGTTGCATGTTGAATAGACCTTTTCAAATTTTTCGTCAGAGTTTTGAAACTTGGAAAAAAAAAATAGAGAGCGGGTGAATAAAAGGTGGAAAGTCGATTTGAAATCACATAAATGTCTCTAACAACTCTACATATACGTCAATTTTGTTTTCGGTATTTTGGTTATCCAAAAAATGCCGACCCTTTACAGAATTACTTTTAGATATGTCGAAAAACTCAGCGATCATTTAAACATTGCGATATTCATGGAATACCTGGCCTCATCGCTGACGTTTGCTTCGCAGGTTTTACAAATTACTGCAGTAAGTAGAGTACCTTCACCTCGCCTATATTCATACTAGTAATATTTTCTAGGGAGTCGAACCTTTCATCACTTCTATAATACTGTGCTACACAATCATGCAATTGCTCATATTCGCTTGGAGCTGCAATGAGGTTATTATTCAAGTAAGCATATAGTAGCAACTAATTTTAATAAATATTTTATAAATAAATTAACTTTGAAAACTTTTAGAGTACGAATTTGGCCAGAGCTGTCTTCGAAAGTAGTTGGTACGATTATGACACCAAGAGTAAAGTCATTGTGCATATAATGATGATGAGATGTCAGAAGCCGCTGCACCTGATGATTGGGAAGCTTGGAGTAATGGATTTGGACGTTGGAATCTCAGTAAATATAATAATTATACCTTTTAAGAACACCGAGTGAGTCAAATTAAAACCATTTGTATCGGTTTCGTTTACTTTTTTTATTTAAATTTCGGAGCCCCACTGAAGTAGGGAATGGGATTTATTTTGACGCCTGAAATATAGCCTTAGGCCCGACAGCAGATAAGAAATATATTGTTTCCTTTCAGCGCCTAAAACTGGCATATTCCTATACTTCAGTAATGACAAGTGGAAACAATTGATGCTGTCGATAGTATTCTAGTTGGATAACTCTCTGATGTGTTATTAGATCGATTTTAAAAATAAATTTTTCATGCGTCCTCAAACGGTGATCACGCTAGAACTACGACTTCACTAGAGAGAAGAGTGATATAGAAAACCCTACTAGATTTACAGGAGAAGAAATATTGAAATCAGTGGGCCCATTTAATAAATAAAGGTTTACATTACATACAACAACGCGGATAGCCATCTTTTTACTTGCCCAGATTTTAATACACGTGGCATTGGTGAACTATTCAAAAATGGCATTAACAGAAAATATTAAAAGAATTTATGTCTTCCTAAAGCGCAAAATGCATCAAGAAAAAATACTCTTTTTGGTTGGTTACAGTCGCAGTGTTTTCTTTAAAAAATACTTTAAATTCGACTTTTTCTTTTCACAGAGGACGAGGAGACTATGTCTTCCGGTCAAACTGAATCACATTACTCATATCATGCATATGGAAGACAGCCGTAGTTTTCCTTGACCTTAGATCCATCAGCCTACTACCACTTTACTGCATATTAATGTTCTAATAATATAAAAGTTGGACAAAAATATTTCAACGACACTGTTGTTAGTTGATCATAAGTTATTGTGTGCTAAACTAAAAAACGTTTGTTCCACCGATCGATCTGTATTCTATTTTTCAGTCTTTTTTTTAAGCAGTTTGTTAGAACCAATGTCGGTAACGTTAGTTCGGGAGTACCAAAGAGTTCAATTCTTTTCATTTGATATGCCTAAGAAGATCGAATTTCCTCAAATTGATTCATATGCTGACACAATTAATTATAGGTACGTCGACGTTAATCGTAGGGATATTAAAAGTCTTTCTCAATGTTATAAAAACACAATCTTAAGCCGAATTCTAAAAAAACTATAGGCTATAATTTTTTGTAAGATCACATTATCAATTAGAAAATGAAGATCTTAGATCAGCTGAGGTATAGTTGCCACATTTCTAATTTATGTAAAAAAACTTATATAATCCTGACAACACTGAATGCAAATAAACATATAATCAATTTTAAGGTAAGAAAAAAACTCTCTGAGCAATGCATCCTTCCAAAGTTATGCACTGTCTTACATTTCAAAAAATTACAAAAAATTCAGAACAGCTGTGCCCGATTCGTTTATTTTTTTGAGAAAGTTTGATCGTATATCAGAAAAAATATTTGCGTTGAAATGACTCAGAACTAAATACTTGTTTCAATTTTTACTCGCATTTGTTGTATTTAATATTCTTTCTCGACGTACGTGAAAGATCGTTCAGTGTTTCGGTATGGTATTCACAATGCTCCTCTAAGGAGGAAAAACGTTCTTCTAAATTCTTGTAAATTTGAACTCTGCTTTAGCTATAACGCCATTCAGCTTTATAATCATTACAATAAATATTTTCAGCCAGCTCAGTTCTAATATTTTGGAAAAAATTTGAGGTCCATTTATTGGAATTTTAAAAGTCTCTGTCCTAAACATTTACGTTTTATCAATAACGAATTATTAGACTCTTATTATATATAGCTTGTTGTTTCATTATTCTTATAATATTCATTTAATGTTGAGTATTTTGTCTAAATCTAAAAATGCGATGATTCGTAATTGAAAATCTGTAATAAACTACATGGAGTTGCAATTGCATCTGACAACACTGAAGATAAGGAAACCTTTGTAGAAATATAGGCAACTGCCATGTGTATACAAAAAATGTAATATTGCAAATAACGTGAAAAAGTCAATGACATTCCACTTAAAATCGGCATTAATTTTTGGTGCACTGGGCACTTTTGCAAAGTTTTCAACTGCCTCTGCAAGAAGTGGTTTTTAACTAGAATATGAAAAAATTATGCTGGCTCGTACTTACAAAACTTTTTCACGCTGCCTAGGCATTCTTAGTAGTTGACGCTTACATTCTTAAATATCCTTCGATAGTATGCATTTAGTTTTCTTTAATTGAGGTTTAAAAGGGCACAAGTGTTGCACGTCCATAGATATCATAATAAGGCAAAACAATGGAAATGCAAAACAATTAAATAGAATGACTATGGCTTAATTATTTATGGCGAAAACAAAATTACTCTCAAGCAAGCAGAGATGCTTTCAATGATTTTTTAAATTATTTGTTAGAGAAGATTTTAACAGATGTCTATTTTGCAGTATTCAAAGAATTAGAAACAGACTTTGACACACTATGCAGCGAGAATTATGACTTATTTTTACTTTTGCATATAAGTGATCCATTTTATGATGTATTTCAGTTAAGGAGAAATGAGCGAAGATGCAAGGCAAATTCATAATCATGTGGCACAAAAAGTCTGCAAAGGGCACGATACATAATAAGCAGCATATAAAACCCTAATCGCTCTCTTTTGTAGTTTAAAAATGGTCTGTGCTGCAGTACTGTGTCCCCACGATGGAACGGTATATGAAACTTTGAATGTAACAGTGCAAAATAACAGGCTTTAAGGTTGTCGAAATTTATATAGAATCACAGTCTTATTAAACATATCAGACTGGATAAAGTTTTAGAGAGCTCATCTCTATTGTTTGCCTACAATTTGTCATCTATAATGTTACCTACCGCTCATATTAGGAATCATTTTGTCGCTAGCAGAACTGATCATCACTTCTATAATACTGTGCTACACAATCATGCAATTTCTCATATTCGCTTGGAGCTGCAATGACGTTATTATCCAAATAAGCATCTAGTAGCAGCTAGTTTAAATAAATATTTTATAAAAAACTTTTAGAGTATGGATTTGTCCAGTGGCCTCTTCTAGTTGCGCATATAATGACTATGAGATGTCAGAAGTCGCTGCACTTGATGACTGGGCGGTTTGGAGTCATGGAATTGCAATTTTTGTAAATTTAATAATTAAACCATTTAAGAACACCGGATGAGTCAAATTAAAACCATTTTATCGATTTAGTTTACTTTTTTAATTTAACTTTCGAAACCGATAGAATTCGTTTAGTTTTTTTTTAATGAAGGTTTAAAAGTGTTTCTGTTTTTGTCTTTGTCTTTATCAAGACAATAAACATAGTGTTGTAACACCGTTTTACATTTCTTTATTTAACAAATCCTAAGTGCTTACCTGTTTTTTCCTTTTTCTAATTCGAACCGAAGTAATCTTACACATATGTTATTAGAAGCGGAGCGGACAGTTATCAGCAGAAATATCTGTAGTTGTTTATTATGTTTCATATGGAGACAATAAGTATGTGCCGCCTCTAATCTTATTTTAATATTAACAAATTATTAATAGTAATTATAAAACGTTGTAATCTATAAAGAATCAAAGTGGAAAAGAAAATACTGACCCCGAATAATTATTTTTTCAAATTTTCATACATTTTTTAGTTAAATCATCACAAACATTAATAAAAGAAAGAAGAAAATAGCAAGTATGTAAATCGGGCTCACCTTTCACCGCCCTCGATTAACAAAAGATCGTACTGGTATCTCTAAATATAATCTGTTATCAATGGGAAACTCATATGAACATATGGTTCTACTACTTCTAAAAACTGTAAATATTTCACTGCTGAAAAACCACGCCCGAATAGTGTATGACGCCCCACTGTGAATTATATATCATTGCGGTATAACAAATATATGTGTTGTGGTGTACTAGCCTTTCATTAGCGCTGAGAAATTTTCTTCCATGGAAATCCATGGGCGTAACGAGAGTGAACTGACAACTGCGTGTAGTCGATATAATAATAATGATAACAATGTGTGATATTCGAGATTACAGACCCCTAATATCAAATAACGATAAGCAAAATCGTCACGAATTTTTAATCAGTTTCAATTTCAAAGAATTTCTGTAGTTTCCTCAAATATAGAGGCTGATAGTAGACGTGCCTTTGAAGGCAAGATAAAAAAAAGTAAGTAACGAGAAATTCCCTATATCAATAGTCTCTGATACCACTATTGTAGAAAAATATGTTTAATGACAAAATGTCACTCGTCATTATAAATTGAGTTTAATTTTGGACTTTTCCTAATTTGAGTTTTTTTTTTTCGAATATGAACTGATTTAATTTATTACCGACAGCCTTCGCACGCCCCTGAGTCCGACACCCGACATTTTGAACGCGCCTTGTATTCCTCTGCATTATAAAATGGTATTATCTCCATCTTCGGACAGTCTTGAGTATGAACCCAAGCCAGCAATATTTTAGTTACATTAGATGGTTAATGATTGCGGCCGGCATTTGGAGATTAGAAATTAAAGAGTTTTCGACTTCGAAAAAGAGATTTTACAATTTTTATTCTGTGATCATACAGCTGATCTGCACTTCGCCGATAATTTCGGTAACGCTAGATGTTCCGGCCCTAATGGAAGCTGATCAAGCTTCAGGTAACCATATAGACGGCAATTTTGTGATCTTTATTTGACAGTTTTTCTTAACTTCCCTTAACTAATAGGGCATGCGTTGCTAATTCATAAATATATCTTATTCGTTTTACAATTATATTTTGATTGTCATTACTCAGATCTATAAGTTGACAACTAAATCCAATTTAAGATACAGAACTTTAGTCAATAATAATAGAGTACATTTGTAAACGACCGATAAACATAAAAAAATATTAGGAATCTAATCAAAGTCTCAAGGCTCTAAATTTGCCTGAGCATTGTTTGCTTCCAATTCCATACATATTTATGAAAACCATAGCCGGCAAAGTAAGGGAGATCCTGTGCTTTAATTTTAATTTGTTCAATGAAATTCTAGCTTTTGGCAACATCGGCCTTGCGGTGTTCCTCGCGATGATAATCAGCAAAATGTTAATGTGCCAGTCGAAGCCTATTCTGAGACTGGTTAAAGTTGCCTTTCAGAACGAATTCCAAATGATCTATAACGTAAATGCAGATGTAGCAGCTATATATAAAAAGCACATTAAACTCAATAATTTCTTCATTACGCTTCTTGTTATGTACATAACAATTATACTAGTTAGTGTGATTACATCGGGTGAGATTGGTACCCAGATTTTAATTCTCCGCCTGGATTAATACTTAAATATTTTAGGTGATGTCCATTGCTACCAGTACTTAAGACAAAACCAAACAGTTAAACCTATGCTGGTGAATTATTGGTATCCGTTCGACACCAACAAATACTACGCGCTAGTGCTAATAGACCAGAATATCAGGCCGACGCTGGCAGCTTTGTGCACGGCTATTGTAAACGCTTTTGTAATTTGCATAATCATCTTCGTGAGATTGCAGCTCAAATTATTACAATACAGCTTTCGGAATTTCGACAAGCTAGAGTTGCAGGGCTTGGATGGTCCAACTATGTTAAAACTAATCTGTGTTAAACACCAGGAACTAATTGAGTACGTATTCCTGAAAAATAACTCCAGAAGGATAACAAGCTCCGACTGCTTACATGTTTCAGATATACCGTGGAACTAAATCAATCTTTCAATATAATAATATTTATTGATTATATGGTGTCTTCTATTACATTTGCTGCTCAAATTCTACAGATCATTGGAGTAAATTAAGTTTCAACTATCAGATACTTACTTATAATAAGGCAATGATTGTATGTTGTAGGGCGTCGAACCAATTTTTACTTCTGCTATTCTGTCTTACACAATCATACAACTACTTATATTCGCCTGGAGTTCCAATGAGATCATCGTGCAGGTAAAAATAGTTCACCAAACCCATGTTAATATTAAACGTTGCAAATTTTAGAGCACGGAATTGGCTAGAGCCCTCTTCGAGAGCAACTGGTACGACCATGACATCAACATTAAAGCTATGGCCCACATAATGATGATGAGATGTCAGAAGCCGTTGAGCCTTATGATTGGTAGGTTCGGAGTTATGGATTTGGACGTCGGGATTTCGGTAAGAAACGAAAAACACTCCTCCAAGTAAATTGTGCATTGTATTGAGTTGTTCATTATGCTCAAAAACACAAACAAAAATATTATTTGTGTTTTTTTAAATAAGCTTTCTAACCGATTGTTCTCCCTACCAAAAAATTGGAAACGACATTTTTTTATTTCAGCGTCTGAAATTGGCATATTCTTACACATCCCTCATGAGAAGTGGAGATTGATCGTCAACACTAATCGGGATTCAATTCAGATCGATTCAATACCAATATAAATATCTATAAATATATATATATATATATATATATATATATATATATATATATATATATATATATATATATATATATATATATATATATATATATATATATATATATATATGATGACACTATATTCCGGGATATCATCCGTTCGCTCGTTGAACTCCGACTGGAATCCTGCAAATCTTGCATCCGACTGGAATCCTGCAGACGTTTCGCCAAAATCTCACTTGGCATCTTCAATGCTCGCGCTCCGAAAACACTTCGAACACTTCGAATATATATATATATATATATATATATATATATATATATATATATATATATATATATATATATATATATATATATATATATATATATATATATATATATATATATTTAATTATAAAGTATTGTATTACGAGATCCGCTATTAATAATGAAAACTGATATTGTAATTTTGATATCTATGGGCAAGTAGAGTATTAATCAATGTAATTACCTAAATAAATAAATAAACAATTTGATTTTCTTCAAATTAAATTCGCATTATTGATGGTATAGTCGAATTACATTCAAAAATTTGAAAAACCAACCTCAACGAAAGTGAAACTATCAAACTCTTCTCATCTATCAAATACTCTGGTAAATGTATTATCGTACCAACTTTCTGCTACTAAAAAATTGATTCTTCGAAAATGTCGTATTATCCCAAAAGAGCAAATCGTTGCAAATATCGAATCTATTCTCAATCAATCAATCAATTTTAAAAGCACATCTAGAAAAAAACAAGCAAAAATCCAAGATATTCTTACAGACCCTATCGTCAATTTAGAAATTATCCTGCGTCATGTTTGGAATGCAACCATAAATCCTTGAAAAAGTCTGTCATCCCCCTCACGACTCTTAAATTCATCATTAAATTGATCTATTGCTAGTTTCGGTTCTAATTAGTTTAGATGTGAAGTCCATGTTTAATAATGTTCCTATTCCTGTGGCTCTCAATATAATTTCAGATATATTAAAATCTGAGAATTTGGAATAAAATTGTCTTATTTTAATTGATAACTGCTTCTCTAGGACATATTTTTCTTGTACCGGTCAAATGTATAAACAAATATGCAGCACAGCTACAAGTGCTCCGTTATCATCAGTCATAGCAAATATGTTTATGGAAGCCTTTGAAAAGAAAGCCCGCGTCACTTTCAACACAAAACTATGGAGACACAATATTGATGATACTTTTGAAATACCAAGCGATTGTTTTTTATTTTATCTTTGGATACAACACCCAGTCATTGATGCTATCTACCCCGCAAACTCGCCTAATTCACTCCTTTCGCTATGCATGAGTGTTTTCCCGCTATTCTTTCTTTCTCGAGGTCTCAGGTCGGGTTTCTGCTGCATAGGTGAGTATAGGTCTAATAGCAGTTTTATATATCCGAGCTTTTGCTTCAGTTGCTTCGCCAGATGGTATCGTTCAGGTATGCTGCTGCTATATACGCTCTTGTAGCTTGGTTCCATACTTCTGCCTCAACATCTCCGTAGTCAGATATTTCAATTCTCAAATATTTGAATTTCATTTCTTGTTGTATTATTTTATCCTGAACCACAAGTTGGCATCCGATCGTTGACCTAGAAGTGAACATCTATTTTGTTTTTGCCGTTGATATAACCATACTAAATTGTTTAGCTGTTTTATTGAACTGGTACAGAAGTCTTTGAAGATCATCTTCGTTCTCCAACACAAAAACCGCGTCATCTGGATAGCACAAAATTTTCACTTCCCTATATCGCATTTTGTATCCTCTTAGTTTGCGAACTTGTTTTATTATTTCATCCACTACGATGTTAAAAAGAAGCGGGCTAAAAGAGTTCCCTTGCTGAATGTCATTACTTGCAGATATTGGTGGAGTTAGTTCGCCATTTATTTCTGCTTGTATGTTATTGTTTTGATGATGTTGAATGGAATTTGTCGATCGTAAATAAGGTTAATTATATACTTCAATTGTATTCGATCGAAGGCTTTGTGTAAGTCAATAAACGCCCATGAAGGCTGGTCGATTGTATTCGATTGATTCATTTGTTGATTTCTTAACCACTTAAACCATATAGCATACGGATTCACATTGAATTCCAAGATATTCTCATTAAAAGAAAATCAAACACAACATTAATTAATTCAATTTACAGAAAACCTACGCACACAGACCGGCACCTTAATGCATTGTCACAATACAATCTGGCCCAGAAAATATTGGTTAAAAAGCGGCAAAACTATCTCAACTCGAATCACTGGACCCATAATTAACACACAACACAACATCTGCTCCTCACTCAAATACTTTCAACATTACAGATATTAAGCATTCTACTACAACATACACTTCCCCCAACCACCAAAAAAAAAAGAACCCCACACCTGCCACTCTGGCCCTTGCACCAATCAAAATTTTTTTACCACTTGTCCAAAAATTTCTCAACTTCTTCGATCCATCAAGAACAAAATTCCGTTTGGGACACCAGGAGTGTACAGCATTCTATGCATATGTCAGTATCAAATAGGCTTAAAGAACATGAGAGAACATTAAGGCACGACAAATGAACTCATCAGCAATTGCCGAACATAGTGATGAAACCGAAAATCAACTTTTATTCCACCAAACTAGAACCCTAGCAGTCAACCGAGACTATGTTCATGTCCCTCTTTTGGGTCCGCCTCCCTATAAAAGGTATCTCAGCATGTGCAAACCAGTTTCAGTCAAGCCAGTAAGATGATTGGCCAAATTTTTAGTTTAATTCATCAACTACAGACGCAGGAAGAATACAGAAGATATTTAAATAGTTTAGTTTGAATTATATTTTTTTTATGACCTTTAAAGCAACTAATATTAAAAATGTTTGTTATATTGCAATATTTCTATATCAGCGAGACTTCGTATGAGTCTAGATACGACTAATTATTACATCGTTTATAAAAGAGATTAAAATGTCTACACTGTCAAGTCACCTTAACAGCAAAATCAAAACACTAGGACTTACCCAACTCATTTCCCGCATAGTTACCCGCATGCTTGAATACGTGTCAAATCCATTCGCCGAGTAAAAAAATATCCCCTGAAATTATCCCGAACCGTAATAATTGAGCGTTAAAGAAACCGTCGCTGAAAATTCTGAAACCCCTTATGGATTATGTATATCGTTTTTGTAATAAGTAGGTATGTTTGCCAACTCTACTCTTTCATTGGCGTGAAAATGTCCCTTGAAATCTATAACGTGACTGTGCTCAAATCCATAGGCGTAGCAAACCTTTTGAATTGATTAGTTATTTTTTTAATTCAGTCCTAAATATTCAGTATTTGGTGCACACTTACAAAGTCGCTTAGTCTGTTTTGTTTATTATTTTTTGTTTTTTATAAAACTCCCGCTTTGACGATGACGCCACAAAGACCAAACGTTCGGCTTCAAACAGAATGCGATCAAGCAGATAGAGCAAAAAACGTCATATTATAAGTACGATTTGCAGATCACATATATCATTTTCTTTTTCTCTTAAGTAACTCCGATATTGCGATGACAACCGAATGAAGCAGTGCGCCCCTGAAGATACCGCCCATTTCGTTTGAAGCCATCAGCCCCGTTGCAAAAAAAATGTAAATAATATAAAATAAAATTGTCAGTGTTCTCAGTTCCAGTTTTAATACTGAACTCGAGCGGAAAATACTTTCGCTACATAAGATGGTTGATGATCGCGGCCGGTATGTGGAAAATAGAAGAAGAATTTCCGGCTCCCAAGAAAAGACTTTACTCTTTTTACTCCATAATGATACAACTAATTTGTACCTCGCCGATTATCTCTATAGCTCTAGAAGTGCCTGCTTTATTGCAATCAGATCCAGCTGCAGGTAACAAAAATCCAAACATAAAATGGTACTTTGGTCAGCTGTTTATTTTTAATTATTTGAGTCCTATGTGTGATTAATATCGTTCTAAACTCAATTAGTTTACCACTACACTATGGTTCCCAAGATTTTCCATAGACAACGCCTGTGTTTCTAGCAGTTGGTAATATCGGCCTGCTGGTGTTCCTCGGGACGGTAATCACCAAAATGTTAATGTGTCAATCGAAGCCAGTCATTGAACTTCTTCGAACAGCCTTACAGTCCGAATTTCACTTAGCTGCAAGCGCCAGTACTGATGTGGGAGCAATATACAGGTTTCACACGAAACTAAACAACTACTTTATCACTCTCCTTATTACGTGTATATTATTCATGGGAGTATGTGTTGCTACGTTTGGTAAGACGGGTGTTAAAAGGAAATCGGTCGCTCCATATGTTGTGGATAATACTTTAGGTGACCTCAACTGCTACAAGTACTTCAAACGATACAACAATGCGACTGAGAAACCTGTAATTTTGAATTATTGGTATCCTTTCGATAAAAATAAGTATTACGTGCTTGTCTTGGTGGATCAGAATATTCGACCAACTCTAGGAGGGCTTTATGCTGCTATAGTAAACGCGTTTGTCAATTCCATTATAGTTTTCGTGAGACTCCAACTCAAACTACTCCAGTACAGTTTCAGAAACTTTGACAAATTAGAACCGAATGAACATAACGGTAACCCAAACATTTTGAGGATACTCTGCGTGAGACACCAGGAACTGATTCGGTAATTATAATAAAATTGAAATTTCAACAATCCTGTGTTGAAGCAAAGTTTTTTTGGCTGTGCCGACAATTAAACCTACAAATTAAGGTAGCTAAACGTATAAAATTTCATTTCATTCATTTCTAGTTGAATTCGGTGAATTCTAGAGATAATTTTATCATATCCACAAATACTCTTTTTAAAAGAATATAGATATTTGAAAATAACTTATTGATTTGTTTTTTCTTTGCCAGTTTGACATATATCAGGTAGAATTACTAGCAATGTGATAACTCAAAAAAAAAATGCAAAAAAATTGAAATTGGGAAATTAAATAAAGTGTAGATACATTTTGACACATTAAAAAATTGTATAGCACGTCCGGTTTTGCAGGAAGTGAGATCAATTTTATTATTTTAAATGAAACACCCTAAATATTTTTCCATTTTTGAAACCTATGGATAAATCTGAGTAGAAAATGTTTTTTATCTTGTTATGTAGTTCCCGTAGTGCGTTGGACTCTTCCTTTGACAGATTCTTCTTCGGTGGTTTGGCTGTTCGTAGTATCTGAGAAACTTCTTGTCTGATAACTTCAGCAGTATTTTCTTCTAGATCTTTTATCGAGGTTTCCATTCCACAGATGATGGTTTCTACCGGAATCTTTGTGGGGGCTATAGCATAGTTGAAACCTTTGGCAAGTACACTTTCTGTCGCTTCATCGATTTGGTATTTGGAAAGATTATACACTAATCTCTTCGGCGGTTCTTCTTGGTTAATTTTATTCTTCGTAGTTTTCTGTGTTTCTTTCAGCTGTTCGAACTTTCTTTTATGTTTGATTCTTGTTAGAAAAAGAAAAAGAAGAAGAAGACAAACCTATAGGCAAAGCTCTCCTACCTTATGTCAAAGGAACAACAGACAAAATAAGCAGAGTCCTTAAGAAAAACAAAATAGCAACAATCTTTAATTCAGACAAGAAAATTGCCAATGTAATTTCATCAGCAAAAACAAAAATCCCACTGGAGGACCAAGGAGTGTATGAAATACCCTGCAAGGACTGTGACAAGAGCTACATTGGCCAGACAAACAGAAGGATACAGGTACGAAGAGAGGAACACCGCAACGCTGTAACCAAAGACGAAAGAACTTCTGCAATAGCCCACTATGTAAGCAATATTGGACACACAACAGACTTTGATAACACAAGGACAATTGCTAGAGAGGAACACAAATATAAAAGAATAGTCAGGGAAGCTATCGAAATAGAAAAACACCAAAATAACCTAAACACAAGAGACGATACGCAACGATTACCAACAGCTTGGAAACCGATTATAAAACCAACAACAAGAAAGAGAGCAGCCCCAACTCGCTTTCCACCTCGTCGCCCAGACAACGATAACGCCCTACCGCCAACCACAAGGAACCGTACGCGTGCGCATATAACACGGTCCAATTTTCAGTGTACTTGTTTGGTCCACTGCTACACAAGTTACTTTATTTAAAATAAAATTGTTTTCAATTTTGTCAAGTACTTGGTGATTTTCACTTTTCAAATGATGCTCCAACTAATAGAAGTACTGCTTGCTAAGGACGAGCTGTGAACCGCTCCGTATAAATGCGCTTGGCTACCCTGCGATTTTTTCTGGCTCAATCAGTATTGGACATACATAAAAACGCTTAATTATAGAAATTATTGTAAATTGACCTCAGAATAATACAAATGAGGCTTTTAGGGCGTTCCCATTGGGAAAAATTACCACACACTCAAATTTTTATTGTATTTCCGTTAAAAGCGAAATTCCGCTTTATTTTTCTATAAAGCATTAACTGAGGAAAATTTAAAATGGAAAATTTTAGAATCCTGTTCTCTCCGAAACTATTAGAGCTAGCGCAAAAAAATAAACATTTCATACGTCATAATATACAGGGTGTTTCATTTAAAATAATAAAGTTGATCTCACTTTCGGTAAAACCGACAGTGCTCTTCAATATAATTAATAGTAGTGCTTTTTGACTACACCGTATGTCAAGCTCTTTGTCTTCCTTCCTTTATATGAGATGATCTAGGTAGTTGGTTTTAAGAATATATAAAAAAAACAAAATGATTAGCAAAATACTCTTAATTGCAATTCTGCTATGCTACATGTAATACGCCTTCTATACAAAGTATATTCGATATCAATCAGTAATAAGTAATTATTCAGTTTGCTTCAATATTTAGGGTAAAAATATTTCGGTCATTTTGATAATTATAATATGTCGTTATTTTAGATATGTCGGTAAACTTAACGAACATCTCAGCATAATAATATTTATGGAATACATGGTTTCATCAGTTACGTTTGCAGCACAAATTTTACAAATCACTAGGGTAAGGCATTTTAAATCATGGACCCGTCATCTCGACCACAGTAACAGGATTGGTATTTTAGGGCATCGAACCTTTTATATCTTCTGTAATATTAACCTATACCATCATACAATTGCTGATATTTGCATGGAACTGCAATGAGATTATCATCCAGGTAAGATATTTTTAATATCATTCTTAAATTCTGCTTTTTCTAATATCGAACTTTGGATAGAGCGCAGAATTGGCCAAAGCTCTTTTCGAAAGTAACTGGTACGACTACGATGCCAAGATTACCGTCATTGCGCATATAATGATGGTGAGATGTCAGAAGCCGCTGAGCTTGATGATCGGCAGGTTCGGAGTTATGGACTTGGATGTTGGAATCTCGGTAAATACATAAATTTAGGTAGCATGGCCAAGTTAAATTAAATAAAAAGTATTCTTCATTAATAGTAATTATAATGAACTTAGAATTTATTTTTAAACATATTTTAAATTAGAGAATTTAGGACATTTTATTATTTGTTTTTGTTTTTAATATCGACACAATTCAGTTATTTTCATTTCAGAGGCTCAAACTGGCGTATTCCTACGCCTCAGTAATGACAAGTGGAAACAAGTGACTATTTCGACAATGTCGGTAGATAATATTGTTAAAATAAATTTACAATAGTGACACCATAATGACAAATTACTACTACCCGATGTACCCGAGATATAGTTCAAATTTGTCGCATTTATCGTAGCAGAATAATATTAATTAATTATTTATGACAACTTCTAAATACAAACAAAATGCAAAACTAAGCGTAACACACTTTAGCATAAATTTAAATAATCCATAAGCGCAGAAAACAGGAATTTAATTAAATGCTCTTGAGAAACAAACTAAATAAAATAAAAATTAAATATAGTAAGCAAATAAATAAATCATCCGATACGTTGTCAATGAAACGGATTAAAAGTGATATTGATAAAATCATAACGAAGCTGAGAAGTGCGCTAAAAGCGGAGAAATGGAAAATAAAGATCCATCTCTCTGGTCCCCCAATTCTGCGCATCCAAACTAACCTGTCAATATATTTTTATTTATTTCATCTCTTTATTGTCATCAGTTTATTAACCTTTATCCATATTCCTACCTTCAAATTTTAAAAGCGTCGCCACAAAATTTCTTGCTGATCATCAGATCATCAATCAGAAATTATCCGTAATGTTTCGGAAAAATCATTCATTAATACAAATGAGTTTCCAATCGATGTAGGTGCCTTTTTTGTAGCATTTTGTTATATTCTAATTATAAATTGCGATGAAAAATTGAGAATATTTTCCGATACGTTTCATGCATCAAAATACCATAAAACCGCTTTAACCAATGAAAATTGCGTTCACACATGTTTGAATAATTTTTGAAAGTAGGTACTCACCAAATATGGTAAAGTACATGCAACTTTCCAAAAAACACAGTTGACACAGTAAGAAAATATCCTCTGCCTGGTATTCTATCCCGTAAATAATCCTTTATAGATTATATATATCGTCCCTGTAATAAGCGTATATGTTTTCCTGTACTACTCTTTCATTTACCTTGGGAAAATTTCTTTTAAAATACATAGGGCACCTGAGCTCACATCCGCGTAAAAAATTAAAAACATTTTCTGTTTTGTGTCTTTTTTCGGATTTGCAAAAGCTTGTAGTCCCAGGTATCAATGGAAAAGTGATTCCAATTCAATTCAATTTGCATTTTATTTATTGCTTTTACTGAAATGCAACTATCTCTCTAACAAGGATCTCTAAATGGTAACGCATACTTAATTCTGCCGTTAATTTTAGTAGAACATCTATTGAAACACATAGATAAAATAAACAAACTAAAATTAACTTAAAACCGTTGAATGGACGTCAACCCTGCAAAGATATCCACCCCCATTCTAAATGTAAGATTGTGCAGTTTTCCCACAAGAAAGTTACCCACATCTTTAAACTGGATAGTTTTATCTCGTTATAAGAAGCGATCTAAACAATATGTCAAATAGAGTTCCATTTTCGTGGAGATTAAATACCGTGCAAAGTTTAGTATGGTTAACATATAGTATATGACATTTATACGTCAACTTTGTGAAGTGGTTTATACTTCGCCGTTTATCTCTTTCTTAAGCTTGATGATCGGTAGATTTAGAGTTAGTTGGCTGTAGATTAATTAGAAAAGATTCAGAAGAAATGTTTGAAGTACCGTTATTATAAGAAGTATGGTATTTATTATTTTGATACACCCTACGTCTTTTTGATTGAGGAGTTTGGTGTTACACACTTGAAAAAAGAAGGAAATTTTTTTTATAAACTGGTTTAGGCCAGAATAGATTGTTCTTTTCTAATTAGTGAATTAAGATTTATTATGCCTGCATATTTAATAAGGAATAATATCACTTTTGAACTACCTAGAGCTTACACTAATCTAGAACAAAATAATATACTGTACAGAATGTGTAACTTAATAAATAGTGAACTCTGTGATGGGACATTTTTCATAATGGTTTCTGCAACTTTCGAACTATAATTTTATAAATTTTTATATTTCTTTCACATTCCTTTTTTCTTTACTGTTGTTTACCAATTTCCTGTTATATCATAACTTATGGTCAATTAACTATTAAAATGTACGCGTTTGTTCTCTTTTTGTTGTTTGCTAACTGTTGATTGATTGTAATCTGTTATTGGGCGTTAGCCTGTTGATTACTTTACTTCAATAAATAAATTAATAGGCATGCTAAATTTTCACTGAACTTTTGAAAATATTTGAAATTACCCAGTTTCCTAGAGTTATTGCTGGCATTCTAAGACATATATTTTATTACGACTTTGCAAATACACGCCCAAAATTTACTCCCATATAATAAGCTAATAACAATAACAATCCTATGATTTTTGGTGCTGTTTTTTTTTTTCAGTTCCACAAAAAACACAACAATGAATGTGTTTTTTTCATTTCACATGCTCAAACTAGCATATTGCTACCCTTCAGTTATGACAGGTGGAAACAAGTGAATAGTTTCATCAGATTTTCTAAATACAAATAAACGCGAAATTCTATTTGGCAGAAACGAAGATGTCGCAAAAAATCGAAACTAAATCTTAATAAACTAAGCTTTTCCATATCTTGTCATCACCAACGACGGCAGCCCTTTAACTGAACTATGTTATGCACGGTGGCGTCAAAGTAACAAACAATAGATTACATGATGAGAAAATTATCCATCTGTTCTGCAATTCTGCTCATCCTCACTAATCGCTGGTTGATTCCTTCATTTCTTCATTGTCATTAGACATCTATACATAAGTATAAAAACAATCAAATTACAATAATATGCAACCAATATTCATAGATGATGCCTAGTTTCCTATCATTTCGATATTTATTTCATATTCTAAAAGCGTTGCCACCTTACTGTAAAAAGTATAACTGAAATTTCAGAAAAATGTATCATAACAATTGAATTTTTGCAAATATTTATTTACAATTTTTTTTGTTTAATAAAACTAGTTTATGACGAAAAACTAAAACACAGCTATTTTAAAATACTGTTAAATAAAAATTCTATGAAGCAGGTTTAACCAGCGAATCTGCTTTACAAACTTAGCGTAAGAAAGGCTTACCAAATAAGTTAAGGAACACGTAACATTCCCATAACCACGTTAACAGAGTAAGAAACTATCCTCCGCATGTATTGCAAACAGTAAATAATTGAACGTAAAAATGGCGTCCTTTGTGGATATCGTTACTGTAATAAGTGGGTATGCTTCCCGGTTCTACTCTTTCATTAGCCCTGGGAAATTTGCTCTGAAGTCCATAGGCGCCTGAACTCAAATCCATAGGCGTCACGAAAATAAATTCAAATATTTTTAATCTGTTGTTTTTAATTTATTTAATGGTTGTTTAAGAATAAATAATCTACATAAGTTGCCAGTATTTTTTTTTGCACCTTACAAGGTGACCCATAATTATAAATACGAAAGTCTCATTTTTTAAAACTTTTTGGACGAAAATGTTTGTAAAATTACCAGTTGATGCTGTTTTAAATGAAACACCTCTATTAGTTGATTGTTTTTACATATTTAATAGAATATAGAATAAAAAAATAGAATATAGATGAAATATATAGAATATGAGTCCACAGTTTAATAGCAATTATTTGAGTTTGAAAAAATCTGCAAATTATACTCTACTCTAACCGCTTACGAGATCTGGTAGTGGGAGGCTCAATATGATGTCATCGCCATATTTTAATCGTAATACAAAACGTCAAGTCGGTAGGCAACAAATTTAGGACGGACTTAAAAAATGTAGGTACGCCAATGAACATACCTGCTGTTCCTTTAAAACAATCAACCCCTTTGCACTAAACCGCCGCGCCATGGCAAGAAATATTTTAATAAATTAAAATAGTCGGTGTTCTTGGCTGCAGTTTTAATCATGAACTCAACTGGAATATACTTTCGCTACATAAGGTGGTTGATGATCGCTACCGGTATGTGGAAAATAGAAGAGGAATTTTCGATATCCAAGAAGAGATTTTATGCCGTATACTGCGTAATAATACAGCTAATTTTTATTTCGCTGATTTTCTCCGTAGCGTTAGAAGTGCCTGCCCTATTGAAATCCGATTCGGCTGCAGGTAACAAAAAATCTAAAGATAAAAAAGTGCTTTAGTCGGTTGACACGAAAACATTTTTTTAAATATAATTTATTTATCTCACTAAAAAAGACTCAGGTTCTTTGTCGGTGTCCTGTCTCCAAGATGTAAAAACTCTGCTTCCAGCAGTTGGTAATATCGGCATGATGGTGTTCCTCGGGACGGTAATCACCAAAATGTTAATGTGTCAATCGAAACCTGTCGTCGAACTTCTTCGATTTGCCTTACAGTCAGAATTTCACTTGGCTGCACGCGCCAGTACTGACGTGGAAACAATATACAAATTTCATACGAAACTTAACAACAACTTCATCACTCTCCTTATTACTTGCATATTATTTATGGGACTATATGTTGCTACGATTGGTAAGAACGATTTGTTGAAGATTTGTCACTCCAGGTGTTGCGGATTATATTTTAGGAGACTATAACTGCTACAAGTACTTCAAACAAAATTACAATACAACAGATAAGCCTTTGTTTTTAAATTATTGGTATCCGTTCGATAGAAACAAGTATTACGTGCTTGTCTTGGTGGATCAGAACATCCGACCAACTCTTGGAGGACTTTATGCGGCGATAGTAAACGCGTTTGTCAATTCCATTATACTTTTCGTGCGGCTCCAACTCAAGCTACTTCAGTACAGTTTCAGAAATTTCGGTCAATTTGGGTCGAATGAACATGACACGAGTCCAAACATTTTGAAGATGCTCTGCGTGAAACACCAGGAACTGATTCGGTACATGAACAGCTCAATTATAATTAAATAGAAGTTTTCATTCTAAAAACAATAACCCCGGTTGAAGAAGTCTTGTTTTTTATGGGAACAACATGTTAAATCTATAAAGTAGGGCAGCAATCTATATCATTTCATTTTTGTCCTTTGTCTTCTTTTAGGAATGATTCCATATCGCATTTTCAACAAGTGTTTTTAAAGATTAGTTTGAAGATTGATTTGTTTTGAGTTTTGCTTTGCCGGTGTGGTAAATATACCATATAATCGTATATTTGAATCTATAAAATGATAATGAAAGAGAAAAATGAAAAGTCCCAGAATTTTTTTAACCACCCCATATGTCATAGCCTTGTCCTTGTTTTTGTCTCACGTTGTTCTATTTATGTGTTCCAAATATGCTTCTACGTTAATAAACAAAATATATGCGATATCAGTTAAGAGCCTTGTCACTATTAATATAGATATTAAAGATTTAACAATCTTCGCCTTTTTGAAATTTGTATTAAGTTATTATTTTAGATATGTGGGTGAACTTAACGACCATCTGAATGTAATAATATTTATGGAATATATGGTTTTATCAATTACGTTTGCGGGGCAAATTTTGCAAATCACTGCGGTAAGTCAAAATATTGAATGATATCGCTCATAGTTTACCAATACGATTTTCTAGGGCATCGAACCGTTTATAGCTTCTGTACTATTGACCTACACAATCATACAATTGCTTATGTTCGCTTGGAATTGCAACGAAATTATCATTCAGGTAAGTGTCGTTATTAAATTATCAAACTTCCCGATTTTGCTCTATCTAATGTTTAACTATGGAAACGTTTAGAGCACAGAATTGGCCAAAGCTCTCTTCGAAAGCAAGTGGTACGACTACGATACGAAGATCATTGTCATTGCGCATATAATGATGATGAGATGTCAGAAGCCGCTGAGCTTGATGATCGGCAGGTTCGGAGTTATGGACTTGGATGTTGGAATCTCGGTAAATATACATAACTGTTAGGAACTACTGCTGAGGGTTGTATGTCCTATGCATATATGTTCGTATAACAGAACAAAAATCTAATTTTGATGAATTTCGACTGGGGGTTTGAAAATATTTGAAACTAGTCAGCTTGCCGAAGTTATTGGTTGGAATTTTAGGACACATTTTATTACGACCTTAAAAATACATGTACAAAATTTACACCATAGTAGAAGAAATGATTTATCGCATGACATTTTGTGAGCATGTATTTTTTCAGTTCCTCAAAAAATGCGGAACTGATAAGATTATGTTCATTTCAGAGGCTCAAACTGGCATATTCCTACGCTTCTGTTATGACAAATGGAGACAAGTGACTACTTCGACATTGTCGACAGACCCACCTGATGTGCTATAAACTCGCCGAAATATATTTTTTAAATAAATCAAGCTCTGGACTAGAGTGAAAACAAACTAATTTAGTAATCTATACTAGAACTAGTAACCCAATCTCATATAAAATTTTTATTTTATGAAAATTTTTCTCTTTTTTTTCTAAACCGGAACCACCGGCAGGAGTGAAAATGACCAGGAGACGCATTTAATATGCGAGCAACCTTTCATCTTAAATAAATTTTGTTCACCTTAGCATCTTGCCTGCAGTGGCTAAAAATTATTCTTTTAATGTATATTTCATTAAAATTTACTGTGATAAGATCAAGACAAAATTTAAAACATGCAGACAAGAAGAAAAGAAGAAATTCATCTTTCCCCAATTCTATTCATCCACATTAATTTTTGATGTCACTTGTAAGTGTCCGCACTTAAACCTGCAGTTTAAATTAAATTTAAATTAAATATGTAAATGCTCATTTACTAGCGACGTTTTATTATCAATTCAAGCATTCCCGAGTATTCAGGGTTCCTCAGGACTGTAAAATCTATAAGGGAAGCATCCCACCACAAAAACAGAAGAAACACACAAGGCAATGTCATTAATTATCCTCTAACAACAGAGCGGCTCCAAGAACAATTGCAACAACTAGAGAACCACTTGCTCGCCATTGATAAAGACTTTACAGAAAATTAAAAATTAAAAAAACATCTATATCATGACGACTTGTCATTGATTATGTAAGGTTACGTTAAGTACAAATTAAAAATCCCGGGATCGACATGGACACAAATTCGATCTTGTTGAAAACATTCGCTCCACGAGAATTTTTACAGGCAACTCGATAGGTGGAAAATTGGTCGTGCACAAACAAAAACCCACAGACAATAATTCAGTACCCAGTAGGATCAAAGATCAACAAAAATATTACAGGCAACCAGCATTACACGACTTTACGTAAGTGACAACCTGAGAGTTTTAATTTTTTTATGGTTAGTAGAATGATGGATGGAGCACATTTCCTGGAACCTACCATTTTTTTCCTATTTCCTAAGATATAAGGATTGTTGAATTCCACTTGGTGATAACGATCATTGCCTTGTGTTTACAGTCACTTTTGTGTGTATTTCAACATTTGGGATGTTTGCCCTGTGTATAGGTTCTCGCATTCATATTGAAGATCATAAAGAACATTGGACTTTTAATTGAGAACAGAAAGATCTAGAGTCCTTGGATTCTTAATATCGGATGGTTGAAAAAGGAGAATTATCTAGAACGTAATTATCATCACAACTTCGGCGAACGCTGGGGAGTTCCGCATCCCCTCGGGAGACCCTTGATTTGCTGATATTAGTTTTTGCTAAAAATAAAGAATTTGTTGCTATATAGGAAGCAGACGATGTCAATAAACTGTTTTTATGGATATTGCAGTTAGGTTCAAACAAATTGAAATGTTCATCTAAAAGTGACAATACCAATTCTAGGCCGATATTTGTAAAAAAGGACACTACATCAAAAGAATCAAGAACGAAACCTTGAGGAACTTGCACACCGTGCCCTTAATTCTAAATTTATTAAATTCAGCGCTTAAAATCTAACCAACGAAACCTACCAAAGGTTCTGTAGCTGCTCCGATACAGGACACTATGAGACGTAGTTTACAGCCCTCTTTGTGGACTTTGGATAAGCCATAATATTTTGGGCATCTAAGTGATATGTCTTTTTGAGGCCATAATTCTAGAAAACCACAACCGTCTTCAAGTAAATGATCTTTCATCTGCTTAAATAGTTTGATGATTTTTTAAATTATTATTCTTTATTTTATTAAATTATGAATTATATTGAATGTTTTGTGCCAATAGAAAACCATTTAAAGTATTGTTTTTACATAGAATGTCTATATAAAGCTTCAAAGTACGTGCTAGTGACTTGATATACCGGTTACAATCTTGTAGGTTCCAAATACAAGTTGTCCAGTGTTGGTGTTGTTCAATTGTCGAGGTATACGCCACAGGTCGTCGGTTTCTCTGTTGTGCCAGTTTTCGGTTGATGTTGGTGAACGATCCCATCAAGTTCACAACGTCAGTCCCGTATGTGGTTCCAATTTTCTGATAGAATGATCACGTTCCGTCTCCTACAAGTAAAATGTGAAGCTGCTGGCAACTTGTTGCATAAAATTCGAATGCGAATTGTTTTCAAATACTTTTCTTGCATCAGAATACCGTCAAACCGCATTAACCAGCAAAAATGACAATATCACAAAGTTATCAAAACGCCATAGTAACCCATAAAGTTGACGCATGCTTAGATAATTCTCTTAAGCATGTACCTACCAAAGAGATTAAAGAACACGTAATTTTCCAAAAAAACACGGTAAGCGGTAAAAAGACCACACTAAAAAGTCTGAAATTCTTTATAGATTATGTACATCTTTCCTGTAGTAAATATGTTTTCCAGTCTTACTCCTTCATTAACCCTAGGAAAATTTTTTGTGAAATACATGTGGTGCCGGAGTGCCATTCTCAATGAAGAGAGAAAGTGCGCAAATATTCCGAGTCGTTTAGTTTTTTCAATAAAATTGCATGAGATTTTGTGCTAATATTTTCATATTAATACAGGGTATCGCAATATTAACGCCACCGGCGAATAGGCCAACCCAAAATAAACATTTATTCTTTTAATTCGTTTGCAAACGATTTGTTAAAAGTTTGTCTTTTTTTGTCGTTGATGTTAATAAAATAGTATTTCATCTCCATGGAGGTTCAAATTAAATAACACTTAAAAGATGTGCATACGTCCTTGAATCCATTTCATTGAAACTATAATATCTTTGAATTCAACCGCTGTAATAAAATTGCCAGTCTACTTCTACGTGAACCTAAGCGAAACATGATTTCGGAACGTAATATTGAAGAAAATACTTTTCGCTTTTTACTCCAGCATAATTAAGCTAATTTATGCTTCGCCGATTATCTCTCGAGCCCCAGACGTGCCTGCTAAGACAAATATAAAGATAAACTCGAACGTTGGTCGGTTGAAATGAAAACAACTTGATATCATGAATAAAATATAAACTCCAGTTGTTATATATCAATCGAAACCTGTCGTCGAACTTCTTCGAACAATCACAATTTTAAGGAGTGAAAACCAGTACCTATGTTGGAGCAGCATATGAATTTCACACCAAACTAATATCTTTACTACGTGTACATTATTTATTGACCTATCTGTTGCTATGTTGGGTTAGACGGGTAGTCAAAATAAGACCTATGACCTAAGTAGATCTGTTCGAAAATAGTCTGTTGATCTGTTTTCAGCGTTTTCAGATTTTCCCCAATATGCAAAACTAAAAGTTAACTAAATAGAAAAAACTTCTTTTATTTTCTGCATCTAACTAGATCTGTTCGAAAATAATCTGTTGATCTGTTTTCAGTTTTAGGCGTATATTCCACATAAGCGTTTTTTCATACAGGGATATTTAAGAGAGTAATGTTTCTTATGAAGTAATGTTTATAAAGATTTTCTTTTTTGATCGCACCGTATGTCAAAGATTTGGTTGGTAAACAAACACATTCTAACAGGTCGTCATTTTAGATAGATCGGTAAACTTAACGATCATCTCAGAGTCGTAGTATTTATGGAATATATGATTTCATAAGTTGCATTTCTAGGGTATCGAAAGGTTTATAGCATCCGTAGTATTGACTTACACAATCAACACAATTTGCTTGGAATTGCAACGATATTATCATCCAGGTAAATGTCGAAGCCAACTCTTTCTGATGTCTAAAGTTGGAAACGTTTAGAGTACAGGGTGCCGCAAAACTGTCCACTGCCACATCAACTTTGTTATTTTAATTGGAACACCCTGTATATATCGACATTTTTCGAATCCTTGGTTAAAATAAAGGTCAGTTTGTTAAGAAATTCCTAATCGAATCTTGCATAGTTTAGGCAAATGATTGGACTAAGGAGATGATGCACTACTCAATCAGTTTGACAGATGCGCCTCAGCAGATATAGGGTGTCCCAAATAGGTGGTGCCATTTTGGCCAATTCAATTAACAAAATTTCAAGATTTTCAAATCAATTCTAGGATAAAAAATAAGGTAAGTTTGTAATTTATCTTATATTAAAATTTTTCTTACTTTTTGAGATATTCGAAGTTTAAGATAACACCCGTATAAATTTTGAGTTGAATTTAAAGCTGCCCATATTAGGTCACTTGTTGGCAATATGAGATATTTCTTCAATAGCAAACACATGATCCTACTTCTTTTAAAGACATAATACTCCAGATATGCGAATAAAATCTATTGCTAACAAAAATTAGTAATTAAAGTTTATAGGCTAACTAACCAAGGTAACAAATTTTTATAATGCTAGATCAAGCTAATATAAATTCGTTCACCATTTATAATTTAATAAGTAGTAATTGTATTTTAGATTCATCTTTATCTCTCAGTAAATCATTATTGATAAGAAGACTTCAACTACTTTGCAAACGATATTACATTCACAAATAAAAGCTCTCTTAGTTCATAAGGATTTACCAGAAAAATATAAAATAAAAAAATAAATATAAACGTCCTAGTTGTTTAGACCGAAAAATATGTTATAATTGTTTAAAATGTACCATAAAATGATCTTAATATTTTGTAGCATTAATACATATAAACATATTTTTTTTAATTAAAGCTAAATGACGTAATGGGTATCTAAAAGTACATTGAATTCCATTCTAAATGCAGCTGGAAAAAGTTTTACTTTAATTTATTGTAAGTTTTTTTTTTGTAATTGTATTAAGAATACTATTTGCTTTTAAAGATTTTATGGGGATATTCTTTTTCTACACCGCACTACTGCACTACAAATTGAGGTGTAAATTGAGTTTCTGAATCATGCAATCGCTAAAGTGCTTATCTTGATGGTTAATGCAATTGAATTACCCAATTATTAAGGTACGGAATTTTTGAATTCCTTTGTTACTAAATCTGGATGAATTCATCGCTTTTCTTGTCTTCAGATTATGTTAAAAAATCAAAACATAATTTTAAAAGCTTTTTGCATCAAAATACCGTAAAACCGCTTTAACCAACCAAAACTAGAATATTACAAAGTTACCAAAAGTGAGGTTACTTGCCTATTTCCCAAACTGACTTCCAAACTTGGCACATGATTGAATAATTCTCTTAAGAAGGTGCTTACAAAATATGTTAAAAACACAGTCACGGCTTAAGAAAACATCCTCTGCCTGGTATTCCAACCCATAAATAATTGAATGGTAAAAAGGCAAGGCTAAAATGTCTGAAATCCGTTATGGCTTATGTATATCACCCCTGTAATAAGCATGTGTTGATATTCTACTCTCTCATTATCCCTGGGAAAATTTCTTCTGAAGTCCGTAGCGCGACTGAGCTCAAATCCATAGGCGTCACAAAAGGGAAAACTCTTTTCATTCGCTTGTTTATTTTTAATGGACGTGTGAAATTATTGGTCAAGCGTGTTAATAAAATTCAAGTTGGTAAATGAAACACCCTCCCACCCCCTTAGTTATTTTTTATAAAACATGGGAGTTCACAAATTGATAGCAATTATTTGGGAGTGCGAAATAAGCAAGCGTGCTCGATTTTAAGCAGTCATGTTATCCGATTATGGGAGACAAGTGTTAAGCTATCCTGTATAAAGATCGCAATATGGCATAAAATTAGTTGCCACGGCAATATTTTAATCATAGTACTAAATGTCAAGTAACAAATTTACAACGGATTTGAAAAATGTTGTTACGCCAATGAAACTGCTATTCCTTTAAAACGATCAACCCTTTGGTATTAAACCGCCGTCGCAAAAATTGTATGAATAATATAAAACCCAAGTTGTTAATTTTCCTGGCTGCAGTTTGCGTTATGAACTCCAGCGGAATGTACTTTCGCTATATAAGGTGGTTGATGATTGGTGCCGGCATGTGGAAAATAGAAGAGGAATTTTCGGCTCCCGAGAAAAGATTTTACGCCGTTTACTCAGTAATAATTCAGCTAATTTGTACCTCACTGATTTTCTCTGTAGCGCTGGATGTGCCGGGTCTAATGAAGTCTGATCCGGCAGCAGGTAATGACGAAAAGCGAAACATAAAGTAAGGACAAGTTCAGTAATTGGTGAGAATTGAGCAAATATGTTTTTGCTTCCTCATTTTCTAAATAAACCCACAGTAGGGTGAGTTAAAACAATTTTTTTTGATCTGACACACGAAAACCAGTTGCTGTTACCTCTAGAAAGTACTTGCCACGTATGAGCTTTTAATATTAATGGGAATATTTGCGTCTTCGATTTAGACTCATATATAAATAACCATATCTTATCACCAATAGGTCATTAAGTCAATTTTTATTGATAATTTATCACTGTTTGTTGGTACTGTTCCACTCGATATAAAAAAAGACATAAAAAAATCGAAGCTGAAAAAATTCGAGATGATATAAATTATGGGCTTAAAAAAATTGAGATCGATTAAAAGAACACCAATTCGATTATTAAAAAGGATTTAAGTGACTTCGTTTGTCAAAAATCATTCAATTTGATCAAAATCTTTGACCTAACATGAGATTTATAACGAAAATGAATTGGAATATTGGAATATAATCAACTAAGAACAGTTTCAATACTTGAAGCAAGTTGTCAAAGAACTTCGAGGACTATTTCCAGACTGTAATAAAAAGCGATTTGTATAAGTAAATCTAAAAAATGTATATTTTTCCATTAATACTGTATTAAGGCAAAAAATTTCATATGGTGGAATACAATTATTTTTCTATTAATGCATTTATTGACATTTCTTGAAAAAAGAACTTTTTTCTTTCTAAATAAGATAATAAATAATCTCAAAATTTACTAATTCAATGAATTAATTCAAAATATTTATTAAAAACAATAAATACAAGTGCCCATGGGAATTCCATTTTTGTAGAACAATAAAATTCCTATAAGAATAATTGAAACCAGTTCACGATAATGATTTTTCAGAAAACAAAATTCAGAATAAAAAGTTAGTTTTGTTTAAATTCTTCAATCTTTGACATCTAATAATATCTTTGAAATGGTTTGATTTATTGGAAAATTGTAAGAAAAAATTAGCTTAATGATATATTGGTGATAAGATATGATTATTTGTATATGAGACTTAATCGAAAATGCCAAACTGTAATAAGGATAATCTTCCCATTAATATTAAGAGGTCATACATGGTAAGTACAGAGGTAACTCCCAACTTGTGTGTCACATCCAAAAAGAAATAATTGTATTGTTTGACCTTCCCTAACCCAGAGACTAAAATGCCGCAAATTCTATTTGTTTAGTCAAATTTTTCCTTTAACCACAGTGGAGTTTTTATTGCTAAATCCGTTGCGAGTTTTTTACTTTAATTTTTCAAAGAAACTTCTACAGGCTAGTGTAATACTTCTCACAAAACATCTGGATTCCTACTGCGTCGGCTTTTATTAAAACAAACTTGCTAACTACGAATTGATTACATTCAAGAATTTTAGTTTTGTCGAATAAAATTTTATGTCCGGAATTTTGTCTTTGACAGATCGAAGATATTGAGAGATTTTTGGACAAGTGGTAAATTTGGATTTGACGTTATATTTCTTTATAACTTTTGATATGTGGTCAGTGATGTTTTAAATGTAAGGAACGACAACAGTGGCAAGTGTGGGATTGCTATCGGCCTCACTGCTATTGGATGCTTGTGGTGAAGTGTATTTTGTGATGGAAGGCTTAATATATTTAATGTATATGATATGTGCGTATTTTTTCTGTAAACACAATGGCTCAATGTTAAGTCTAATTTTCTATTGACAAGAATATCTAAGAATAGGAGGTTATGATTAGTTTCTAATTCAAAGGTAAAACGTATGTTAAGGCATATAGAGTTTAAATGTCTAAGAAAATGTAATAGGAATTCTTGACAATGAGACCAAATAACAAAAGTATCATCGACGTAGCGTTTCACCAGTATGGAAGTCAGTCATCTGAGATGGTGCTTATGTTCCTCATTTAGCTCCGCCTCAATCAAACAATATATAAGCAGGTACAGAGTAAAATACGAGCCAGTTTCAGTTATGCTCTGAAGAAGCCAACAGGATTTATTGGTGAAATGTCAGCAAGTTTGTTTGATCAAATCCAGAAGTTTTGTGTAATTTCAGATTTAAACGAGTTTTGGTTAGTTTTGGTTAGTTTGGTTAGTTTTCAAATTAATATCCCCTTCAGCCCGATGATTGAGTTAGGGATATAAGAGCTTTTAAAAATAGTTACTTACTAATAGACAGTGATATCGGTTTAAATCCAAAAAGTCCTGTTATTGTCTCTAAGTTTGAATCATGACATAAAACCAGACTTCAAATTGGATGCTAATTCTTGTTACGTGCGCAGTAACAATACAACAGTGAAAACCAGATGGACGTGGTCGAGTATACAGAAGGTTTGAAGACTTCTTGCATGTACTGGTACATACGCGCCATATCCTTGAAGAGTATGTTTTACTTTATATCATCTTTATTGAGAAGAGTAGTCCGGTATCTTGAGGATATCGAGATTGAAATACTACGTCCTGATCTCCGAAACCCGGTGAAACGAAATGTATGGACACAACATCCAGTTCATCACTCATTTGAAGAATGTAAAATAGCAACACAGCATTGTTAAGAGGTAGCAGGCGATTACTCCATTTCAAGGGAATACTAAAAACTTAAATTTTCACATATTGTTAGCATGTTTCAAAGAAACTTCCAGAGGCTAGAGTAATATTTGGATTGTTTATAAATATACAAACATTTCCGAGATTTTCTTGAATTAGAAAATAATAATAATCTCCCATTCTAAAATATTCTTATCAATAGAAAATTAGACCTAACATTCAGTTTATAGAAAACCTAGGCACACAGATCTATACCTTAATGCATCGCCACATCACTATCCGCCCCAAAAATCAGTGCCGTAAAACTATTTCCACCCGAGTGACTGAACCCAAAAATAAAACACTTTTCATAATTTCCACATTAGTGATATTAAGTGTTCCATCCTAACAACCACAATCGTCCAAAGACAATGAGTCAGAAAGCAAGCCCACACTTGCCAGTGTTGCCGTCCTTACATTGAAAACATCACCAACTACATATCGAAAGTTTTTAACACAGAAAGTCAATGGGATGATTGGCGATATGTCAGCATATTTATTCATAATTTTAAATAAATGCGAAGAGTAAAATCGAGTTCATACATTCGTCTAAAAATTGCAAAGCTTCGATTTGTAACTTATTTGGCAATGACATACGTTGGATCTTGAGAAACATAGAAAATGAAAGATGCAATAATTTTGTCTGTGAGTGTATATCTTTCCAGTGATAGGAACAATTAGCTAGTTATTAGTATATAAATACGGATAACAATTTAATCCAAGTCACATTCAATTAGCTTGTACTGTTGTCGCCACCAAGGGTTTGTATTAACAGAAACTGTATTTCTAGCAGTTGGTAATATTGGTATCATGGTATTTTTCGGGACGCTAATCATCAAAACGTTGATGTGTCAGTCGAAACCGATCATCGGTCTCCTTCGGACTGCCTTGCAGTCAGAATTTCAAGTAGTTACAAGCGTCAATGCGAATGTAGAAGCGATATACGAATTTCACACTAAACTCAACAACTGCTTTATCACACTTGTTGTTACGTGCTTATTATTTATGGGACTATGTGTTGCTACACTAGGTAATTCGAGTGTCCAGCTGGAAACTCTTTTTCCATGATTATGTTTTAGGTGACATCGAAACTTACAGGTATTCCAAACGGAACAGCAATGACACAGAGAAATCTCTACCACTGAACTACTGGTATCCATTCGATAAAAATAAACATTACACGCTTGTCTTGGTCGATCAGAATATCCGACCAACTTTAGGCGGACTTTATACGGCTATAGTAAACGCGTTTGTAAACTCCATTATAATTTTCGTGAGGCTCCAACTGAAAATACTCCAGTACAGTTTCAGAAATTTCGACCAGTTAGAACCAGACAATGTCAAAAACCCGACGATTCTGAGGATACTCTGCGTCAAACACCAAGAACTGATTCGGTAATTATATGGGCCCTATAGTTATAGCTGTCCAACTAGATTTTTGATTAGTTTACGAGAAATGATTAAAAGCTTGTGAATAAATAAAACAAAAAAAAAATTGTGTAAATAAATATAAAGCATGATTATTGTAAAATTCAAACCAATGTAGGATCCATATTTGCACTGCATACGTTGAACCACCCAACAAGATTCTTTGACAATGGTCTATTGATTTTTGCTAATTTGTGTGTATTATTGTTATCAAAAAATTATGACACTTTGTAGATACGTGGAAGGACTTAATAATCATCTTAAATTTATAATATTTATGGAATATATGATTTCATCACTTACCTTTGCAGCCCAGATTTTGCAAATCACGGCAGTGAGTAGAATTAATGTATTGAAAACCCTTTACAATTATTATTTTTTAGGGTATCGAACCTTTTATAACATCTATAATATTGTCCTATACCATCATACATTTACTAATATTCGCTTGGAGTTGCAATGAGATTATCGTCCAGGTAAATATCATAGCGAACTAGCTTTTATAAATATTAGTTAAATAAGATTGTTTTACTTTGGATAGAGCACCGAATTGGCCAGAGCACTTTTCGAAAGCAATTGGTATAACCACGACACCAAGGTCAAAGTTATGGCCCATATAATGATAATGAGATGCCAGAAACCGCTCAGTTTGATGATTGGGCGGTTTGGAGTTATGGATTTGGATGTTGGAGTTTCGGTAAATATAGTAATTAAACCTATTGAAAACCACGGGTCAGCCAAATTAAACACAATTGTGTGAATTGAGTCTGTTTAATAGCGATATTTTTTCCAAAAGATTAACACTTCCAATTTTCTAAAAGTACAGGGATTATACGATTTATTTTGGTTTCAGCGACTAAAACTGGCATATACCTATACGTCTGTGATGAAAAGTGGCAACTAGTGATACAGAGAAGTGAAATTGATATTCAAAGGATCTCGCTAGAATTATGAACCCTTATTCAGAAAACAACGGTATACATTCTCTCAATTCTAGCCGTTTTTAATAACCTTTTTTGTTTTATCACTATCACACAGTCCCTTAGCAACTTATGGCCATTGGCTAATGATCAAACATTTCTAAATTTAAAGTGATTAGGACACACACATAGCTACCTGTGTGATATCTAAAATACTCAGAATAATTTTCTTGTTACCATAAATGTACAGTTTTTAGTGAGGTATTAAATCAATGAACTTGTTATTTTGAAATAAAAATAATATAAAATGATAAAAAGTGTGGATACTTGTTTGATATTTATAGAAATTTATAAGTCACCCAATTAGGCATTCCTTTTCCATTCATTTCCTTCGACATTTTCTGATTATAGAATGGAATGCAATTTTAATCAAACCCAAACACAGCGCAAATTTTTTCTTACTTATATTTCCCCTGAGCATTTCTCTGACCAACAAACGAATTGTCAACAGAAACAGTAAATTTTTCAATGAAAACTTTTGTCAAAAACCTGAATTCCACAGTTTAGAAAAAGTCAGCAGATAAGTTGGAATATGTTTGCCGATAATAAGACAAATTTCTCGAACAGTGTTTCTGCGGACACCCATTTTTTTATCTATCTATCTATTTGGTCCGACACGTGCCAAATCCGTCGAAGACCATATATTTAAACGGTGAATAAAGTCTCCGGATAAACCATTTCATCTATGCCATCCCTATTTGACACATTAATAATATACAAATCATCTGATACGTTTTAAATTGACTTTCAATTCTTTTTTTACCATCCAGTTGAAGTTATTTCATATTTTCAATATGGAAGTTCGCGCTGCAAGTTATTTTGAATGTTCTAAGATTCAGATAGTAACAGGACAAAACTAATTAAGTTTTGGGCCGTTTTGTTCCCAAGGTAATATGGCCTCTGCAAATAAGATAAAGCAATTAAACCGCATTAAATTCTTATTTAGGTTTTTTGATGAAATCTTCTAAAAATCATCCTGGTTGTGAAAGTTCTTAAAAAATTAAAAATAAGTATAAAATGCGTCATTAAGAAAGTTAAGCCTTTAAGCAACAAATTTGATGAAAAATCTTACCTATTATAGATAGTCATGATTATGCTTTGACAAATTCTAATACGAACTAATAAACTAATTACGAACACCTAATGAAACATTCTCTCATATATTTCCCCAAACACAAACTTCAAGAACAACTTCTCAACACTACGCGAGCCTTCTAATTTTGCAAACGTAAATAATTGCAAACTTAAATAATAAATAAAAAGGCGCCGCTGAATAGTCTGACGTTCCTCATTAATAATAAATCAACCCTGCGGCTATAATACGTACATTTGCATACGCGACTCTTTTATTAGCCACGGGATAATTTCTTCACTGGCAATCGACGAGCTCCACAAGCGCCACAAACGTTCATTTTGCTTGTTAAATCGCACTAGAGGGTTTAATCGTTTTCCTATGGCAGCTTTCATTGGTTATCTAAGAAACAAAAAGACATTTGAATAACATTGCTTCTAAGTTAATCTTCAACCATTTAGGCTTGTTTAAAACAGGAAAAAATTTAACGTGCGCCTCTGGCGTTACGGCTTTGGAGTCGCCCCTTTTCCCGTAAATATTACCTTTTATAAAACTTATTTGCGCTGTGTGTGCCCGTGCAATGCTAAATATGGACCTAAGTGCGCAATACTTCGGTTACATGAGATCGTTGATGATTGCCGCGGGAATTTGGAGAATGGAAATTAAAGAATTTTCCGCAATGAAGAAACAGTTATACGGCGCTTACTCTGTAACGGCACAGGCAATTTGCAATTTATTGATATTTTCTATAGGGCTAGATGTGCCGGCATTGTTGAAAACCCATCCAGCTGCAGGTAACAAAAAATATATTCTTGTATCGTTTTTTTAAACCGTTAGCTCCTATAGAGTCGTCATCTATAAATATAGTTTTTCTATAGGAACTGAGCTTATTAGGGTATGTCTGATTGAGTTACGTAATAAACTAAATAATTGCATTATAAATATTAAAAGCAAAACTTAACCCTGGTGACGATAAGACCTGATGGGAGCTTCATAAAGAATAAGGTCGGATTTGCAGCGCTGCTTGAGGCATTCATTGATGATCTGAGTATCAAATTTTCTCAACTGAGTATTTTATTCGTTACATTTTGCGAGTTTTCTTTCGAAATGTCGATGTATCCTTCGTTGTATACTTTTACTCCTCCATCCTCCCGTACTTTTCTTACTTACTTTCTTTTCCGTTCTTCATTTTTCTCCAGTTTCACCCAGAAATGTAGAAAATAGTGCCCTGTGTAATCTTCTAGATTTTGCATGTTTAAAATGGAAGGGATGATTTTTGGAATGCCTTAGGACAGCGATTCATATGTGCTGGACGGAGTGTTTTACATCGTCGTATGATGTCGACCAGGTTTGTGCCTTCGACTTCTCCAGAAGTTATAAAAAATTCTCTTGAAATTTTGATTTTGGTATTGCTCGACCACTAATACCAAAGTTTTCTTCGAAGCTTTTTAGGTTTTAGGTCACCTTATCGTCCATCTTTACTTAAAATTGACCAAATTGGCAAAGACTTTGCTTTTCTTATTTGTGTACCTTTTGATTCTCTTTTTGAAAAAAGCCTGTAGAATAGCATCTCTAATGGTCTTCACTCATATTGTGACGCGTATCATAAAATGCAATGAGTCAAGGTAAAACGAACTGTAGTTCTTTGACAAAAACTCAGCAAATACGTTATCCTGTCAGTAGTTCTTTAGGTTTTTCATAGCACCAGGCCGTAACACGTTTATGAATCTTCTGGTATTTTTCAATGAACTTTACCAAAAGAAGAGCGTTCTGAACAGCTTCTTATATCTAAGAACTGGTTAACTATTTTTAATATGCCTTTCAAAGTTTTTTCATATTTAAAACTGTATGTCTTTCCATTGGAAGATTTGAGAAAACCATGTAGTGGCCATGACAACCTATGATTATTGTTGAATATCGTCTATCGAGTGAGAATTGTATATGTAATGTCGAACCATATTTTACAATTTTAAATAAAAGAATATTATAGAACTGAGGTCGTTCTACGAGGCGTTGTCAAAAAGTAAGGTGACTTTTGTAATTGTGCCGGCTACATACATTCGATCCTCTATATATTTTTTGTTATGTTGGTACACGTAACCCTAATATATGTTCACAGTTTCAGCCAATGTGCATGTGTGATTTTCCGATATAAAAAAGTGGAACAAAGAATTTACATAAAGTTTTGTAAAAAAAAAGAATACATTGCTGCAAAAAACAATGAAATTTTGGCAACGGCATATGGTGAATCTACTTTGAGCAAAAAAATATTTATAAGTAGTACAATCTGTTCCAAGATGGCCGAGAAGACGCTGACGACGCCCCAGTACATCAATAACTGATGAAAGCGTTGAAGAAGTGAAACAAATGCTATTGGAAAACAGTCGAATCAGTGTTGAAATTTTTTTCGAAATTGTGGCGTCAATAATACTAAACGACGTCAATGATGATATGCTCAAAAATGTCATAACTGGTGATGAATAATGGGTATATGGTTATGACGTCGAAACCAAAGCCCAATCGTCCCAATGCAGGAACAACTTTTTCCTGTTTCTATAACTCAAGAAATCGATGAAAAGAAGGAGGTTTGGAACAATTGAGAAGATTAAGAAAAAATCGACGGAAGAACTCAAGGCTATACCAAAAAGTGCTTACCAGAAGTTAGAAAACGTTTTCACAAGTGTATTATTTCCGGAGGAGGTTAATTTGAATGGTTTGAAGGGGACAAGGGGATAAATAAATAAATGCTTTTTGATAAAACTTAAAAGTCACCTTACTTTGTGAACACTCCTGATATATCACACGAGCAGTAAAAAAAAATTATAATACTCGTGTTGTTATATGCGCAATACTCACCACTTGTCACTAAAATGAAGCTCATACCACACTAGTAATATAAACAACTGTTCTACTAAGATAGAAAAACTAAAAAAGAATCTGGACGGAAATATGAAATCTCTTTCTGGTATCCTTTACGCCATTTCTTCAACCTGATCCATTACCAACAAAATTGTATATTTCTAGCATTTGGAAATATGGGCATGGTGATCTTTCTAGGGACAAATACCACGAAAACCATAATGTGTCAATCGAAGGCGATCATCAAATTGCTTGAGATTGCCTTGAAACCAGAATTTCAAATGGCCAAACGCGTTAATACCGAAGTGGAAGCTATCTATAAACAACATACTAAGCTTAACAATTACTTTACCACAGTTCTTCTTGTGTGTGTATTGCTGGTCGGAATATGTCATAGTGTATCTGGTAAAAAAAATATTCGAGTGCAAACTATATTCACTGACATTTTCAGGTTGTGTGTTTTAGGGGATATAGAATGCTATATGCATTTTAAACAACACAGCAACGCTACCGAAAAACCCGTCCTCGCGTACTACTGGTATCCGTTCGACACGAACAAGCATTACACTTTGGTACTGATAGACCAAAATATTCGACCGTTACTGACCGGCTTATGCACGTGCATAGTGAGCGCGTTCGTCAATTGCATGACAGTTTTCGTGAGGCTCCAACTCAAACTATTACAATATAGTTTCAGGAACTTCGACAAGTTGCAATTGCATAATGAACCGGATAAAGACCCGAACACCTTAAAGTTATTGTGTGCCAAACATCAGGAAATTATCAAGTAAGCTTTCGTGAAAAACGGAAATGGGACTGCAGCTTTTTTGTTTCAGATACGTGGATGAATTAAACCAATCCATCCGAGCTATAATTTTCATGGAATATTTGGTTTCCTCCATAACCTTTGCCACTCAGATTTTGCAAATTGTCGGGGTAGGTGTTAGGGTAAGGTTCAGGACATCGCAACTTTGCAATGATGTTGTTCTAGGGAGAGAAACCATTTTTAACTATTTTAATACTCACGTACACAGTCATACAACTGCTTATATTTGCTTGGAGTTCTAATGAGATCATCATCCAGGTACTTTTTAGAGCTTTGACAGTGCAAAGTTGATACGTGTTGTTTTAGAGCACGGAACTAGCAAAAGCGCTTTTCGAAAGCAACTGGTACGATCAAGACAACAAAATCAAAACTATGGCGCACATAATGATTATGAGATGTCAAAAGCCTCTCAGTTTGATGATTGGAAGTTTTGGGGTGATGGATTTGGACGTTGGAATCTCGGTAAACAAACGATTTACATTTTCGTGTAATGCAAAATATCCTCCTCGTTTTAGAGACTCAAACTGGCCTATTCCTACACATCAGTTATGACAAGTGGTGGTTAATTTTAAGGAACTGCTATTCTTTGTAAATCGGTTACAAATTTTAGTGATTGCTATAACACTGATAAAGACAGAAGAAATTTTTATTTGGAATTATTGGAATAAAATTTTAATATTCACTGGATTTTTTCACAATTAATTTGAATATGCGGAAAAATAATTGTAAAAAAAACCGTTCGAAAGGCATACAAAGATCGCGTTTCAGATCTTGTATAGTGTTATTATAGGTTTAGTTAAAAACATCCGGAACAGTATGTCAAAACATTTATAAACTTATCAAAGTGATATTTAACACGATTTTGCTTACACGACATGACTAGTTCGATTAAGGCCACGCATTGAAAAGAGTTATACTGTTTGGACCAATTTTATGATTGCTGGACTGGGATTAAAACAACTGTACGCCATAGCATACTTTCGACTTTTCAAATATTTTCAAAAATTGCCATTTGAAGTTCTTCGTATTTTTTTAAAAATTTGAAAACAATACTTTTTTTGGTTATTCTGCAGGCTCAGTGAAGACAGTATCTAATGTATCTGATGTATCACCCAAATGTAAACAGGTATTCCTTTCTGCATTCTCCTCTACGCTTAAGTAAGGGGTGATGGATTTGGACGTTGGAATCTCGGTAAACAAACGATTTACATTTTCGTGTAGTGCAAAATATCCTCCTCTTTTTAGAGACTCAAACTGGCCTATTCCTACACATCAGTCATGACAAGTGGTGGTTAATTTTAAGGAACTGCTACTCTTTGTAAATCGGTTACAAGTTTTAGTGATTGCTATAACATAATTCGTCCACTGATAAAGACAGAATATATTTTTATTTGAGCTATAATCAAAGCACCGATAAACCTAATGCGAATAGATTATTGGAATAAAATTTTTATATTCCATAGATGGTTTCACAATTAATTTAAATGTGCGGAAAAATAAACGTAAATGTCTAACAACCGTTCGAAACGCATACAAATATCGCATTTCAGATCTTGTATAGTGTTATTATAGATTTAGTTAAAAACATTTATAGAGTTATCACATTCAAAGGGCTATTTAATATGTTTCTGTTTACACGACATAATTAAGGTCACGCTTTGAAAAGAGTTATACAGTTTGGACCCATTTTCCGATACTTGGACTGGGATCAAAACAAATGGGCGCTGTGGTACACTATTTTCAATACAATATTTTCAAAAACTGCAATTTGAAAAAAAACAGTTTTTTTGGTTATTCTGCATGCTCAGTAAAAACAGCGTCTCAGGTCCAGATGTACCACCCAAATGTAAACAGGTATTCATTTCTGGATTCTCTTCTACGCTTAAGTAAGCCTGTGAACTACCAATTCGACCATAAAGATCACCATAGAGAAGATGCAAGCTGCATCAAATCCTAACATTGTTATATTCATATGTCGTTTCCTTAAATTTACTGCCTTAAACGTCTGCTTGAAAGAGGACTCTTGCAAGTCGATGCCTCTGCTAAAATTGGCCACCAATCCGTGTACTTTCGCCAGCAAATCGTCGAGAGTTTCGAGATACAGTGATCTGAATCGCACGAAATATGTCGACAGGTTGGGCACTATGGGCTGCGACACAATAGAAAAACAAAATGGAGAGCCATTCTTCTTCGCCAATCTTTCGTAATAAACAGCGTGGTTCCGCTGCAATATGACGGCGCGAGAGCAATTCCTCAGCAGTGCGGCTTCAGCGTCCCAAGTGTTGTCCAAACGCATTATCACCAAGCGAGAAAGAGTACGAGTTTTTACGTCCCCCTCCTGCATGTACAGATTGGGAATTGCCGCCAGCTTGGCGTTTGATAGTATCGGGTAATCTGCTGGCGCGAACTCTTCTACCGTTTGAATTTCTACAGCTCGATGTTGATACTCGTTCAGTGTACACGCAGAACATTATTAAAGACACCATGATAATCGTCAAGCCTAACGGAGTGGCGTAAATGTAATTTGACGTACGATACGTCGGCGGTACGAGGATAACTACATCGTTACGGTCCAGTGGATATGTGTAGTCTATCTGAAACGGATACCGCCACTGAGCAAAATGACGTCGTGTCTCTTAATAAGTTGTTAGATATATGTCAGTGTCTGATCTGATTTCGAACTTACCAATTTCGACTTGGACAATATATCCAACATGAACTGCGAATTGAAAGACAACTCGACTTCCCTTCGAAGCACTTGTCCGTAGGAACCGGAGTTCGAACTGTCGTTTCCGTAAAATTCTTCGTCTACAGGCTGGACACATTCGTAAGGAATGTCCATATAGTCCATCAGGATTTTGGATGTAACGCCGTCCTTGCCGCCGAACGAATTTCCGTCGGGAAGTGAGTCGGGTCCGGGAAACATCGATATCTTAAATCGGTTGTGGTGGTGGATAGGATCCAAGAAATTAAGATATCCGCGTTGAGCACCAAATCCCCAAATGCCATTGCACGGTATCCGCAATCGAACAATACTCTGTTCGTAGTTTGCTACTCTTTCTACCACGGAGTTATAGGTCACTATTATATAAAAGTACATGATATCGAATCCGGGCAGAACCAGATAGTTAACGTCTGCTTTCACGAATCGGTCGATAACGATCACCAAATTGTCGGCCTGCATGCACCAGTGCTCCGGTGGAAACTTTCGGATTACATCGTGGAAATGATGCTCGTTTTCTACCACGATTGCGACAAATTTCTCGTTGAATTGCGTGAACTGATCCGCAGGAAGATGCACCAAAGACGATGAGACGTCGACGAGATATGTCGGCCTCAACCGATGCCGAAGCAACGCTGTCACGGATTCGCTGGCGAAACCGTCTAAACTACTGAAAATTATCAACCATATGGGCGAAACATTATCGGCGATTTCACCGATACACTTTCCGAGGTAGGGTCGATATTCGTCGAACTGTAGAAATTTTGAAGAATCATTTGCGGCCGCTTGGGCTACGAGAAGGAGAACCAATGGCGGCACGCATATCTGAAAGTACGATTTAAATTTGATTAGGATGGTCTTTCCTTCCTTATTACCAACAAAACTCTATTAAGAAGTGCAAAGAGAAATGGTAGTTTATGGAGCAGCGGTATGGAAAATTTCTTTCATTCAAGGTAAACAAAATTCAGCTATTAAAAAAATTCATGAAATGGATTCTTACAAATAGTTACAGTCTTACTTCAATCAAAAGTGACAATTTGAAATGTGCCTTGCATTTTATTCACTAAACGCCAACAACTAACCATGATATACTCCATCAACTCATTAGCGACGTTAAACTTTTTTAAAACAAAAAAAATCCAGTAAAATAACTTTGGTGCATGTACGCTTGCCGGCATTATAATAACATATCCGTGTATTTATGAGAATGCAAAGCGCTTTATTGGAAATTTACGTGCAACGACTGATAAATAAACCACAAATCATAATTTGTTTATCAATCAGATATGCGAGGTATTGGAGCCAACCAAAAGGCATATTAGACATGGGTGACAGGTATCCACAGAAATTGCAATAGCCTGTCCGCTCTTCCTATTAAAAATGTATATATGCAAAGTCCTCATCTCTCGGTAATAATTCTTCTCCTTCCAGGGCCTCTCTTGCTATTTATTTTTCCCTCCATTATGAGGTGCAGTATGGCATACTTTTCAGGGTGACACATAATATGTCCAAAGTATTCTAGCTTACGCTGCTTGATGGTTAAAATTATCTCCGGATATTTGTTCATTCGCTCTAGTACTACTGCGTTTTTCACCCAGCTGATCTTGAGTAGACGACGGTACATCCACATTTCGAACGCCTCTAGACGCTTGATGGTCGCGTCAGTGAGTATCCATGACTCCATCCCATATAGGAGAACCGGAAGTACGTAACATTTAACCATTTTCATTCGCAGTTTCAATGTTAGATTATGGTTACAGGGAACTTTTTTCATTTTTACGAATGCTGCTCTTGCTTTTTCTATTCTAATTTTAATTTCATTAGATGGGTCCCATTTATCATTGATGTTACTGCCTAAGTACGTCAACCTCCCAACTCGTTGCAGAGGTGCACCTTCCACATATATGCCATCATTCTGAGGTGAGATATGTTTACTAATGATCATATATTTAGTTTCATTAACATTTAGTTTGAGTCGGTACTGAGCACACGAGTTAGTAATCTGATTCATCAACAATTGCAGATCTTCGTTGGTATTTGCAATGATTAAAGTGTCATCGGCGTATCTGATGTAATTAATGATGATCACTCCTGGCATGTTGTCGCTCATGGTCTCGTCAAAAATTTCTTCAGAAAACAGGTTGAACAACAAAGGCGACAGAATGCATCCCTGACGCACTCCCCTCTTGATCTTCATATCACCGCTGAGATGCGGTCCAATTGTTACTACTGCTTTTTGATTCCAATACAAATTTTGAACAATTCGGACATCTCTGGTATCTAATCCAGCCCTTTTAAGAAGTTGAAGCAGTTTATCGTGTTGTACTTTGTCAAAAGCCTTTTCAAAATCAATACTACATAGATATACATCATAATTCACGTCTCGACATCTCTGAATCAGCACTTGCACACCAAACAGGGCTTCTCTCGTTCCCAAACCTTTTACGAAAGCCCATCTAGGTTTCACCAATTATTTCTTCTAATTTGCTATATATTCCACCATGTATTATGCGCTAGAATAATTTTAAAACATGGCTCATCAGGCTGATAGTCCGATGGTCATTACATTTTGTTGCTCTGTTCTTTTTTGGAAGCATAACGAAGGCTGATTTCAACCAATCCTTGGGCATTATTCCAGCGTTATATACAACGTTGAAGAGTTCTGTCATTGCTTCTATTCCTTTATCTTCTAGCAGTTTAAGTACTTCCGTTCTAATTTCATCTGGGCCCGGCGCCTTTCCTATCCTTGCTAGTTTGATAGCTCTTTTGACTTCCCCTTTAGTTATTGGTGGTCCAGTGTGCGTCATGTTTTCAGGATGAGTTTGGAAATTTCTATTGTCGTCAAATAATTACTGAATGTATCCTTTCCATCAGTGAGTCTGTTTCCTTCCCGGTCCTCAATGACACCGTTCAGTGTCAGTCGCCTCGATCCAGTTACTTCCTTTATTTTCTTGTGTAGGTGAAATATATCATGTTTTTTCTCCATTTCTCCAATTTCTTTATACTCTCCAGCATGCCAGGCTTCTTTTGCTTGTCGTATCTTCCTCCTAATTTCTGAGTGGATTTTCTTATATTCTGTTTCGTTCTTGTTTTTGTACTGCCTCCTCTGATCCATAAGACGCAGTATTTCTTCTGTCATCCACTTTTGTTTTGTTTTCTTGGATTTTTCTTCTAAAAGCTTATTCTTCTGAATTTCTTTAAAAATGTTTTTCGATTTATTCCACATTTCCTCAATATTATCTTCTGCAGTTCTAATCGTTTGCATCTGTTCTTCTAGGTGTTGTGATACTTCTCGTACATGCACGTTGATTAATTTATTTCTGTCAATGTTCGCATTTCTGTATTGACTCTTGTTCTTGGTTTTCTTAAGTTGAATTCTTATTTTGGCTACGAGGAGATTGTGATCTGATGGTACGTCGGCTCCAGGGTATGTTTTCACGGCTTTAATAGAGTTTCTAAATCTCTTACCTATGCAAATGTAGTCAATCTGGTTTCTGATCACTTTGCCAGGTGTATCTGCAGGTCAGTTCCAAGTATACAGGCGTCTTTTAGGCAGCTTAAAGATTGTGTTGGTGACTACCATTTGATGTTCTAAACAGAAGGCGGCGAGCATGTCTCCTCTGTCATTCCTTACCCCCAGACCATGCTGTCCAATGATGTCTTTCTGTTGACCCTTTCCGATCTTTGCATTTAGATCACCCATTACTATCGTTACTTGATGTTTTTTGGCGTGTAATAGTACCTGTTTTAGGTCATCATAGAACTTTTCGATATCTTCATCATTCGACTCTTGTGTAGGGGCATACACTTGAACAATGTTGACATTCACTGTTGTTGTTGCAAATTGGATCATTATTATCCGATCTGAGCAGGGTATTACGTTCGTTACTGCTTGTACTATGTCTCTGGATAGGATAATTGCTACTCCGTTTCTATGTTGTGTGGTGTTTTGTCCTGTGTAGTATACGGTGTAATTATCAATATTCATCTTTCCAGAGTCAGGCCATCTCATTTCACTTATGCCAAGTATGTCTATATTCAATCTTTCCATTTCCCTTATTGTGTTGTGGATCTTTCCTGCCTCGTACATGCTTCTGACATTCCATGTTCCAATTTTCTTAAGATTTGTTGATCTGATTCTCGCTGATCGGGAGATTCTTAGCACCCTGCCCCATCTAAGGAGCGCCCGTAGTCGGGGCCGTTGTATTCATCAGCCAAAACCATGATATTTTACTTGGGAAAGATATCCTAGGTGGTTTCCCGTTGCCTTCCTAGGTTTATTTCAGCCGCTCCTAATATGGAGAACCGACGCTGTTCGCCATATCTGGCTATCCTCACTTAGTTCAGCCCGCAGGTGGATGCGGTTACCAGGGTGTGGCACGTGGAGCCATAAGTGAGAATTGGGTGCCCTGGGAGACCAGTTATCGCCTACAACCCTAGAGTATATCATTGGATGCCACCGTCCTTGATAAAAGGTACTACCCCTCAGCGCAACCTCTACCCCCCTACATCACTATCCGGCCCAAAAATCAGTGCCGTAAAACTATTTCCACCCGAGTCACTGAACCCAAAACTAAAACACCTTACATAATTTCCACATTGGTGATATTAATTGTTCCGTCCTAACAACCACAGCCGTCCAAAGCAAGTCAACACTTGCCAGTGTTGCCCTTACATTGAAAACATCATCGACCACATATCGAAAGTTTTTAAGACAGAAAGCCAATGGAATGATTCTCGATATGTCAGCATATTTTTTCATAATTTGAAATAAATGCGAAGAGTAAAATCAAGTTCATACATTCCTCTAAAAATTGCAAAGCTTCGATTTGTAACTTTGTAAAAAATAGAAAATGAAAGATGCAATAATTTTGTCTGTGAGTGTATATCTTTCCAGTTTTAGGAACAATTAGCTAGTTATTAGTATATAAATAAAGATAACAATTTAATCCAAGTCACATTCAATTAGCTTGTACTGTTGTCGCCACCAAGGGTTTGAATCAACAGAAACTGTATTTCTAGCAGTTGGTAATATTGGTATCATGGTATTTTTCGGGACGCTAATCATCAAAACGTTGATGTGTCAGTCGAAACCGATCATCGGTCTCCTTCGGACTGCCTTAAGCGATATACGAATTTCACACTAAACTCAACAACTGCTTTATCACACTTGTTGTAACGTGCTTATTATTTATGGGACTATGTGTTGCTACACTTGGTGATTCGAGTATCCAGCGGGAAACTCTTTTTCCATGATTATGTTTTAGGTGACATCGAAACTTACAGGTATTCCAAACGGAACAGCAATGACACAGAGAAATCTCTACCACTGAACTACTGGTATCCATTCGATAAAAATAAACATTACACGCTTGTCTTGGTCGATCAGAATATCCGACCAACTTTAGGTGGACTTTATACGGCTATAGTAAACGCGTTTGTAAACTCCATTATAATTTTCGTGAGGCTCCAACTGAAAATACTCCAGTACAGTTTCAGAAATTTCGACCAGTTAGAACCAGACAATGTCAAAAACCCGACGATTCTGAGGATACTCTGCGTCAAACACCAAGAACTGATTCGGTAATTATATGGGCCCTATAGTTATAGCTGTCCAACTAGATTTTTGATTAGTTTACGAGGAATGATTAAAAGCTTGTGAATAAATAAAACAAAAAAAAATGGTGTAAATAAATATAAAGCATGATTATTGTAAAATTCAATGTAGGATCCATATTTGCACTGCATACGTTGAACCACCCAACAAGATTCTTTGACAATGGTCTATTGATTTTTGCTAATTTGTGTGTATTATTGTTATCAAAAAATTATGACACTTTGTAGATACGTGGAAGGACTTAATAATCATCTTAAATTTATAATATTTATGGAATATATGATTTCATCACTTACCTTTGCAGCCCAGATTTTGCAAATCACGGCAGTGAGTAGAATTAATGTATTGAAAACCCTTTACAATTATTATTTTTTAGGGTATCGAACCTTTTATAACATCTATAATATTGTCCTATACCATCATACATTTACTAATATTCGCTTGGAGTTGCAATGAGATTATCGTCCAGGTAAATATCATAGCGAACTAGCTTTTATAAATATTAGTTAAATAAGATTGTTTTACTTTGGATAGAGCACCGAATTGGCCAGAGCACTTTTCGAAAGCAATTGGTATAACCACAACACCAAGGTCAAACTTATGGCCCATATAATGATAATGAGATGCCAGAAACCGCTCAGTTTGATGATTGGGCGGTTTGGAGTTATGGATTTGGATGTTGGAATTTCGGTAAATATAGTAATTAAACCTATTGAAAACCACGGGTCAGCCAAATTAAACACAATTGTGTGAATTGTTTCTGTTTATTGGCGATATTTTTTCCAAAAGATTAACACTTCCAATTTTCTAAAAGTGCAGGGATTATACGATTTATTTTGGTTTCAGCGACTAAAACTGGCATATACCTATACGTCTGTTATGAAAAGTGGCAACTAGCGATACAAAGAAGTGAAATTGATATTCAAAGGATCTCGCTAGAATTATGAACCCTTATTCATAAAACAACGGTATACATTCTCTCAATTGTGGCCGTTTTTGATAACCTTTTTTGTTTTATCACTATCACACAGTCCCGTAGCAACTAATCGCCATTGGCTAATAATCAAATATTCCTAAATTTAAAGTGATTAGGACACACACATAACGCTTTATCTGAAGACACACGCCGGACAGCGACCTGTGTGATATCTAAAATACTCAGAATAATTTTCTTGTTACCATAAATGTACAGTTTTTAGTGAAGTATTAAATCAATGAACTTGTTATTTTGAAATAAAAATAATATAAAATGATAAAAAGTGTGCATACTTGTTTGATATTTATAGAAATTTATAAGTCACCCAATTAGGCATTCCTTTTCCATTCATTTCCTTCGACATTTTCTGATTATAGAATGGAATGCAATTTTAATCAAACCCAAACACAGCGCAATTTTTTTCTTACTTATATTTCCCCTGAGCATTTCTCTGACCAACAAACGAATTGTCAACAGAAACAGTAAATTTTTCAATGAAAACTTTTGTCAAAAACCTGAATTCCACAGTTTAGAAAAAGTCAGCAAATAAGTTGGAATATGTTTGCCGATAATAAGACAAATTTCTCGAACAGTGTTTCTGCGGACACCCATTTTTTTATCTATCTATCTATTTGGTCCGACACGTGCCAAATCCGTCGAAGACCATATATTTAAACGGTGAATAAAGTCTCCGGATAAACCATTTCATCTATGCTATCCCTATTTGACACATTAATAATATATAAATCGTCTGATACGTTTTAAATTGACTTTCAATTCTTTTTTTACCATCCAGTTGAAGTTATTTCATATTTTCAATATGGAGGTTCACGCTGCAAGTTATTTTGAATGTTCTAAGATTCAGATAGTAACAGGACAAAACTAATTAAGTTTTGGGCCGTTTTGTTCCCAAGGTAATATGGCTTCTGCAAATAAGATAAAGCAATTAAACAGCATTAAATTCTTATTTAGGTTTTTTGATGAAATCTTCTATAAACCATCTTGGTTGTGAAAGTTTTTAAAAAATAAAAAATAAGTATAAAATGCGTCATTAAGAACGTTAAGCCTTTAAGCAACAAATTTGATAAAAAATCTTACCTATTACAGATTGTCATAATTATGCTTTGACAAATTCTAATACGAACTAATAAACTAATTACGAACACCTAATGAAACATTCTCTCATATATTTCCCCAAACACAAACTTCAAGAACAACTTCTCAACACTACGCGAGCCTTCTAATTTTGCAAACGTAAATAATTGCAAACTTAAATAATAAATAAAAAGGCGCCGCTGAATAGTCTGACGTTCCTCATTAATAATAAATCAACCCTGCGGCTATAATACGTACATTTGCATACGCCACTCTTTTATTAGCCACGGGATAATTTCTTCACTGGCAATCGACGAGCTCGACAAGCGCCAAAAACGTTCATTTTGCTTGTTAAATCGCACTATAGGGTTTAATCGTTTTCCTATGGCAGCTTTCATTTGTTATCTAAGAAACAAAAAGACATTTGAATAACATTGCTTCTAAGTTAATCTTCAATTATTTAGGCTTGTTTAAAACAGGAAAAAATTTAACGTGCGCCTCTGGCGTTACGCCTTTGGAGTCGCCCCTTTTCCCGTAAATATTACCTTATATAAAACTTATTTGCGCTGTGTGTGCGCGTGCAATGCTAAATATGGACCTAAGTGCGCAATACTTCGGTTACATGAGATCGTTGATGATTGCCGCGGGAATTTGGAGAATGGAAATTAAAGAATTTTCCGCAATGAAGAAACAGTTATACGGCGTTTACTCTGTAACGGCACAGGCAATTTACAATTTATTGATATTTTCTATAGGGCTAGATGTGCCGGCATTGTTGAAAACCTATCCAGCTACAGGTAACAAAAAATATATATCATTTTTTGAAACCGTTCACTCCTTCAGTGGCGTCATCTATAAATATAGTTTATCTACTACCCACAGCAACTGAGCTTATTACGTTATGTCTGAGTTACATAATAAACTAAATATTTGGACTATTACCACCATTATAAATATTAAATACAAAACTTATCCCTGCTGATGATAAGACCTGATGGAGAGCTTCATAAATAATAAAGTGAGTATTTTATTCGTTACATTTTTCGAGTTTTCTTTCGAAATGTCGATGTATCCTTCGGCTATACTTTTACTTTTCCACCCTCCCTTACTTTTCTTACTTACTTTTTCATCCTTCAGTATTCTTCAGTATTACCCAGCATGGATGATGAGAAACGTCGAAAACAGTGCCCTATGTAATCTTCTAGATTTTGCATGTTTAAAATGGAAGGCATGATTTGCCAAATATGTTTATTCCTTAGAACAACGATCCGTATGTGCTGGACGGAGTGTTTTCGTCGTATGATGTCGACCAGGTTTGTACCTTCGACATGTTCAGAAGTTATACAAAATTCTCTTGAAATTTTCTGTCTCGCTTTTTAGGTTTTAGGTCACCTGGTCGTCTTTTTTTACTAAAAACGAACCAAATTGGCAAAGACTTTGCCATTCTTGGGTGTATATCTTTTGATTCTCTTTTTAAAAAAGCCTGTAGATTAGCATATCTAATGCTATTCACTCATATTGTGGCGCGTATCATTAAATGAAATAAGCGAATGTAAAACGAACTATAGTTCTTTGACAAACACTCAGCAAATACGTTATCTTGCCAGTAGTTTTTCATGTTTTTGATAACACCAGACCGTAACACGCTTATGAACCTTCTCTCTTCTTTTATTAAAGATCTGGTTAACCAATTTTATTATGCCCTTGCACGTTTTTCATATTTAAAGCTGTACGTTTTCCAATTCCAAGATTTGAGAAAACCATGTAGTGGCCATGACAACCTATGATTTTTGTTCAATATCGTCTATTGAGGGTCTATTATTATGGAACTGAGGTCATTCTACGAGGCGTGTTCAAAAAGTAAGGTCCCTTTTCTTAATTGGGCGGGCTACATTCATTCGATCTTCGATATATTCTTTTGTTATGTTGGTACATATATCCCTAAGATATGTTCACAGTTTCAGCCAGTGTGCAAGTTTACCTTTTTTGTGCGACAAAATCGTTGGACGTGTTTTGAAGGCTCGGCAATTTTCTACTGTAACAAAAATGAAACAAAGAATTTTCATAAAATTTTGTGTTAAAAATGGAATAGATTGCTGCAAAAAAACATGAATTGTTAACAACGTCATATGATGAATCTACTTTGAGCAAAAATGTAGTAATACAGGTTGTTCCAAGACGCCGATGACGCTCCAGCACGCCAATAACTGATGAAAGCGTTGAAGGAGTGAAACAAAGGGTGTTGCAAAATCGTCGAATCACTGTTAGCGAAGTGGCTGAAGACGTCGGCAACTCTATGCTTTTTTTGCGAAGTTGTGGCGCCAATGATGTTAAACGACGTCAATTATGATACTGATATGCCCAAAAATACCATAACTGGTGACCAATCATGGGTATATGGTTATGACGTCGAAACCAAAGCCCAGTCGACCTGATGGAAGAATTGCTAATACCGAAAAAGGCACGTCAAGTTCGATCAAATGTCAAAGTTTTGCTTACTTCTTCGATGATGAACGAACAATGCCCACTCATCGTTGCTTGCATTGGATATGGCGCCCTACGACTTTTTCCTGTTCCCATAACTCAAGAAATCCATGAAAAGGAGGGGGTTTGGAACGATTGAGGAGATGAAGAAAAAGTCACCGGAAGAACTCAAGGCTATACCAAAAAGTGCCTACCAAAAACGCTTGATTACTTTGAAGGGGACAAGGGGATAAATAATTAAATATTTTTGATAAAACTTAAAAGTCACCTTACTTTTTGAACCCACCTGGTATATTAAAGTAAAACTCATTACAATACTCGTGTTGTTATAGGCGCAATACTCACCACTTGTTAGTAAAATAAAGCTCATACCGCACTAGTAATACAAACAACTGTTCTACTAAGATAGAAAAACTAAAAAGAATCTGGTCGGAAATATAAAATCTCATTCTGGTATGCTTTACGCTCTGAAAGATCCAGACATTGCTTTAAGCTGATCCATCACCAACAAAATTGTATATTTCCAGCATTTGGAAATGTGGGCGTGGTGATCTATCTAGGGACAAATACCACGAAAACCATAATGTGTCAATCGAAGGCGATCATCAAATTGCTTGAGATTGCGTTGAAACCAGAATTTCAAATGGCCAAACGCGTTAATACCGAAGTCGAAGCTATCTATAAACAACATACTAAGCTTACCAAGTACTTTACCACAGTTCTTCTTGTGTGTGTATTGCTGGTCGGAATATGTCACAGCGTATCTGGTAAAAATCATATTCGAGTGAAAACTTTATTCACTAAAATTTTTACGTTCTGTGTTTTAGGGGATATCGAATGCTATATGTATTTTAAAAAACACAGCAACGTTACCGAAAAACCCGTCCTCGCGTACTACTGGTATCCCTTCGACACGAGCAAGCATTACACTTTGGTACTGATAGACCAAAATATTCGACCGTTATTGACCGGCTTATGCACGGGTATGTATAGTGAGCGCGTTCATCAATTGCATGACAGTTTTCGTGAGGCTCCAACTTAAACTATTACAATATAGTTTCAGGAACTTCGACAAGTTGCAATTGCATAATGAACCGGATAAAGACCCGCACACCCTAAAGTTATTGTGTGCCAAACATCAGGAAATTATCAAGTAAGCTTTCGTGAAAAACGGAAATGGGACTGCAGCTTTTTTTGTTTCAGATACGTGGATGAATTAAACCAGTCCGTACGAGCTATAATTTTCATGGAATATTTGGTTTCCTCCATAACCTTTGCCACTCAGATTTTGCAAATTGTCGGGGTAGGTGTTAGGGTAAGGTTCAGGACATCGCAACTTTGCAATGATGTTATTCTAGGGAGAGAAACGATTTTTAACTATTTTAGTACTCACGTACACAATCATGCAACTGCTTATATTTGCGTGGAGTTCTAATGAGATCATCATCCAGGTAAAGTCTGTTCATAGATATAAGAAAGTGACTAACTGATACGAATTAAGGAAAGACCCGGGCAAGCTGTAAGAACGAAATATGGTC